TCGAGAAGCCGAACGGATGTTATGTTTTGCGTAATGCCATTTTTTGCACGGTACAGTAAACCGTATACAAGGCGTTCCGGTGAGCTTCACGTGAAAAGAAAAAGGGAGATTTAAAGTACTGTAATCCTTGTGCCGAAGAGAGATTACAGGCATGAAAAACTTAGTTAGCAAAAACAAACCGTCGTATTTTAAAATGTTTCTGCTTCACTTACAAGCCAGAGTCAAAACTCTCTCGAACAAATCGTAAGCCAACAAAAATTTTAGCCTTTATAGAATTTTATTGAACTTAGGCCAACCTTGGCCTGAGCTGATCCTTGGACTTTCGAAATTGTTTGATACAGCCAGGTCCCGTTGTATGGAAGTTCGTTTGAAAAGGGTTTATATCGAGGGAAGATTTGGATCCATAAAGAACAACATTTTGATTTTCCTCTGCCGGAAAAATTACTTTCAACATTTTCTGATACTTTTTTAAATATAAAAAAAATTCCTTACAGTAACATAACCTTTTATGCCAAGGTTTTATTATTATAACAGGGGAAGAACTCCAAGTGCGACGCTCAGATTTTGATGAAACTTGGCACAAATTTAGAAAAATTTTATCTAAGGTATATGCGAAAGTCCTAGCTCGCGCTTTGCAGGAATATTTTTAGATCGAAAGTCGGCGAAAATTTAGGAGTTTTTGCCGAATTTTGGCACGAAAATTTTCATGCCTATTTCTACCTTAAAGGATCATGTTTCTACAAAAAATCTAATTTTTCCGCACGAAACTGCCAAAGTTATGGCCAAAGAGCGCTTTTCTCTCTGACCGCTCTCCACGTTTAGCGTGCTCTCTCGGCGGCAAAAACCGTGCGGCGCCCGCAAAGCGCGAGCTAAAACTTTCAGGAATTGATATTTAGTCCGTACCCGACGTGTGTGCAAAATTTAAAGAAAATCTGAGCATCGCAATTGGAGTACTTCTCCTGTAAGTTTTGACCTTTCAAAAATACAGGCAAAAATTTGTCAAATGTCATAAAACTCTGTAAAAACAGAAAGAAATTTCCCACCAAACCAGCAAAAAAATCTTATTCGAACAGCAAGAGGAAATTAGGAATCAAAGTCCGAAAAAACGTTGGCCAATTTCCCGATAGTTTTTTTATTTACCTCTCTTTTCTCATTTGACCTCACTCTCTTGATCCAAAGCCACGTCTAAAAAACGAAGCCAATGACGCAAAAGAATCGATCTCAAAAAGTAATCGGATTATTTGAGAAATGAGAGAAAAATTAAACGTGGATTTGAAAAAAAAATTGGTTGGTTTTTTGGGAATTGTAAAGCAGCATACATTCCAAGGGTTTGAGAGGGTTTGGAACAGCTGAAAGGAAGCCGTAACTCAGCCGAAGATTATGTTCCAAAACTTGCAAAGCGTGATGGATCGGCGTTCGTCATGAAAGAGAAACCGAGGAACTTTTTAGCCATAAAAAGTTAGGAAACAATAAGGTTGAAAAAATAAAGCTTTTTGAAAAGAAAAATTTTGTTCCTACAATCTCGTAATGGTATAGTGGGTGTGTAATTTTGGATGCAATATGAGATAAATTAAAAGAGAGTGGTTCTAAAACCGATGTGAGATTTGTAGTCTCATTTTTCCGAAAAAGCTATGATTCACGTGCCAAAAGCTACTTTTTTATTGTTCTTATTAGCGGCCGAAGACTTATTTTTACGTTACAGAGTAAAGACCACAAAAAAATCGATTGTCTTTGTACTAGGCGGGTCATAAAGTCTTGACATGTTTTTGCACTCTGCGGACGCATAAAGTCTGCGTTGCGACCCAAATTCCATCGATTGCGACACCGCACGGATTGCGATCCAAAATGGGGTAAAGCGACTCCGTGTGAAAATTGCGTAATTTTTTCGGGAAACACTTGGTTTAGGGGTTTTTGAGGGTGCTGATTTCAAAAATCATGTTCATTTTTCTGAACTTTACTAGACCTAGGTCGTGACCTAGTCAAGCTCAGAAAAAAGGAACACGATTTTCAAAATCAGCACCCTCGAAGACCCCTAAACCAATTGAAAGATTCGTTGCGACAAGGAGTTGCGCGATAAAAATTTAGCGGGGTGCGAAAGAGGAACGCACTGTGCGTTGTTTACCCTTTTCCAAACCACTTTTTTTGCATTGTGCGGGGTCGCAGTGCACTGTGAATTTTACTCGTCGCCGCGCGACAAGTTTGTCGCACGATGGCGCACTGTGCAGCCGTGGCAAAACTTTTTGGCCCGTCCAGCATAGAGGTGGCAATCGGGCTGGGCCGGCCCGGCCCGGCCGGGCCCGGTGATTGGGCCGGGCCGGGCCGGGCCTGAGCAGATTTGAAAAAGCCCAGGGCCGGCCTGACTGCTTCGGCCCGTCGGCCGGGCCGAGACTTTCGGCCCGGCCCGGCCCGGAAGGTGGATAAGTGAAAAAAAATTAATACTGAACCAGCAAAATAAAGCACAAATGCTTAGCAGTTTGATTTAATATCCGTTGGATGGATATTAAATCAAACCTTTTTGACTTATATACTGTTTTACCACCTTTTCAAACTCTTTAAAATCACTGAATATGTATATGTAAAATCCCACCCAAATATGCAAGGATCGGGCAAATCTTAGAATTTTTGATGATAAACTTAAACATTTCACTGTAATTTGATTCTTTGATGTAAATGAACGCATCTACGCAGTTTTTGATTAAACATGCAGCCTCATAACGTCCAGATTTTTACATAGCTAATTTTCTATAGGATAAAAAACCCGGCACAATCCAATTTTTTGGCTAGGTTTTAGGTACCTGTTCGGCTGTTCCAGTCAGCCGACTAGACGTTTTAATTCCACTCATATAGACGTAAAACCCCGCTGGAAGGCATAAAAAGTTCCAGTAGAGAGTGCATAGAGTTTTATCCAACCTTTTTGCAGTAGCGGGCCAAACAGGGCCGGGCCGGGCCGGCCTGGGCTTTCACCGGGCCGGGCCAGGCCGGGCCTGAGCAAATTTGAAAAAGCCCAGGGCCGGCCTGGTCACTTCGGCCCGCGGGCCGGGCCGCAAAATTCGGCCCGGCCCGGCCCGATTGCCACCTCTAGTCCAGCAAGAGGATTTTGCAGAGAGAGGGCGCAATTTTTAGTTTTCTCTGACCGCTCTCTTCATTCCACTAACTACATTTTGTTTGAAAATATCGCTAAACATCTTGAGTTCCTCTGTAAAGGGCAAACTCAATATTTAGTCACTTTTTGTGTGGACTAGTGAGCATAGTATTGTGCAGAGTTGAAGGACATATGCGCATATTAACGTCACGCTATGGACAATTAGTTTTTACTATCTACAAAACACCTTGTTATAGCCAAAAATGCCCTCTTTGTAAGCCCGATTTCTGATCCCTTATGATGCAAACTCCTCATTTTACATTTCGGGTTCAACAACTTACAATACAAACACTCCTCGAACCTACAGTTCCCCCGAGAAAAACATTACTGCATCGCTTTCACAATAATCGAATAAAAAGGCAAAAAGTTCGAAAAAAAATTATAATGACTTTCGCAATGCAAACAAAAATAATCCCACATGATGCGGGGTTATTGACACTTTGACGTGAAAGCAAATACCAGAGTACTGTCATCTCACCTCCCATCAAATTCGAGTGCGATTCCGCCGACTTTTTGTTTATGAATTTCGAATCAAGCAAGAGGTCAGGAAGCATGCAGAAAATGGGAGAAAGAGGTGTCTGTCGAACTTGGGAATCAAAAAAAAATTTCCAGACTCACAAATATTGTGAGGACGGAAAATATTTTGAGTAAACAAGACATTAATATCCTCGGGACGGAAGGATTTAATCAAAAAATAACAGAAGCCAGACATCGCAGCCGCAGGTATCACATGCAACAAAAATTCGAAGGTAAAAATGAAAAATTGACAATAGAAAAATAGGCAAAAATTATAATGAAATTTGGCTTGGGATTGCCTCAAAGTTTTTTCGATATAATTATACATAGCTACACATTAACGCCTCAAAAAATTTACTTTTTCTATGCAGGCGCAGCAGAGATATTAAACAACATGTTCAAGTTGCTACTAGGTTAAAAAATGAACTATATTTTTTGACTCTTGAATAAAATTTGCAAAACCGGCAAAAAATGGAATAAAAAACCAAACAGTTAGTAACCTATCCCTTTTTATTAGCTCATCCTTTGGTAAATGATAACAGAAAGTGCAAAAAGACCCTTATCACTTGCATAACTTCCGATAAAACTGCTGAAAACTTGAGACAAAAGTATGACTTATGATTCGTCGCAAAGAGTTATGTATTAAAGAGCAAATTTTTAGATTTTCAAGACAAGGATTTTTTGAATTGGCGCAGATTTTCTTCAAATTTTGCTGGTTTATCTAAAAATGCCATACAACAAAAACATTGGCATTCCGTTTCAGCATAAAATTTTTTTTTGTCAAGAGATCGGTCGATTCCTCATGAAAGCGTCAAGCAAATAGCAGACATAGTCATCGAGGTCCAAAAATTTCTGGGATCCACTTCGCGGGTAAGTTTTTTTGTTTGTTGCCCACTTCGCGCGAGATTTGGCTTTTCATTGGAATTCACGCGAAGTGTCTCCGACTTTTTTAATCAACAGGACACTTCGCGTGTACCGTATTTCGTTGATTTGCCTTATCTTATATAAATAACTTCATAAGCTTCGTTTTCCAACAGTTCTTGTCTATATGGGTGAGGTGTGAAAACAAATGGTAAAGCAAACAATAAGCCCTCGAAAGATAAAGAGGAAAGGCGTCAGAATTAACAATGATTTCATAAGTTCATACTTCCCACCTATGACGGATTACGCTTATCAATGCGGAAGTCGAAATGTGTTACGGTGAACACGCGGTTGTCGCACCCCTTAAATCCGCCGCAACCATCAGTCGTCACGCCCTAGGAGCCAAAAAAACTGCGCCCTAAGCCGGCGAATTCTGATACAAGGAAAAATGCCTTGTTTTTCAAACAACGACTCTGCAAAAATGAAGTTCGACATGTTTTTACTCATTGCGCCACTGCTCTTGTATGGAGGAGTAATCGAGCTGGAAGTTTATGATAGCGGCTATGTACAAGGTTGTAAGTTGCTCAACTTCCACATCATGCATTCGCAGGCCACAGTTTCATTTTTGGAACCCATAGGCAAAGGCCTCTGCTTGACTTGCAACTGTTTACGGCCGATCTCAGCCTCCGTGATTTTAATTGCGACGATACGTACGGAAAATGTAAACCACTTTGCAAGCAAGGTAAGCGAGCTCAGGAAGGAAGCTCTGATTTTGGCAACTTAAGAAACTTTCTGCGCTTTGTATTGTAGCCCCATGTGTTGCGTAGACAGAGAAGCTGCTGACAGGGTATGCAAAGCTCGCGAGGGCTACTACTATCAGCATTTGTCGACCAAATTCAAAGTGCTGAGTGCGTATTGGAGGTCGCGGAGCAACCGCGATGGCGGAGTATGGGTCGAAGACGAGATGCAGTTATTGGACTCCTCATATAACACTGTAGACCTTGGGATAACAAACTTCACACTACAGGTGGCCACCGCGCCGTACTTGAACGCAGAAGACCGGCCACTGTAAGTCATCTCGTTTATCTATGGCTTGCCATGTCATAAGGAACATTTCAAAAATCATAATTTTCAGAGGTGAAATTGGATTTGGCCGTGACCCCGTGGGATATGGCTTTGTAAATGTTCTTTACAAAAAGGGGATCATCGACCAACCCGTTCTTTCCATTGGTCACCCACACATCTTCGATCCACGCTACACATTAGGAGCGTACAACACCAATGACTGTTACGATGATTGGCAACCCATTCCGGTAGTCGGTGACCACGGATGGATGTTTGACGCACAAGCTGTTGCTTTCCTGAACTACAAGTCTGAAGTCCATGACTTTCGTGTCATGCTCAGTAGTGATGGAGTCGCACGTATGCCTCGACATGTCTTTAACTCCTTCTTCCCGAGCCTGCTAAGTCGCTATCGAAACGAATACGACATTTACCAGCTGAATGATAGTCGGCGAAACGATGAATTCGATTTCTACGTGGACGTAAACGATGAGATACGGTTTCCTTCGGACCTTGACGCTTTAGATGTTGCCCCAAATCTTAGCCCAGGATAATGTTTCTCTGCTTCAGCTCCAAATCCTAGATCCCAATCCTGATAGAGTGGAGTGGATTTTGGGAAGGATGATCTTGCTAGACACGTGCATAACGTTCGACTTCGAGAAAAGCGAAATGTATTTCGCGCAAGCTCGACCGAACGACGACGATGATGACGACGACAGTGAAGATGACGAAGGAAATGAGTTTCGAGTAAAAAAGAGACGTCGATACAGCCCACTACGTCGTAAAGCCAATAACGTTGGCCACAGGGATGGACGATAACAATCATAAAAACATGAGAAAATAAGGAAGCATTTTACATTTTGTTTTATGACAATCGACAGCTTACAGTGACGTGTAAAAAGCACATATTTTCCGCGTATTTTTTCTGGCATTGAGGCAGAGAACCAATAATCAATCGACTTGCAGGCCATCACAGTTTTCGTTGGCAATCTCGCCAAGAATGAGTCGTGCTACGGCGTTTCGGGTCAGGGACAACTCGGGTTGCGACAGGTCGGGTCAACGACACCTCGGGTCAACGACATTTCGGTTCAACGATACCGTATAATATTTTCGCTTCGGGACAGGGAAAAAAGATTTTTTGGAGAATTTGTTCAAAATTTTGAGATGTTTTCGCTTCGGGACTACCCCTAAATCAACTATTTATCGAAAAAATTGCAACCGCCAAAAATCGGCCCGGCTACTTTCCGGAAGGACCAGTATTTTGTTGATCTTCACGCTTTTGTGGACGATGCCCGGCCGTTTCTCAGTAGCAGTGTTGGCTGGTCTGGATCGCTATGAAAAAGTCTCTGACCCCTTCAATTTTCCGTTCGTTTCTTTCTCCGGTTGAACCCTACCGTAATCGGTTCTACGCGCCGACGCAAGCTGCTGTGAAGGGGCACTCCTTTGACTGTATTTGTGTGGCTTGTGTCGATTTATGGAATAGTAAATTCAAAGGCTCCCCCAGTTAAAACCTTTCCTTGTAAGGGGGATTTTCAGTCAGAAAAAAATATGTGTGATTATAATATATGTATATATATATATAGTATAATATCCTTGCAAAACAATTTTTCTCATCCATTTCATATAATTGCTTCACTACAAGCGCAAGAGAAAAAAATCGGAGGAATTTTATTTATAATAAAAATCTGTGTGCAAGGTTTCTTTGATAGTCTTGAACCCCTTTTTTTTTATAAAAACAACGATGATTTGCTTAATTTCAATGTCCTTTCTGTACGCTGTGCCTTGTGTTTCTGTTGTTTGTAGTCGACTCTACATATTTCCACACATTCTAAAAAATTGCCAGCAGAACAAAATGGAATTTTAATTTTCTGATGTGAGCTTGAAACCATACGGTATTAAACCTGGAATAATTCCAAGTCTTGTAAAAAAACCTATAATGTTTTGTAACCGGGCGTGTGTCAAACTTGTTGTTCGTTCTGTAATTTATGCTCCGTGCGGCTGTTGTTTGTGGTTGTCAATTCCAGTCATAAATCAAGGGGTTTCTTTCTTCACCACTCCCATTTTTGGTGGATCGAAGACCAACACTCTTTTGCTGCGATTTGACATAGCTTATCCCGTTTTATTTCCTACACGATGTTTGATGCCTTCCGCAAGTGCAAATGACGGAGTGCAGCGAACTTGCCAGTTCGTCGTTTTTTGTGGTGGATTTTTTTTGTTTTCCTGACTGTTGAACTTCTGTAATTATTGGGTAATCGAATGTTTTCGCAAAAAAACATCTTTAGATTTCTTTCTCAATACTCCAAATTACATACGCGCATAGCATTGCAAGTGATGAGGTTATAGGCGGGGAAAGCCGTGACTTTTGTCAAATTACAAAATATTTTTTTATGGGCAGAAAGTAAGGGCCTGATTTCAATAAGGAAGTCATCAATTCGGGAAAAAGCGATTGGGACACGGCAACTTAGCAAAATAATCTTATTTTTTCGTATTTTTGGGCTATCAAGCCTCTTCTCCCTTGGTCAATCCTCACAAAAGTTCCGTTTGTATTACACTTTTTTTTCCAGCTATATATTTATACCCATACGGCTAAGATCTTTGGAATTTTTACAACTCTGACATATGTTTCAGAGGTTGGATTTATCTACTAAGAGCATGTTAGATCGACAGAGACTGTTAATGAAGGTCTTGTGAAGGCGGCCAGCTAGCTAATTATGGTTCTATCTGGCAAAAAAAAGAAAAAAAATAATTTTGCTTTCCCTAATCGGCTTTTTCCTCGATTGTCGTGGTACGGCTTGACGTGTGTGATGTCACAAAAACTATCTTTTTCCGCGAGAAATTCGCAACGATTTGGTTGGGAAGCCCTTTCTTTTTGAACGCTCTTCGTATTTAGTTTACCCGTTCTTGCGGCCAATATCGTTGAGTAATGTTCTACAGATCGCAAGTCAGGTTCTCGTGACTTGTGTTGCACAGCAAGTGCAAAATTTTAAGAAAATCTAATTGGCTTTAGACACTTTGTTTCTACAATTTCTACCGTATTCACCACGCTCAAACCAACTTCTTTGAGGAGGGTGCTTTCAACAAATTTTTCTTGCATGTCGAGCAAAACAAGAAGACTCCCGCGTGCTGCGCACATTTCAGCGGTCGTTCGCCATGCTTTCGACCCTTCGCAGTCTGCTTCGCATGTGTAAAACATTTTTGGCGTCTCCGAGAAGATCATTTGACCTTTAACTGACGCGTTTAACAGATCTGCCGTGCTTTGTGTTCGAGTGGTTTGTGCGGAAACACGGTCTGAATCTATTGCGGTCGACATGCCGCCGTCTTTCCCGTGTTGAAAGGATGTCGGCTCGAGAATTAATTGGCGGGGGATATGGTAGTTTTTCATCCGTTATCCGGTTGAGTGGAGTGGGGGAAAAGAACTAGTAGACTTGGGATATGGTAGAAATTTGAATTGATGCAGAATTTATGAGGTTTGCTGCTTGGAGGCGGACAAGGAAACTACCCCAAGTGCGACGCTCAGATTTTTTAAAATTTTGCACACACGTCGGTAATGAACTATGTATCAATTCCTGAAAGTTTTAGCTCGCACTTTGCAAGCGCCGCCGAGATATTGAACGATCTTTGCCGCCGAGAGAGCACGCTAAACGTGGAAAGCGGTCAGGGAGAAAAGCGCTTTTTGGCCATAACTTTGCTAGTTTCGTGCGGAAAAAATTGATTTTTTGTGGAAATATTACCCTCTATGATAGAAATAGGCATGAAATTTTTGGTGTCGAAATTCGGCAAAAAGTGTCAAGTCTTCGCAAACTTTCGATCTAAAATCTCGGTTCTTTCTGCAAAGCGCGAGCTAGAATTCTCGCATATATTTTTGAAAAAAATTATCCTAAATTTGTGCCGAGTTTCATCAAAATCTGAGCGTTGCACTTGGGGTACTTCCAATGTGAGCTAAAATCTCGATGTTTAATAATCGGCTTAGGCGGTAATTACTGTAAATTTGTGATCCTGATTGATCGCCGCAGCTGATTGTGAGCCATTTCAGGACTTTGCGATTTGAAAATTGTTTCAATCTCTTCAGTTTATTAGGCAAAAACTTGATAAAAACAAAATTGATTATATATTCAGCGATTGTTAACTTTTTTAAACCTTGCAAAAATTCGCTAGCCCAAAAAATCTTTTAACTGAGCCATGACGGCGACAAGACAGCCGCAAACACAATCAGTGGACTCCAGATGACCGGCGAAAGAGCGTATGGCGACAACACCAAAGCGCTTAGGGCCATTGGCGACGCAATAATCGGAGACAGCACAAATGGTGATAATATTAGAGGAGATCCCACCATAGGATTTAAAATTAGTGGCGATAAACAAAGGGGCGATAGAATAATTGGAGTGAAGACTTGAGGGGACAAAATGAATGGTACCATGAGAAGAGGTGACAGAACTAGCGGGGTGAACAGACCCGGCGACAGAATGGCCGGATGGAGAGCGAATGGTGACAAGATCAAGGGATTGAACATGAACGGCGACAAAATAATCGTTCCTAGAATACGCGGCGACAGGATTAGCGGTGTGAAAATCCAAGGGGTCAGGATCAGCGCGCCGTAAATTGATGGGGACAAAACGAGAGGCGTGAAAATGACCGGCGACAGGATGAATGGCTGCGAAGCCAGCAACGGGTTTGCAACTAACCAGGTGAAACTAACGGGCGATAAGATTAGACCAGACAAAAGCTGGCGCTTCCTTCTTCGGTCATGATGCTTAGTTTGAGATTTTGCAAATTCATTTTCATCGATTTTAAAGTGTTCCAACTCCGCCAACCGCTGAAAATCGTCGTGCAAATGATCACGAATTTCTTCTTCAGTCATGTTCATTAGACGGTTATATACGGCCGCATCGGCGTATGGGGAGTTCGGGCCATAGATCATCTCAATTTGATGCGGTTTGAGGATCGAATAACCAGTGGTGTTCATCTCGCGCAACTGAAAATTTAGACGATTTATTGGAAAGAAAAGCATGTTTGGCAAGAAAGTGTCCCAAACATTAGGGGATTTTTCTAAACTAGACATAAAGTTGCTTCCTTACCTGCTCTTTACTATAGTTCGTATGGAACTTCTCGAACATTTCGATGTGCTCCGGCGACATCCCCAATTCCGTGGCATTCTCTTTTGTCGCATAAAGTGGAGTGCCATTTTCATCGATCAGATTTGTAATGTTCGTCATTAAGGACCGTGTTTTGTTTATTTCAATCTCATTTACATCTTGCTCAAGCTTATCGCTTTGCTCATTCACTCCGGCTGCCTCCATAATGATATCCAGCCAAAGTTGTTGATCTTGGCTGGAGAATCCTTTGAGGAGATTGGGGAGACTGGTCAGGTTCTCAATTCCTTCGCCTTGGTCGTGGAGAGAGAAGAGTGAGGGCGAGATTAGACTGATCTGAAAATAGCGTTGGTCAGAGTGGACTAGGTTATATTACTCAAAAAATAACCCAGTTTGAGTACAGTCAAATCCAGATTTTACTTATTTCCCTGGACTAGAATTTTATAGACTTTAGATTTTACTTTCTGATTGCAGAATCATGTACAGGGTGGGGCATCTTTGTGGCCCGATTTGAATTGGCTATAACGAAAAAATGAACTCCAAGAATAAATCCAATAACTGTAGGCAAAGCTTACCTATGTATAACATGTTTGGTATAAAACAAAATGGGGATGTCTGGGGATTCAAGGAAAAAAGGATTTTAAGATTTGGCCAAAAACTGAAGAAGTTATAGCCAATTCAAATCGGGCCACAAAGATGCACTGCCCTGTATAATATTTGGCCGACTTCTTACCTCATCCTCTTTCTTTTCCTCCGGCACAACTCCCAAAAATCTTGGCGACACTAACTTCATATTCCTCTCTTCAAAATTCGTTGTGTTCTCCCCCGCCAAGCTGTATATCAGTTTCAGCGCGCCTTTGATCATGCCCACAACTTTATCCTCTTTTGTTTTTGGGATCTTCTTGCTTTTGACCAGTTTCTTCAACTCCTTTGGATCGTTAACAATTTTTTCCATATCCAGGTCGTCAGCCGTCACTTTGTTTCCCATCTTTTCTTTAAGCAGTCCCAGTCGCATATTCGGCAAGTTCTCCTCACTATCGTTCTCAATCATCTCTTGGTACTTTTTTCTTTTTGCTCCGTTTGTCTTCAACTTCTCAACAGTTCTCTGCCATTTGGGGATTTCCGATTTGCCCTTCAATTTCTTCACAGACTCCATCAAAGCTTTGGCTATGTGGCCAAGCGGAGTCATTTGCTCCTTGTTTGTCTTGAGAGTGTAGGAATCAGAGGCCTGAACTTTTGGTGATCTTCTACCCCTTGTTTTAGGCAAGTGTAAGTCTTCGGAATCCTGTGAAAAATCGGTTTTGAATCCTTCTATCTCTTTTCTGTACTTCTGAAGCCGATGAGGTCGTTTCCTTATTTCTGCCTTAATCTCATTCTTCAACAGTTTGCTGAGACATCTGGCATGCTTTGGTATATCAGTGGCACTTGATGAGCATTCTCCGTACTTTAGAATTATCGATCGACGCTGACGTTTTAGTCTAAAAACATGATTCTGAAGTGACCGTTCTTCGACACAACTTGTTATGAATAATAATACATTATATATAAAGACGTGGCTTACTTATGATTAGCGATCGCCGACATCAACGAGCTGAGGCCCGTATCCACCCATTTTTGATACATATCCACCACGTCATCGTCTTTTATATCAGCTCTATAGTATTTGTCACCGGGCGCTTTTTTCAGCTCAAAGTCCAAATTGACTTGTGAAATATGACTTATTGCACTTGTAGACTGCATTATATAGATCAGCATGGCACCAGCAAAGAGCAACTTTGGCTGCATTCTGAAAAGACAAGTCAGAAATTGAGTAGAGCAAGTGAGATTCACTCTTATGATGCTACATATACCACCTAAACAAATTCGAAAAAACCTCTAATTCCAATATCCTCAAAAATTTCTCAAAATTCTCATTCTTCCCTCTCTTCGTGCCCTACATGATGTTCAACCTGTAGCTGACCTCCTTCCGTTCCGCCTATTGTTCCACTCCCAGCACTGTTTGCATGCCAAAAGTCGGATTTGCTGGTCGGAAATCCCATCCCAATCATAGCATTAAGCCAATTATCAGCCATTTTTCGCGTGTTTTCACAGTGCATTTAACTTCAAGTTCCACCTCCTTGCATTGAGTTCATGTTCAAATTTTCAGATCCTGAATGGAGGAAATGCCAAACACTCCCATTCGTCTTGCTCCGGCATGTTTAAAGTAGTCGAATTAGCAAAACTTACAAGTTTTTTTCAAGTATGGGCGGAGTTTTCGACTGAAAATTGCAAGGAACATTAGACCTTCCAATGAATGAAATCTGCGTTTTTCGAAATTAGAAACAAGGATCTACAGTATGCCAACGGAAGAACAATGCCCCTCCCACTCTGGGTCAGCGGGGTGTAGCTAAGATGTTGTGGATTCGCGACTTTTCAACAGCCGGAAGGATATTGTCAGCACAACGGCGGACTACTGTTTCCAACAAAGAAGAAAATGGATGTGATTTTTTACAAGGTAGGTGCATAATAATATATTAGTTTCTGTATATAACTCTCGGTCTAATTCAGTACATGAGTCGTCAATACCCGTAAATAATCTTATTTCTCCATTCCTTGACTTTCCAATCATCTCTTTCCTTGCCATGTTTGAAAAATTGCGCTGAGGGAAATACTTCCTTCTGTCTCCGACATAAGTATAATACTACCGCAGCTTGAAGAGGAGAGGTTTTTTTACGACCCAGGGGGTAAAATCTAGGAGTAGCACACCCAGATCTACTATCGTACCCGATAAGTCCCTTTTGTCTTGTCCATCGCCACCTTCAGACTCCTCTACGTCTCTACGGTAGCTTCCAATGCTTTCCTTCCATTTATTTATCCTTCCCGAAATTGCCCCTATTGCACAATATCAACGCCTTTACTTTATATTCGAGGCCACATAACTAGTATTCAACTCTATTTGTTGACGAGAGGTACACGAATTGCGGAGGGCGTCAAGAAAACCGCTTTAAGCCCGGATCTCTGACAATTTTGGTTTAGTTTTTTTTGCCAAAGACGGTATTTTAATTTAATTTTTTAAAATTTTCCACCAGTAAGTAGCCTTATTTTTCCAGAACCCAAAAATTCACTGCCCAGTTTAAAAGCGTTTGCATAGCATTCCGAGCTTTTTTGTCGCCACCGATCGATCCCAATTTTCACTCAAAATGACAGCAGGGCTTCGCGCCTAGCTGATAACTAGCTAGCCCGAAAATGAAAAATAGTAAAAGTTGGTTTCCAGATAGAATGAAAAAACACCTATCCAAAGATATAAATAGTTTCTATTATCTTTCTCTCTGTAACGATTTATTTCTCCTATACAAAATTGCAAATTATTTGTTTATTCATGGCTACGTTTTCTCTATCGATCCAGGGCTACGCTTAAACTTAGAAATTCTGCCTTTCGTCCAAATGGCAGAATTTGTGCTAATCTTGCCAATAGTATTTTAGGGATTTTTGCTTCTCGATCATGTTTTATCATGCTCTTTGACGTTTGAGGTTTGAACTCTTCTTTTGAAATAATTTTCGTTTTTACGCTCTTTACTGTAGACTCTTTGAACCGCCCATTTCCGATGCATTTCCTTTGTCGCGTAAAGCGTTAGGGTCGGTTTTATTCAAGCCAATCTTTATTTAATTTTTTTCTTCAAACGTTTGTCGTTCCTTGTTTGGAAGAATCACCATGTCTTGCGCTGGAATTGATATAACGCTTGACGGGCATTTATCATACGTTCGAATTATTGACCGGTGTTCCTGTGTTTGCCTGGAAATCCTATTTTAAAGTAATGAAATGATTTTTGATAGCCTTTGAGGATGCCAACTTATAATACTTCAAAAACATGAGGATTGGTTCCTGGACGACCATAAGAATCACGCTGAGTCATTCTGAAAGGGCGGTCCCTACACTTAGCAGGTAATAACTAGGGTAACTGTGCCAAATGCGACGCTCAGACTTAAATAACAGTAAAAATTAGATTACTAAATATTCCTGTGACGCGAACGATCTTTTCCAAGATCCTCAGCTCATGTTATGAAGACTCAACCGGGATTTTTTGTCCGACTCTGCTCGACACACAACAAAAGACGAACTGCAGTCTTGCGATGTGGTATTGGAGCTTGTGTTTCTAATTGCGTGTTAATCATAAATTTAGCACAGACTACGAGAATTTGAAAGGTTTATATGACCTTTGGCTTTAAAAGAAACAGAAATTCGTCTGTATTTAAAATGCCAGGAGCACAGCTTGAGGTTAGGTAGCTGCAGAGGTCAAGGGAATACGGAAAGGTTAGATATAGTGTTAACAAGCGATTATTGGAAGTCATAAGAAATGTATTTTTTTGGCAAGAACTCTGCAAACCTGAGTAAAAATGGAAATAAAAATTATTATACAGTCTACAGTGGGGGACCTGATCCAGTCGCAAAAACGTACCATTTTATATCCGGGAAGCATCAAAAATGTGGCAAAATACCTCTCACTACAATAAAAAAACTTTGTTTTGAAATGCGCGCCCTTTCCCTCACAAAAAGAGCAGACTATTGAAATCGGAGTTTTTTTACTTGGAGAAGGAAGCATCTTGCCACATTTTTGATCCTTCCCGGATGCAAAATGAAACGTTTTTGCCTCTGGATCAGGTCCCCCACTGTATACATATAATCCCTGCAATCTCAGTTGTTTTTCTGCAGCAGTATTTTCAATGCGCGGTTTCTGAATTCGTCTTGTAATTAATGACATGTGCCCTGTGATTAATGACTTGTGTTCCTGTGGTTCGTAGCTGTCAGTTCCCGTCATAAATCATGAAATCCGTTGTTTTCACCACTCCCATTTTTGGTGGATAAAGATCGACGACTATCATTTGACACAACTGATCGCGTTCAATTTTCTTTCCTGGTGTTCGATATTCCCGATGTTTTTTCATGCATTTGCTGTAGTTTTTGTCATACATATGTTTTTCTTGAATTCGGGCATCTTTCGATTTTTTCGGTGCGTTTTACAAACATGACATGTCCACTCAATCATCGCCAACGTGGGCGTTGCACTTGGGGCACTTCCCTGTTAGGCGTGAGAGTTTTTTAGGCATTCAGGGATGGTTGAGTGAGTCGGGTTTTGATTAGCGTTGAGTTTGTGGACATTGTTCCGGCTAGGCTTGAAGCTGAAAGCTAGAATGTTTAGCTATGCGATGAAAGCACTTATGAACAAACTTTAAAGTGAAGGACTTGGGCAAACAACGTTCCATTTTGCGTCCGGGAAGTATCAAAAATGAGGCAAAATGCCTCAAACTAAAAAACTTAGTTTGAAAAGCGCGCCCTTTCCCTCACAAAAAGAGTTGTCGCGCTTTTGAAATCGTAGTTCTTCCCTTGAAGAGGGAGGTATTTTGCCACACTTTTTGATACTTCCCGGATACAACATGGTACGTTTTTTGCCACTGGATCAGGTCCGCTACTGTAAACGATAAACTGACCAACAAACTACAGTAAAGACTTTGTTGTACGGAAGTTTTTTTCAGCCCAAAATTGCCTTTTGATGTCGTGTTTTGTTTTCGTGACAGTCATTTGTTTTTGATAATCTTCATTGCTCAAGACTTGATGGCAGAGCGGTTCCACGTCATGTTGCACTTTTATGTTTTGACCTCCGGATTTCTCTATCACAATTACGGGAAAAAGGCATTCCAATCCCCTTCCTTCTGCCCCTTGCTTTTCGTACCGTAATCCCCTCATCCCAAAACAGAGCCTGTGACGAAGCTGTGGTTTGGTGCGAACCATGCGCGTGTTGCGCACGTTTCGAAGGTCGTCTTTCCATGCTTTCAGCGCCTTCGATTGACCTTTTGCGCGCCTGTTATACTTTATACATGTATAAAATTGGTGGTCAATGATCAGGAATAGGGAGATCCGTTTGAACTTTTCTTGATCTTAATGCACCTTCAGCTTCTTTAAAAAGACGCTCAGGCTTTGCCGAAGTTTCGGGATTTTTTTGAAAATATTGATTTTATCAAAAATTCGAGAAAAAATTAAGTATATATTCCATAGGTGTGACGCTTGTAGTAGTTTTTACGCCTGTATATTCTTCACCCGTCGCAAATTCCTTTCTGGGAGCTGTCCGACTAACAGAGCGTACGTTTTTTACGTACGCTTTTGGTCAGAGAAGCGAAAAGATCTCGTATTAGCGAGAGAGTCCGATAGAAACCGCTCTTGTTGATCCAAAACCTAGAGTAGGTCTCAAAGTTGGAGCCATAACTTTCGAGCCGGTGGTCCTAAGTCGATGAAACTTACAGAGCATATAGAGCACACAACTAGATTTCTGTGAATATAAAATTCGTCCTCAAATGTTACAGTATACCCAAACCCGCCAAGATTTTACTCCAAAAACACAAAAAATTCGTATTGTTTCAAAGTTGGGCTTATAAGTCGGCTAGAAGTTTAGCTAGATTGCTAAAATTAAAAACGGCAAGTCTTGACACAATTGTCGTCATTATTTTGGAAAGAGGGCAAAGAAATTTGGCCAATAACAGGCACAGTAAATTCAAAAACTTTATTGTGCACCTCATTTCCGATCATTTTCCGCGCTTTTCTTTTCGATTTTTTTGGTGAAAACGGTAGCTCGGTCATCCGCGACATGGCTTCAAAATTGGGCTTGTAACTTTGTAGCCGTTGTCTTCAAATTGATGAAATTTAAGCAACTTAAAGAGTGGACATTTAGCTTTACAGAAATATAAAAATTGTTATTTAATGTTACAGTATAGCCAAATCCGCCTTGATTTTCCTGAAAAAACACAAAAAATCCAAAAGTTTTTGAAGTTGGGTTTATAAGTCAGCTGAAAATTGAGCTAGAATTCTGAAATTAACGAAACGTGTTCTATGCAGTAGCGCCTTGGATAATTTGGAAAGACGGCATAATATTTTGACGTGTACCGGATACTGTAAGCCCGGAAATCTTTTTGGGGGCGCCTTTTCTCGAACTTTTATGTCCACAAAAGCGGAGGAAGAAGGGAGAGAAACGGTAGAAAATGCGAGCATAAAAAGATTTTCGAGGTTACAGTATCCGCTACGTGTCGAAATGTTATGCCCTCTTTTTAAATTATGAAAGGTAGTACTTCATAGGACATTCAGCTTTAATTTGAGCATTCTAGCTTGCGGTTGAGCTGACTTATGAGCCCAACTTTAAAAATCGCGGATTTTTTTGTTTTTTTATGCGGATTTCTTATGTTTTTGCAGTAAAATCAAGGCGGGTTTGGGTATGCCGTAATATTTAATGACGATTTTTATACTCAAACAAAGCTAATTGTGTGCTCTATAAGCCCTGTAAGTTTTATCAACTTGCGACCACCGGCTCAAGAGTTATGGCTCCAACTTTGAGACCTACTCTAGGTTTTGGATCAACAAGAGCGGTTTCTCTCGGACTCTCTCGCTAATTCGAGATCTTTTCGCTTCTCTGACCAAAAACGTACGGAAAAAACGTACGCTCTGTTAGTCGGACAGCTCCCTGATGATTTTTTTACAATTAGTTCATCGTTTGAGGCTTCAGGCTTACAGGGGAAGTACCCCAAGTGCGACGCTCAGATTTTGATGAAACTTGGCACAAATTTTGAATATTTTGTTCCTAAAATATATGCGAAAATTCTACTCGCGCTTAGCTGAAACAACCGGGATTTTATGATCGAAAATAAAAAATTTGTCACTTTTTGTCGAATTTCGAACAAGAAGTTTCATGCTTATTTCAAAAAATCAATTTTTTCCGCATGAAACTAGAAAATTCAAAAAGTGTTTTTCTCTCTGACCGCTCTCCGTGGTTAGAATGCTCTCTCGGCGGCAAAAATCGTTCGATATCTCGATGGCGCCTGCAAATCGCCAGCTAAAACTTCCAGGAATTGATAGCTAGTTTATGACCGACGGCTGTGCAAAATTTAAAGAAAATCTGAGCGTTGCACTTGGGGTACTTCCATTGTTAACCGGGCTATGAGAAAGAAGGTTTCTTGGCGCTAACTCCTTGAATTTTGTATAAAAAAAAGTTTGTTGTATTTTTTTTTGATTTGTTGCATTGCACATTTTAGTAAAATCATCACTCTAAATTTTTAGCCAAAAAAGTCGCTGAGACATCTGCTTTGCCAAAAAAATGGAAATAATACTCACAATTCCACAAAGCGTTATTGTCATATCTCAAGCTTACAAAATCCCCTTTTTCTTAAAATCATCTTCAATCCGCCTGTCATGTAGGAATCAATTTTAGCGGTGACGAGAAAGTGCATTCAACCTTAAACTCAAGTCGCCGACCACCCTGTTCTGGTTTGTGATAGCGAAAACCCCTTTGAATCATGTGCGCGCAACATGCCGTTTTCTCGCGCCGAAAGCATGCCCGATCGAGAGTTTGCCGCCGATCCTTCATTCGTTTTCCGGCTGAGTGAAATTAAGGGAATTTAAGTAAATAGTAGTGCTCGGATATGGTAGAAGCTGGAAGATCTTTGAAGCGGTTTTACATGAAATTCTGCGGTTAAGTATATCAAAAAGAAGCCATAGCAAGCGTAGGCTTTGAAGTATCAATAATCTAGCCATTTACATTTTTAAGGCTTAGAAATAAGTACTTAAAAAGGCTTTATATAATCTATATATTATTTATTAGGCATAGGTTAAGACAATTAAAATATGATGCCAACAACTGGTTACAATTTGGCTAGACATGATAGTTCTTGTGTTCCGTAGACAATCTGCCTCCTGGCTCTAGCTCAGCCATGACGGGGAGAGAACGGCAGCAAAGACAATCAAAGGAGACCAGATGACCGGCGATAGCGCGTAGGGACTAAGAACTAAGGCACTTAGAGCCATTGGCGACGCTATGATCGGAGACAACACAAATGGTGACAAGATAAGAGGCGATCCCACCATAGGATTGAGAATAAGTGGGGACATACAAAGAGGCGACAAAATGATTGGGGTAAAGACTTGAGGGGACAAAATGAATGGTACCATGAGAAGGGGTGACAGGACTAGAGGAGTGAACAGGCCTGGCGACAAGATTGCCGGATGAAGAGCGAATGGTGACAAGATCAAGGGATTGAACATGAATGGAGAAAGAATAATCGCTCCTAAGATACGTGGCGACAAGACGAGCGGGACGAAAATCCAAGGGGTCAAGATAATCGGCCCAAAAAGAGAGGGGGATAAAATTAGAGGCGTGAAAATAACCGGCGACAGGATGAATGGCTGTGAAGCCAGCAACGGGTTTAAAACTAGCCAGGTAAAACTAACGGGCGATAGGATTAGACCAGACAAAAGTTGACGCTTCTTTCGTCGGTCATGATGATTAGTCTGAGATTTTGCAAATTCATTTTCGTCAATTTTAAAGTGTTCCAACTCCGCCAATCGCTGGAAATCGTCGTGCAAATGATCACGAATTTGTTCTTCAGTCATGTTCATTAGACGATTGTATACGGCCGCATCGGCGTATGGAGAGTTCGGGCCATAGATCATCTCAATTTGATGCGGTTTGAGGATTGAATAACCAGTGGTGTTCATCTCGCGCAACTGAAAATTTAGGCGATTTATTAGAAAGAAAAGCTCATCTTTGGTGTCCCAAACATTAGGGGGTTTTCTAAACTAGACATTAGGTTGCTTCCTTACCTGCTCTTTACTGTAGTTTGTATGGAACTTCTCGAACATTTCGATGTGCTCCGGCGACATCCCCAATTCCGTGGCATTCTCTTTTGTCGCATAAAGTGGAGTGCCATTTTCATCGACCAGGTTTGTAATGTTCGTCATCAACGATCGTGTTTTGTTGATTTCGTTAATGTCCTGCTCAAGCCTCTCGCTTTCCTCATTCACTCCAGCTGCCTCCATAATGATATCCAGCCAAAGTTGTTGATCTTGGCTGGAGAATCCTTTGAGGAGATTGGGGAGACTGGTCAGATTCTCAATTCCTTCGCCTTGATCGTGGAGAGAGAAGAGTGAGGGCGAGATTAGACTGATCTGAAAATGGTGATCGGCTTGGTATAGATTATATAATAGAATTTAAAAAACCATTACAAAAGGTATTTACTTCAGATTAGCGGGTACCATGGCCCGTTCGACCGGTCATGCCAAGTTTTTTAATCAAGTTAGGAGTTCATAAAGTGAAGAGTTTTTTACTTTTTTTTTGGCCTGTCATATGTCTGGGACCGCTTTAATTTTCAATCGATTTCTGGTAACGAAGTTGGTCAAATTTAGAGGTCAAATTTGGACTTTTGAAATTTTTTTGTTTATTATCCGATCAAGCCAGATGCAAGCAAAATCCGTCGACCGATGTCGCTCAAATCTCTGTATTTCTTACCTCATCATCTTTCTTTTCCTCCGGCACAACTCCCAAAAATCTTGGCGAGACTAACTTCATATTCCTCTCTTCAAAATTCGTTGTGTTCTCCCCCGCCAAGCTGTAGATCAGTTTCAGCGCGCCTTTGATCATGCCCACAACTTTATCCTCTTTTGTTTTTGGGATCTTCTTGCTTTTCATTAACTTTCTCAACGCCTTTGGGTCCTTTATAAGCCCTTCAACGTCGATGTCATTGGCCGTCGTCTTCTTTCTTCCCATTTTCTCTTTCATCAGTCCCAATTGCATGTTTTGCAGGCTCTCTTCACTGTCGTTTTCGATCATCTCTTGGTACCTTTTTCTCTTTGCTCCGTTTGTCTTCAACTTCTCAACAGTTCTCTGCCATTTGGGAATTTCCGATTTGCCCTTCAATTTCTTCACAGATTCCATGAGGACTTTGGCAATGTGGCCAAGAGGGGTCATTTGCTCTTTGTTTGTCTTGAGGGTATAGGAATCAGAGGCCTGAATTTTTGGTGATCTTCTACCCCTTCTTTTTGGCAAATGCAAGCCTTCAGGATCCTGTGAAAAGTCGGTTTTGAATCCTTCTATCTCTTTTCTGTATTTCTGAAGCCGATGAGGTCGTTTCCTCACTTCGGGTTTAATTTCATTCTTCAATAGTTTACTCAGACATCTGGCATGCTTTGGGATGTCAGTGGCACTTGATGAGCATTCGCCGTACTTTTGAATCACCGATCTTCGTTGACGTTTTAGCCTGTAAAAATTTATAGATTTCTCAAAGTCATCGCTTACTTATGATTAGCGATTGCCGACATCAACGAGCTGAGGCCTGTATCCACCCATTTTTGATATATATCCACCACGTCATCGTCTTTTATATCAGCTCTATAGTACTTATCACCAGGCTCTTTTTTCAACTCAAAGTCCAAGTTGACTTGGGATTTTTGCTCTATTCCACTGGCATATTGAGGAATATAGAGCAATAGTATGGTAGTTAAACTGATTGATACCCTCATTCTGAAACGAAGCTATCAAATACAAGCAAGAAACTGATTGAAACAAGTAAAATTCACATCGTAGCCACCACATACATACTATCGACACAAATTACAAAAAAACCTTTAATCCCTTTTTCTCAAAAAAAAGTCACAAGATCCTCATCTTTCCCTCTGTTTGTGCTCTACATGATGTTCAACTTGTAGCTGACCTCATTCCGCTCCGCCTCTTGTTTCACGCCCAACACTGTCTGCGTACCAGAAATCGCATTTAGTGGTCGGAAATCCCATCCCAAATCTTATCATTAAGCCAATTATCAGCCATGTCTCGTGTGTTTTCACAGTGCATTTAACTTCAAGTCCCACCTCTTTGCATGGAGCTTATGTTCAAATTTCAGCGATCTGGAATGGAGGAAATGCCAGACACTCCCATCCGTCTGGATCCGGCATGTCTTTAAAGTAGACGAATTAGCAAAACTTACAAGTTTTTCCCAATTATAGGCGGAGTTTTCGACTGAAGATTGAACGAAACATGCGGGTTTCTCATGGAGTTTGTGACTTTCAAAAATTGGAAACAAGGATTTACAGTAATCCTCTGAGAAAACGAGGTTAGCCCGCCCAGGTTTTTGTGCTGCGGAGTGGATTGGGGATGCCGTCAATTCGTTAATTCCATCAACAGACAAAACTAGGGTGGTCTACAGTTTCGAGAACAGGAGGATATGGATTTGATGGAGTGTCTGGTGGGCTGTTATAATATTTCTAATGTTTGGTGTTTGTCAAAATGGGAAATTTTCCAGGACAGGGCCAAAAGTTGCTGCCGAGACATGATCACGAATTTCTTCTTCAGTCATGTTCATTAGACGGCTATATACGGCTGCATTGGCGTACGGGGAGTCTGGGCCATAGATCATCTCAATCTGGTCCGGTTTGAGGATTGAATAGCCAGTTACGTCGCGCCTCGGAGTCGCTCATCATCGCTTTGCGACTGCAAGCCGCGGCTTGGGATTTGGTGCGCGATAGCGGCGAGGCGAGACATTTTGCTGCGACGATCCGCCGTGATTTTTCCGACAAACTGATAACAAGCAGATCCATTTCGACGATGCACTGAAATTTGCATGTTTCTGCCAAGGGATGTGTTTCTGCGGGAGCACCCGGATTTCCTCAAAAAATTGCATTCAGACTCTGAACCGGTCGGGTATATTTGTCCATTTTCCAGCGACAGGCGATAAAAGCCGGCTCCATTTCGAGAGCGCTCGAGAAATCAAGAGAACCAGTCAGACAGAGAAGGTGACATAAGTTTTTTGCCTTGTCATGGAATACTAGGCGAGCCAAAAAGTCTTGTTTTCGCACCGTGTGAGGCCGCATTGCACCGTAAATTTTTCTTGTCACCGCGCGACAAATTTTATGCACGACATTGTGCAGACATGTAAAGACTTTTTGGCCCGCCTAGAAAAGTTTTTGTAAATGCCTGAAAATCGCGAAAGAAAGTGTCATGCTTTTGGATTTCCGATGAAAAAACTTATCCTTCCCTGAATGTAGTGGAAGCTAGGGATCCTGCATGTACTATCCAATTCTTTTTTCCCGACGTTAAATACTTGCCTCGTTTGTAATATTCGTCATAAACGAGCACGTTTTATTGATCTCTATGTCATATAAAGCCTGCTCGAAATTTTCGCTTTTCTTGTTCACTCCGGTAGCTTCTATGACAATTTGCCTCTCAATTTCTTCACTGATTCCGTGGCTATGCATTTTGCCTGTTTTTAGGTGGTAGGAATTTGAAGCCGTGACCTTTTTTAATCCCAACTTTTTGGCTGTTCCATTATCCAGGGTCAAACATTTTTGGCAAACTGCACTACATACATATTCTTCAGTTTTCAGTGGTGCAAAATTCGAGGAAAGTCTGAAACCACTTCGAACACCTCCATTGCTAGCCAAAAAATTGCAAACTTAACATTTTGTAAGGCAGCCAACCTGCTAACGCCATAACCCTAAAGATTCGCGATTTTTTGAAGGTATTTCCTGACCAAGCTTTAATCAATATGGCGTTTTGTAACAAATAATAAAATTTTTGGGGAAATCGTTGGCTGTTTTTTTATTCGGTAGCCGGGACAAACACTTTCTTTCTGCTCAGAAATCAAGGTTCTAAAATTTAGACTAATATAGTTCTCCAAAAATTCTTCCGAAAGAACTTTGGTAGTTCAAATTTCTTGGTCGATCAATAATTTGTGGACGGAAAGTCTAAATCGTTCTGGAAACGCGCTGGATTGACGTTCTTTCCACGTTTTTCTCCAGTGACGAGCCTTTTTGGTTTGAGGTGGGATGAGATGACACCGACATCAAACGGTCATAAGCGATCGCAACAATCTCGCCGCTGTGCGTTTTTGATGCTTTCTTATATCGGATTAGGGCCAAATTTATTAGGTTGTTCAGAAAGTTCGGTCGTTTTTTTTATTGCTTTGTTTTACAAAGATTGTTTGTCGTTTGGCAATACATTTATTTGATACAGCGTTTTCTGCTCTACAAAACTATGTTTTTGATTTTTTTGAACAAACAATCTTTGTAAAACAAAGCAATAAAAAAGCGACCGAACTTTCCGAACAACCTAATAAATAGCCCGTACCGTAGCATGCTAAATTGCTTTTTTCCGGCCAGGATGTTCAACAATTTTTTTTTATTTATTGCACGTCAAACTGAGGAGTCCGGTGACCGGAATACATAGACCCTTCGCTATCGGTTTTTTACACTTCGTCTTGATTTCGCAGAGAAAGGGAGAAAAAAGACACGCAAAAGCGCACTCTCTCGCCCAAAAAATTCCCCATTTCTCCCCCGACAAAACGTTTTTTTGCGTCTTTTTTTGGCAAGTTGCCAATCCATTCACCGGACTGTTTTAGCTTATCTCAGTTTGACGTGTACTGTGGCACCCTGCGCTCGTGCTATAATTATTTGCTTTGCTCTTTGTTATTCAAAAGTAGCTGTGCTGGCGGTTTATGCTTTGTGTTGCCTAATTTGTATTCTCACAAGTTAGAACTTTTAGATGTTAGATGTTAGAGAACGCTATAAAAATGTACAAAGCTTCGACAAGGAAATCTCTGTGTAACTAACGTTTTATATTGAGTACAAGCACAGGATCCTCCTTGCAATAAACCCTCTAGAGCAGATGGATTATGTATTTGGTTACTTCTTTTTTCAGTGACTCTAGCTACAAAATACCGACACAACCAATTCACACAATCGAAAAAAGTGTTACCGTAGTCTCTGTTTTATGTTTTTGCGAATTTCACAGTCTGTATGTGAAGTTCAGCACAATAAGTGTAGTCCCGTCCCATTTCCGCGAAACCTTGACGAAATCACCGTAACTTTCGGGAGAATAGTTGGCTCTTTTTTTTGGTTGAAAACTAATTGTGATTGTGGAAGGAAAGTCACAATGATGTTCATCACAAAACCGAACATATACTTATTGAGCGCAAATGCCAACTTTTCGATTTTCCTAAACATGTTGCAGAATTTATTTGCGTGATATTCTCCAATTTTTTCGCGATCGGAAATGGCTTTTTTTCTTTGAAGGCCATGAACCGCGGTTTTTTTATTGACTATGTACTTTTATATGTGCTTCTGAAAGCTAGGTTTAACCCTTGCTTCTTTGGGGCAAATATTTAACACTTTAGCGTTTATATAAAGCGGGAGATAAAAGATTTTCTGAAAAATTTTTGAAATTTTTCTGTTTTTACTTTTTTTTTAAAAAAAAAGTAAATTTTGAAAAATTTCCGGAAATTTTCGATTTCGGAGAGTCAAAAAACATTCTTACTCCGAACGACAAATTTTTGGAAAGTTGGATCAAAAATGGCTCGCCAAAAGGTCGATCCGCAAAGTTGAAACAAAAATGGCTCGCCCATTTTGGCTGGTGAGTAGGATGCCGTTTTTACTCACCTGCACGCCAATTTATTTTCTTCAAAACTATTTTTGCGAGCTGCGCCCGGGAATTCCAGATGTGTCAAATTTCTCTCTCCCGGAAGAAACGTTTTGATTTTTTTTTGAAGTTGTGAATCTATTTTCTCCACGAAGATGGGCTGAAAAGTGATCAAGTAAGTTAGCATTAGCAAGAGGAGATGTACTTTTTTTCATTTGACACCAAAAATTTTCCTTTTATTTCAGAGAAAGGTACAAATTTTTTCCAATTCGTAAAGCTTCATGACCATGGATAATAATGTAAGTGCGCTTATCGCGTTTTTTGTTCCGTTATTGGAGTTAACAGGTCTAGGCTGGCGAGTTCTAGAGGACACCTCACTTTAGTTTTGTTATATACTCTATCTATCAAACGCCACCAAATTCGATTTCTAGGTGTCATGTACAATATCGAAATCCGCTCAGATCTGCCGGATTTTTGCCACGAATGCGTTCTAAACTGAGGTAATAACGTAATAAGGCTCAAATAACGTTGTTACAATAACTTGAAGATAGTTTGCATAGGTTTTACTTTAGTATAACATACTTTTGGAAAGTTAGTATAGTATTTGAAATTTTTACGTCGTTATTCCTCAAAATTTATGGGGTTTCATACATGGAGAATATACATGAGAGTGGGGTCTCCTCTAAACGTTTCCCGACTTAGAATCTTGACGTCGTAGCAAAAAAGGAGATAATCTCACTTACATTATCCATGGTCATGAAGCTTTACGAATTGGAAAAATTTTGTACCTTTCTCTGAAATAAAATGGAAATTTTTGATGTCAAATGAAAAACGTACATCTCCTCTTGCCAATGCTAACTTACTTGATCACTTTCCAGCCCATCTTCGTGGAGAACATAGCTTCACAACGTCGCACAAACGTAAAAATAATTTTTTCGGAAGAGAAAAACTTGACACATCAGGGAAAGACTTGGCATCAACCTTGCAACCTGAAGTGCGGGGCCAAAAAGAGGAATAAAGTAAAAACAAGCTCTGACTTTCGGCGACTCCGAGCGGGGAGTAAGATCCGGTCCTACTCCCGACCTTGAAGTCGGAAAGCCAGAAACAAAATTGACTTTCTTTTGCATTTTCCTTGAAGTAAACTGAAAATTTACTTTTTTTTTTAAAAAAAAGTAAAAACAGAAAAATTTCAAAAATTTTTCAGAAAATCTTTTATCTCCCGCTTTATATCAACAAAACTAGGAGAAGTTAATTTGCAGAGGAGAAGTTAAATTTTGAAACTAAAGATCATGAAAAAATTTTTTTTTTTTGGTTTTGTATGTAGCCTACAAAGGAGGCACCTACTCAATTGTGATGCTCAGATTTTCTTTGACTTCTTGTTTCACTTCGGGCGTTCACCACATATTAATAACTAACCACATAGTATTAGCTTACGTTTTCCTGAGGAGATATTCCACAATCTTTACGTCCGAGAGAGTAGGCGAAACGGGGAGAGTGGTCACAGAAGAAAAATACTTTTTTTGGCATTTCTTTGGCGGTTTGACAAGGGAAAAAATTATTTTTTGTGGAAACAATACCCTCTACGGTAGAAATAAGCACGCTACTTTTCACATCAAAATTCGCAAAAAATATTGTCTCATATTTTCTAGTTTTCGATCTAAAGCTTATTGGGCATTTCTGCAAAGCGCAAAGTAGGAATCCAATGTTTTGCAAAGAAAGTATAATACTTCTATGGGGTATGGAGTTACAGGTCGAGACATATCAAAAAAAATCGCAAAATATCAAATTTGATTAATACTGCACCTTAATTAATTAGTGGTGTTGCGAGAAAAGTTCTGAGGATTTTTTTACCCATACAAACCAAAATTATTCAGCTAATTTTTGCATATTCTGAATCAGAAAAATTTTGCGAATTCTTTGATATATGACTCGACCTGTAACTCCATACCCCATAGAAGTACTTTCCTCGTTAGAAAAAACTAGTAAAAAATTTTTCCAATTTTCATCATAATTTCAGCGTTGTACTAGCAGTACTTACCCTGTTGATATTAAAATCCCCATTTATATTGTAATAATTTTATTTTTCTATTTTATATTGTACATATACTGGCTGCGTGATTTTCCCAAATTTCCATTTCTTTTCCCGTTTTTCGCCACTTTCCCCCCGATGTACGCGCTGTCTGTTGTCTGCTGTAGTCTCGACAGGTTGTTTAATTTTTCAGATCCATGTGGAAGTCACCCTATCTCGCGACTTGCGACTTAATTCTGCGCCGCACAAAATGTTTTGTGTCTGTGGCGAATCTTCTACGAAAACATGTTAACCTGGGTTCCTTCGGCGCAATATGGTAAGGTTTTCTCACTCCGACGCTGTTAATTGAAAATCTTTTTTTTGAAGGGATTAATTGGGTGAGGGAGTAATAGTTGAGGGTTTATTATTTCAAACTAGGGCGCCTTAGACATGACTTTGGATGTAATAAAAACGCTGGAAATTGAGTGTAGGACCGAAGGACTTTTGCTAAAGAAATTATTATCGTATTAAAAAAAGTTATTATCGTATTTCGCCTCCCGTAAAATACTATGTTTTCACACTGTCCATAGCGTGATAAACCAAGTCAACTTAGCCATGAGGGAGAGAGAACGGCCGCAAACACAATCAAGGGCGACCAGATGACCGGTGATAGAGCGTAGGGACTAAGAACTAGGGCACCTAACGCCATGGGCGACGCAATAACAGGAGATAACACAAACGGCGACAGGATAAGAGGCGATCCCACCAAGGGATTGAGAATAATTGGCGATAAACATAAAGGCGATAGAATGATTGGTGTGAAAACTTGAGGCGACAAAATAAACGGTACCATCAAGAGGGGCGACAAGATGATGGGGGTGAAAAGGCCTGGCGACAAGACTGCCGGAATCAACGCGAATGGCGATAGAATAAGGGGATTGAACATGAATGGCGATAAGACAATTACTCCCAAAATACGAGGTGACAAAATTAGTGGAGTGAAAATCCAAGGCGATAGGACGATTGGCCCGAAAATTGACGGGGACAAAATTAGAGGCGTGAAAATAATGGGCGACAGGACGAATGGCTGCGAAGCCACTAGAGGATTCGCAATCAGCGGCGTGAAACTGACAGGTGATAAGATTACTCCGGGTAGAAGTCGCTTCTTTCGTCTGGAATGAGAGACGTGCTGCGACCGTTCGAATTGGCTTTGGTCAATTTGAAAGTCGTCCATTTTGGCTATCAAGTCAAAGTCCTTTCGCAAGTGCTCGTGGATCTCTTCTTTGGTCATATTCATTAAGCGATTGTACACGGTGGCGTTGGCATGAGGTGAGTCGGGGCCGTAGATCATTTCGATTTGATGCTTCTGGAGCACCGTGTAGCCGGTAGTGTTCATTTCGCGCAACTGGAAATAATTTTACAGCTTAATTAATTGTTGATTTTTCGACTTACCTGCTCTTTCGTATAGTTTGTCTGTATCCTCTCAAATAGCGCGATATATTCTGGTGATGCCCCTAGCTCAGTGGCATTTTCTTTGGTTGCATATAGGGGAACCCCATGTTCATCGACTAGATTTGTAATGTTTGTCATGGATGCTTGCGTTTTGTTCAACTCAATGTCAATAAGGTTTTGCTCAAGTCGCTCGCTTTCTTCGTTCACTCCGGCTGCTTCCATAATGATATCCAGCCAGAGTTGTTGGTCTTTACTCGTGAAACTCTTGAGCAGATTGGGCAGACTTGTCAGGTTTTCGATTCCCTCGCCTTGATCGTGAAGGGAGAACAGTGAAGGGGAGATCAGACTGATCTGAAAGTACATATTGTTACTCAGCATGATCTAGGAAATAGGATTCAAAAAGCTAATTCGCAAAGTGTAATTGATCCAGTTTACTTACAGGGGAAGTAACTCAAATGTGACGTTCAAATTTTTATATGGCTAAAAAGGAAAAAGCGTTTTTCTCCATGGCCGCTCTCCGAGTTTTGCGTACTCTCTCGGTCAAACAGACTGTTGAATATCTCGGCTGTTCTTGTCAATAGACAGGCCAAATTTTCAGTTATTGATACGTAGTCTACGCTCAAAATATGGGCAAATTTTAAAGAAAATCTGGGCGTTGCACTTGAGCTATCTCCCTTGTTGACTAAAATACGCAGTTTTCTGGTTTTTTGAGTCGCTATTTTTCGTTAGGTATCTACGAAATTCTTTCGAGTCAATTTGATTGTTCTACAAGAAATTTCAAAAACAATAAGCAACCTAAAAATCAACCGCTTACATCATCATCCTTCTTCTCCTCCGGCACAACTCCCAGGAATCTCGGTGAGACCAGCTTCATATTCCTCTCCTCGAAGTTTGTTGTGTTCTCGCCGGCCAAGCTGTACATCAGCTTCAGCCCACTTCTAATCATGTCAACAATTTTATCTTCTTTTGTTTTTGGGATCTTCTTCTTTTTGATGAACTTCTTTAACTCCACTGGATCTTTCAGAAGTTTCTCCATGTCCACATCAGACGCTGGATTTTTCTTGACCATCTTCTCTTTGTATAGCCCTAGATTCATACTCTGCAGGTTCTCTTCACTATCGTTTTCAATAAGTTCTTTGTACTTTTTCCTCTTGGCGCCATTTGTCTTCAGTTTGGCCACTGTGTTTTGCCATCGCGGGATATCCGATTTGCCTTTGATCTTCTTCACAGATTCCATGAGGACCTGGGCTATCCGTCCAAGAGGAGTCATTTCCTCCTTATTGGCTTTTAGATTGTAAGAATCGGAAGCTATGATCTTCGGAGATCTTCTGGACCTTTCTTTTGGCAAGCTCGAAATTTGTTCATCTACCGAGAAGTCGGTGAGAAATCCTTTGGTTTCTTTTTGATATTTCTGAAGCCGATGAGTCGGCCGTTTCTTCACTTCAGTCTTGATTTCATTGTTCAGAAGCTTTGTTAGGCATCTCGCGTGCTTTGGAATATCAGTAGCACTTGATGAGCACTCTCCGTACTTTCGAACTATCGATCGACGCTGACGTTTTAGCCTGCAAAACTTCATTTGGATATATACGGTTGTTTTAAGACACTAAAATTAAAACGACTACTTACTTATGATTAGCGACAGCCGACATCAACGAGCTGAGGCCCGTATCCACCCATTTTTGGTACATATCCACAACATCTTCGTCTTTTATATTGGCTCTGTAGTATTTCTCGCCCGGCTCTTTGTGCAGTTCAAAGTTCAAGTTGACCTCGGACTGGTGTCGAATTCCATCAGCCAGAGGATAGATTGACAAGATAGCTACGAGCGTAAGCACGCAGCTTAGCCTCATCCTAGAAATGGAGATGTTTAGATCACAATCATCAACGGTCAAAACACATGCGATACTTTTGATACACCCTGCACCCAAAAAACGTTTTAGCTCATTGAGTTTGAAGTCGAATCATAGGAAATGTCCGCAAACGTTGGGAGATTAGTCGACCTCCTTCTTATCCGCCTACCCCGTTTCAAGTCTGTTTGTATGCATTTTGTGGTTGATTTTCCCGGATTTCCATATTCAAACAGAGGCTAATCCCCACATGTTTCATGGTACTTACCGTTAACTCCTCCCTTTACTATCTCCATTGTGTTAAAGGGTTGTATGCACTGTGCAACTCGTATGAAGCCCTTCCCATTTCCCCCTATCCCGGAAAAATTGGGAAAGAAAATCAAATTAGCAGAGTTCCCAATTCTAGGCGGGGTCGCAACAATTGCATTACGTTTTGACAAGCCATGTGTGTTTTTTGGAGGCTCTACCGTACTTTTCGAAACAAAACGGCTGTTTCAAACTCCGCCCACTTGATCCTCCGTCCGGTCGACAAAGTACAAGGTTTAATGTGGGTTCATTCTCTTCGGCGTTTCCGCTTAGAAAGACTCATTTACCTCCGGCGAGCAGACGGCACTTTTTACCGTGTTTTCCAACCAGAACAAGCGTTGCTAGGATAGTCTTTTTTTTTTTGTACATATCTTCTTGATTCATGATGAAATTGAAATCATACATGAATATATTTACGTGGTAGGTTTATATTCGACTGCAATTGTTGGAAATATATTTGGAGAAGTTTGTGCCAAGTAAGAATGAATTTTGCGATGTTACCCGCAGTTAGAGACTTTTTTGTTTCATTTTTGGAAGTATTTATTTAATTATGCTGTTGTGGGTAGAAGATCGTGTATCAGTCCGTCGGGAAGATAGTGGCTGGTTGTTAAGGCTTGGAATCGCCCATCATCGGTTTGCGACGACTAGCTGCGGCTGGAAATTTGGTGCGCAACTGCACCCCCTTTTCGACAAGGCGAAACATTTTGCGACGATTCGCCATTATTTTACCGACAGACTGGCGCGAAGGGAAAGCAAAAATGCACGGTGAAAAAGTGTCAGGACTTCATGGCAATACTAGTCGCCCCATAAATTCCGTAGAATTTTCTGCGACTCTGCACTGTGCGTAAACCCAAAAAAAACAACATTTTGCACCGTGCGCCTGGCTCAAAAAGTGTCTTTGCACAGTGCAATTTTGTTTTTTTTTACACCGCGAGCGATTCCCATTTTTCTCGGCGGCAGATCAATTTTTCGGAGTGTGACGGGATTTGGGGGTCGCGTAAAAATTCTACGGACTTTACGCGAGTATTATTGCCGCGGTTTTTTGCATTTCGCTGCGGAAAAGGTCGCATACTACTGTTTTTAGAGTTTTCTTGTAGTTACAACACATATTATGTTAGCCTATAGTTGCCTCGCTTCCAGACGATTCACGTTTCCTTGATAAATATCCTTCTCTTTTGCTGTTGGTTTTGGATTTCCTTTCAGTGAGGGACCTGATCCAGTGGCAAAAAACGTATCATTTTGCATCCGGGAAGTATCAAAAATGTGGCAAAATGCCTCCCTCTCTAACTAAGCAAGAAACTCCGTTTTGAACTGCGCGCCATTTCTCTCACAAAAAGAGTGGACGCGCTTTTGAAATCGGATTTTTTTTCGCTTCGAGAGGGAGGTATTTTTCTGCATTTTTGAGACTTCCCGGATGCAATATACGTTTTTGGCGAATGGATCAGGTCCGCCACTGTACCAACAGTCATAACAATAAATTTCAAGGTTTTTTCGCGCTTCTGGGTAACAAAATCGATTGTTGATGTTGCACTAGAGACCTAATACCGGCACAGTTTAATTTTTTCCGCCTCCTTTCAATCAACGGTTAAATTTCGCTTTTCGTGACGTTTTCTTTCGTAAGTTTGTTTAATTTTCCGAATCCATGCGGAAAGCACATCATTTTTCCCGACTACAAATTAATCCTGCGCGTTGCACGATGTTGCCCTCCCCGTGTGAGTTTGTCAACGGCAAATCCATTTTGAAAACATGTTAATCAATGGGTCCGACGGCAGGGTATAGTAAATCTTTTTAAGCCGTGAGAGAGTTGCTTTAGAAAGGGTTTAAAAAATTATAAATTAAAGAGTAAAAGTTTGAAATTTATTAATTATATGTATAAATTATAACGCTTAGATTTAATTAAGGGATAGCAAGGCTTTTTGTTACATTTTTTTTAAAAAAAAAAGCTAATTTGTTACATTTTTTAAAAAAACATTGTTCTTATGCAATAATGGTAGACTCAGCTGAGCCATGAGGGAGAGAGAACGGCCGCAAAGGCGATCAAGGGAGACCAGATAACCGGCGACAAAGCGTAGGGACTCAGAACAAGGGCACTTAGCGCCATAGGCGAAGCAATAATAGGCGATAACACAAAAGGCGACAAGATAAGAGGAGATCCCACCATTGGATTGAGAATAATTGGCGATAAACATAGAGGCGATAAAATAATTGGGGTAAAAACTTGAGGCGACATAACGAATGGGACCATCAAGAGGGGCGACAAGACTACGGGGGTGAAAAGACCCGGTGACAGGACTGCCGGAATCAAAGCAAATGGCGATAGAATAAGCGGATTGAACATGAATGGCGATAAGACAATTACTCCCAAAATACGAGGCGACAAAATTAACGGAGTGAAAATCCAAGGCGATAGGACGATTGGCCCGAAAACGGATGGGGACAAGATTAGAGGCGTGAAAATAATGGGCGACAGGACGAATGGCTGCGAAGCCGCTAGAGGATTCGCAATCAACGGCGCGAAACTGACAGGTGATAAGATTACTCCGGGTAAAAGTCGCTTCTTTCGTCTGGAATGAGAGACGTGCTGAGACCGCTCGAATCGACTTTGGTCGATTTGAAAGTTGTCCATTTCGGCTATCATGTCAAAGTCCTTTTGCAAATGGTCGTGGATCTCTTTTTCGGTCATATTCATGAGGCGATTGTAGACTGCATCATCAGCATGCGGAGATTGCGGACCATAGAGCATTTGGATTTGATTCTTTTTGAGAATTGTATAGCCGGTAGTGTTCATTTCGCGTAGCTGAAAAGACTTTGAATTTATAAACAAACTACTACCTGCTCTTTGGTGTAGTTTGTTTGCAACTGCTCGAAAAACGCAATGTACTCCGGAGAGGCTCCCAATTCCGTTGCATTATCCTTGGTTGCGTACAACGGTGTGCCATTTTCATCAACGAGATTTGTGATATTTGTCATTGAGGATCGGGTTTTATTGATCTCCATGTCATAAAGATCCTGCTCTAACTTCTCGCTTTGTTCGTTCACACCGGCAGCTTCCATAATAATATCCAGCCAGAGTTGTTGATCTTGGCTGGTGAAGCTCTTGAGGAGTGTTGGAAGACTGGTCAGATTTTCAATTCCTTCACCTTCATCGTGAAGGGAGAAGAGTGAAGGGGAGATGAGATTGATCTGAAATTTGTTTTTTGAAACTTACTATGAAATGTACAAACTGAGCGAAGCCAAATGGCAAGTGCTATACACGGTTGGAAAGCTCTTGAAAAGTACTACTGGACGCCACTTTCGAGATCATAGAGCAAGGATAAAAATTACTTAAGGCACAGAGAAAACTTGTATATATTTTTGCCCTGTATTGTTTATATATTTTTGCCCTGTCTCTATTCTAGTTTGAAGTCTTATTTTTCAAGGGTTTTCCGATAGTTTATATCACTGAAAACACACTTGTCATCAATAAATTATAGTAGCGGACCTGATCCATTGGCCAAAAACCTACCATCTTGCATCCGGAAAGCATCAAAATGTGGCAAAATGCTTCCCTCTCCAAGTGAAAAAACTTCGATTTCAAAAGCCCGCCTGCTCTTTTTGTGAGGGAAAGGGCCTTCAAAGCAAAGTTTTTCCTCTTGGAGAGGGAGGCATTTTGCCACATTTTTGATACTCCCCGGATGCAAAATGGTACGTTTTTTGCTACTGGTTCAGGTCCCTTACTGTAGTTAGGAAACTCAATTTCGAAACGATAATGAAATCCAGTGTAAATTTATTACCTCATCATCCTTCTTTTCCTCCGGCACAACTCCCAAAAATCTTGGTGAGACCAGCTTCATATTTCTCTCCTCAAAATTCGTGGTGTTCTTTCCAGCCAGGTTGTACATCAGCTTCAGCCCACTTCTAATCATGTCCACGACTTTTTCCTCTTTTGTTTTTGGAATTTTTTTCTTCTTGATGAACTTCTTCAATTCCTCTGGATCTTTCAGCAGTTTCTCTAGATCCACGTCAGAGGCTGGATTTTTCTTGACCATTTTTTCTTTGTATAGGCCTAGATTCATACTCTGCAGGTTCTCTTCACTATCGTTTTCAATCAGTTCCTTGTACTTCTTCCTCTTCGCTCCATTTGCCCTCAGCTTCTCCACTGTGCTTTGCCATCGCGGGATATCCGATTTGCCTTTGATCTTCTTCACAGATTCCATCAAAATCTTGGCAATATGCCCGAAAGGAGTTATATTCTCTTTATTGGTCTTTAGGTTGTATGATTCCGAAGCTACAACCTTTGCCGATCTTCTGGACCTTTCTTTTGTCTTCTGCAAGCTTGCCTCATCAACTGAGTAAACTGTTTTGCGACCTGCATCTTCTTTCCTATACTTCTGAAGCCGGCGACTTGTGCGCTTTAATTCTTCATCAGTTTGAAGTGTCTTAAACCCCTCAACTTCCTGTTGATACCTCTGGAGTCTATTGAAATGCCGAGGCTTCACTTCTGCCTTAATTTCATTCTTCAGCAGTTTGGTTAGGCATTTCGCGTGCTTTGGAATGTCGGTAGCGCTTGATGAGCACTCACCGTACTTCTGAATCACCGATCTTCGTTGACGTTTTAGTCTGAAAAATGAAATTTATATTTGATTTGGAAATTCGTTTGTCAAATACTCTGTTTTACCCTGTTTTTTTTGCTCTCACTTACTTATGGTTAGCGACTGCAGACATCAACGAGCTGAGGCCCGTATCCACCCATTTTTGATACATATCCACAACGTCATCGTCTTTTATATCGGCTCTATAATACTTTTCGCCGGGCTCTTTGTGCAGCTCAAAGTCCAAATTTAGTTCGGATTCTTGCCGGATTCCTCGTGCAACTTGAACATAGTAGATCATACATAACACTAGTCGCACTGCCTTCAGCCACATTCTAAAACGAATAAACGAATAATGATTTATAACAGATACTGCAGAGAGCGATGTCAACCAAAGAGTTTTGGAATAAACATCTTAATTAAAGCCTCCAAAGTCGAGTTGACGATGCGAAGGCATGCTGACCTTTTCCGGCTTTCTTGGGCCGCCTACTGCACCCAACACATCTACTGGTTGAAACTGTCTTTGAAACTGTTTCCGGATCCGAGTGCATCCCTAATAAAGCCTATTCATCGGCATAGTTTCCATCTAACTCCACCTTTTTGCATGTCAGATTGTTGCAACCTTAATGTAGTTCATGTCCGTTTCGTCGCCGATTGTTCCTTTTCCGAGAAAAAAGAGTGGGTAAAATTAGCAAATCCAATGTTTTTGCATGCCCTGCGGGAAGTCCATTAAACCACAACAGCCCATGCGTGTTTTCGAAGGGCCTACCGTAGCACGAACTGTTGCGGATGCCGCCCACTCTGCCGTTCTTTGGAATCCGATGTGTAGCCTGGGTCATCGACAGTTGAGGTCGCCAAAGAGTCATTTGTATTGGTGGTCGGTCCGGGAAAGGTGGGCTTGCGCTGTTGCAAAAAATATAGTAAAACTAAGGTAGGCTAGTTAATTTGTAGGTTGTTGTGGTATCCAATATCCCCCTTGTAGTGCTCAAAAAATAAAAAAAAAGCTTTTTGTATTCCATATCCAAGTACCTTGTAACCTCTCTTTTTTCCGTTGGTATACAACCTTCCGGCCGTACAAAATTCACATAATCAGCCTATCCGGCTCCGCCTACAAATCTGTTATTCAAAAAAGGATTGAAAACTTCTTCGGCCTCCCAATTAACCTGACGGAACCACAGCTACTTACCCCAACTTCCCTTGTTTCTTCCATAGAATACAAAGTCCAATTACTGCGTGAAGGAAGAGCAGCAAGAGCAGCAATTTTGCTGAGGGAAATCCCATTATTTAATCGACAAATCGGATCCATTTTTCCAAGCCATTTAGAAGTGCCTTGAAGTTGTCTTGCGGTAAGACGAAGATCTGTTTAAAATTCTGCTAACCAGAGTGAAATTTAGAGGCAAGTATTGGGGCTATGTGGCAGTTACAAATCATAGATATAGCAGTTATTGTTTGTCAATCTCGTAAAAGTTCTGGCACAAAGAAGTATTAATCGTAAAAAAATTAAAAAAACTTTCTGGCCAACCTAATATAGTAATCATTAATTGAGAGGCATTGTTTTACAGGTCAGCCTGATTTTGTCATCATTTTTTTAGATGAAGCGTTTTCTATTTTAAAATATTCTAAAATCAAAACTTGAGGACTTTTCTGGCAAGATTTGGTGTAGCGTTCAGCCAGAACATCGATTTTAATTCAATTTACTTTAGAGGCTTAAAGCTTCTTTTACGACACTCCGCACCCTCAAATTTCAAAAGCGTTGTGTTTGGAGTACAGCCTACAACGCTTGGGCAATGTTACCTACCACAGGTGTTCTTGAAAAGGCATTCATAGACATTGCATCATATTTCGAAGGTAATTAATTTAATTACGGGAAACACCCGCGAAAACAACGGTGGGAACTTTAGTCTTTCTCAAGGTATGTTTTCAAGATGGGGATTCTGTAGTCACTCCGAGTTGACCTGTGTTTTCGCCCTTGAAGAAACAATTTTTTCGGTTTTGCAGCCACTCCTTTCGAGTTGGGCCGAATTTTAGAATTAGAATTTAGATACTATGCTTGACTGTGAACATAGGCTTTTTAAATACTCAGAAAACCAGAAATTTATTTTTTTTGCCCTTGAACCTGCTCAAAATACCCCTCAAAATTCTTTGTTGCCCAATCTTTGAAAAGCAAAAGACTTCCGCGTAGACGAAGTCATCAATCATGTTCCAAGACACGCATATCACATCACACACACACACACGCTATATGTTTCGCACTTCTATCACCAAATCGCTTTAGCTCGGCGTTTTTCGTAGTTTTTTATAAAAGTTGAACCGTTTTTTCAACGACTGAAAAAATTTGAATATATAGAGATCCAATCTCGGGTTATTGCCACTTTTCGACGTTATTAGGTCGTGCAGAAAGTTCGTTCGTCTTTTCATTGCTTTGTTTTACAAGGATTGTCTGTTGTTTGGCAAAGTGTATATATTTATTTGATAAAGATCTTTCTCCTCTATAAAACTGTGCATGTATTTTTGCCTCCTAGATGGTTCATTTTGTAGCCCGGGAAATAATGAAAAATTAAATTAAAAAAAAACTAAAAACATAGTTTTGTAGAGGAGAAAAAGCTGTATCAAATAAATATATACCCTTTTTCAAAAAACAAACAATCGTTGTAAAACAAAGGCATGAAAAAACGAACGAACTTCCTGGACGGCCTAATATCATATTATACAATCTCAAAGGTCTTGCAAATTGGAAGGTGGAAGCTTTGTTTTTTGGCAAATTTTATCTATAGTTCATGATCAAGTGTCAACAAGGCCAAAGTAACAAATTTGTGTGGGTAAATGATGGTCTTTACGTAGCGCTCTAGGCTTCTGAATCCAGAAATGCTGAATTTATTTTCCACTTTTTTCTTGGCTCCGCCCTTCACTTCCGTCGACCTCTTCATAGCCTCTAGCAAGGTCGGTGATACTATAATGTTTACCCCGATTTTTCTCAAGTTCTCCTGTCCGATGTTTTCGGCTAGTTTGTAGCTAACCCTTCAGCACAAATTTTTATGAAACAAAAAATATGAAGCAAGGGTATCCCTTGTCGCTTTAAGTCATCATCCTTTTCCACTCTCCGTGTTTTGTTCCATGCACAAAGCACATACTCTGCTCATTGAGCATTTTTGAATCTTCTCATAAATCATGTCCGCGCTTTCTCTCTCCTCCCCCTTTTTCCGCAAAGGTGATTCCAGTGAAAGTAAGAATCGGCGGGCGGCGAACTTCTCCAATCAACATCGGTGTGAGAGCCGGGTTGATGACATTCGTCAAGTTGGAGACTGGGTCAATTGCGGTTTTCTCACATTAAACATTGAGCAGTTTTTATTGCAGCTAATTTAGTGGTCGAATATTGGGTGACCGATTTTTTCTCAGTCTGATATCTTTTGGCGGTGATATTTAGCTAATCTCTGATGTTCTATAAGCTTTTGATTTATATTTTTTTCTGTTGATTTTCCGTTTTGGTAGTAATTTTTAACAGAAGTCTCATTAAATATGATACTGTAATTTTTTCGAATTTTGCTACCATACAGGCTATATTTTACCCTTCAAAAATTGCTTGTTGCTTTTGCCTGTCAAAAGTTTTAACGATTTTTTGTGAGAGAGAGAAGTCAATTTTTTTTGACAGTAACTTTCCAAAATCCCCGTGGAAAAAACCGATTTTTTTTGTCAAAAAAATTTTCACTTTGCCTATAACAAAGGCTTAAATTTTCAATCTAAAAAAGATAAAAAATTTGGCCAACGTTCGCTTAGAAATTTCTTCGATTAATACAATGTAGATGCTGAACTTTGGATAATATATTTTTTTATAAAACCTTAGTCAAAATTTACTATGATTTTTGACCTAAATACAGGTATATGTATAAGCCAAGAATCTATAAAATCACCCCTGTTTTTGACAACCTTCCCTCGTAGACTGACAAAATTCATTCCATATTTTGTGATCATTTTTATTCCCCTTGATTTGGTGCGTGCCATATTTCATATTTCATTTCACCTTCGCGTTGATTTTCCTGTTCTCCGCGTTCCCCCAATTTTTCCCCGTATCTACCTTTTCTACCGTACTAATGCCCATTTTTCAGATCTCCCAAATCACCCGCGCCATTTATTTATCACCTTGTTTCCTTCAATTTCTGATCCCTTCATTTACCGCTCCTCGGCTATCGCTTACCGTACGACAAGCAAATAGACTCGGTTTACGATCGGATTGACGTTTTATTTTCCTGGCGGATAATGGGAGATGTTTGACGCCTTCCCCGGTTGAAGGTCGACTTCTTCAGCGACGCTGCAACCTTGGAGACGGCGTTGTTAAAGTTTGTGACTCTTGACATTCTCTCATCCACTTCCTGGTTGATCGCCGGGGCGGCGGATTATACATATCATCAATTTTTTTGTCGGGGGATGCGGTCGGTTTTTTATGGAGTTTTATTGCTGACATGTTAACATGTATTTTCAATGATTGTTATATATTTATAATAGTTTTGATGCGAGCCTTGGATCTTCCTCAATTTTTTTCATAAATGCGTTGAAAAAAATGTTCCAAAATATCGCAGTAATTTTTCCACCTCCACCTTGCTATCCTCAATTGCCGGTTGCCCGCAAATGTCGGCCCCCATTGATTAAAAGTAATCAATTTTTTTTAATTTAGCTTGCGCTTTACCGAAAAGCTGTGATTTGTTGTGGAAGGATGGCTTAACTAGAATATAATTTTTAATGGCGCTGCGACTTTTCGGGTCAGCGACAGTTCTGGTCGCCGATGCTATGTATCGCGTTGGTTCGTTTTTTTATGCATAGGGAGGCTAGGATAACCCTTATTTAGTAGAAATAATAAGATTGATCGGGTCCTAGGAGAGCTTATCACCTATATATTTTGAGCTATTTTACTCTACTCACATCAATAATATCGCTATGAAACTTACGGATCTTTGTTTTTTGCCCCATATTTTGGTTTTTTTGTGTTGCAATAACTCAGGATAAGGAAAACCAGCGTTTGTTATAGCTAAAATTAGAAAAAAATGGACATATTGTAAGTCTTCTGCAAGTCTCCGCCGAGCCTCCGCCTAGCGTCCGCCGACCATCCAACGGTTTTGCCAGACCTTGTAGGCGCTACCTAAGAACGCTTTTTTGGGTATCCACGAACCCTACGTCTCGTACCTATCGATTTTGTGTTGACCCGAACTGTTGTCGACATGAAAAGCCGGGGCCTTTTTAACGACGCTGAATTGGCTCAAACTTTTTTCTAAGTATGTGATTTATAATCTAAAATTGATATTTTTCTTTTTTCGTACATTATTACACTGGGAGACCTGATCCAGTGGCAAAAAACGTATCATTTTGCACCGGCAAGCACAAAAATGTGGCAAAATGCTTCCCTCTCCAAGCGAAAATCCCTTTTTCCTCACAAAAAGAGTTGGCGCGCTTTTGAAATCTGAATTTTTTCATTTGGGAAGGGAGGTATTTTGCCACACTTTTTGATACTTCCTGGATTCAAAATGGCAGGTTTTTCGTCACTGGATCAGGTCCGCCACTGTAAATGAATATTTTATTTTTCCAACATTTTTGAGTGTACATTTATTAGACTTATAAAAGTTTATCGTATTGCACGATGAGAATATTGCTTGTAAAACCATTAGTTAACTAAGCCAAGACGGTGACAAGATGACGGCAAAAATGATCAGCGGACTAAAGATGACGGGAGAAAGCGCGTACGGCGACAGAACTAGAGCCCCCAAGCCCAGAGGCGACGCAATGATGGGCGATAGAACAAAAGGCGATAGAACAAGCGGCGACCCCACCATGGGGGTCAAAATAACCGGGGCCAGGCAAAGCGGCGACAAAATAATCGGGGTAAAACATTGCGGGGACAAGATGAGGGGGAGCAACAGTAGCGGGGTCAAGATGATGGGTGAGAACAGTCCTGGCGACAAAATAGCCGGATGCAATGCGAATGGGGACAAGATAAGGGGAGAGAATGCAAATGGCGAGAGAATTAAACTACCCAAAACACGGGGTGACAATACGACCGGCAGAAACAACCAGGGCGACAAAACGACCGCTCCAAACACCGACGGAGACAGAATTAGTGTGCTCAGTACAACCGGCGACAAAATGAACGGTTGGGACGCTAGAAGGGGACTTAGAACGACGTTAGTTAAAAGAATCGGCGAAAGGATGAGGCCAGACAATAACTGACGCTTCCGTCGCCGGGCATGCGCGACGCCTTGGGCTTTACTAAACGCCTTTTCGTCGATTTTCACTCTTTCCATTTGAGACATCATTTCGAACTCTGTATGCAAACGGTCGTGAACTTGGTCTTCTGTCATGTTCATAAATCTCTGATAGACTTTCGGATCGTGATGGGGAGAGTTGGGGCCATAGAGCATCTCAATTTGATGCTTGTTGAGGACTGCATATCCGGTGGTGTTCATTTGGAGCAGCTGAAAAGCACAGTGATGGACCTGATCCAGTGGCAAAAAACGTACCCTTTTGCATTTGGGAAGTATCAAAAAATGTGGCAGAATGCCTCCCTGTCCAACTAAAAAACTCAGTTTTGAAGGGCTTCTTACAAAACGAGCGGGCGCGCTTTTCAAGTCGGAGTTTTTTCACTTAGAGAAGGAGATCAAAACATTGCCTACATTGGCAAAAAACGTACTATTTTGCATCCGGGAAGTGTCAAAAAATGTGCCAAAATGCCTCCCTGTCGAACTAAAAAACTCCATTTTGAAGGGCGCGATTTTGAAATCAGAGTTTTTTCTCTTGGAGAGGGAGGTATTTTGCTACATTTTTTATACCTCCTGGATGCAAAATGATACGTTTTTTGCCACTGTGTCAGGTCCCCCACTGTAAGATGAGGTCTTGAAGTTGGGGTTAGGAAGGATATTTGGAAAGATTTTTGGAGATTTTTTTTTGGGTATTTTTAACGCTTTAAGGCAACAAGTTTTTTCTCCTCCCAACAGTTATACCTACCTGATCTTTCGTGTAATTCTGATGCAGCCTCTCAAACAACTCAATGTACTCTGGCGATGCTCCCATCTCCGTAACATTCTCTTTTGTCGCGTACAATGGAGCGCCATTTTCGTCGATTAGGTTGGTAATATTCGTCATCAATGAACGGGTTTTGCTCATCTCAATCTCTTTCACATCCTGCTCCAACCTTTTGCTTTCCTCGTTCACTCCGGCCGCTTCCATAATCACATCCAGCCAGAGTTGTTGATCCTGGCCGGAAAAGCCTTTCAGGAGATTGGGAAGACTGGTCAGTTTTTCAATTCCTTCGCCTTCATCGTGAAGGGAGAACAGTGAGGGGGAGATTAGGCTGATCTGAAAATGATTTGGATTAGATTTGTTCATCAAAGGTCGCGAAAAATGGGCTTTTTAGCTCAAAATTTTTTTAACTGTACTTCTACGGGGTATGGAGTTATAGCTCGAGATATATATCGAAAAAATCTTTAAATTTTTCTGATTTAGAATATATAGAAATTAGCTGCCCAATTTTGGTCTGTAAGGGCGAAAAAACACCTCGAAACTTTTATCGCAACACCCCGCAAATGCCCCCTTTTTATATTGGAACTAAGGTGCAGTATTAATCGAATTTGATATTGTAAGGCTTGTCAAGATGTCAAGGTTTACTTTAGCTCAAAAAAAAAGCTTTTGATTTGGTAAAAACTTGGTCAAAAAGGCATTTCCGTGGTGTTGCGATAAAGGTTCAGAAGGTTTTTCGCCCTTACAAACCAAAAGTGGGCAGCTAATTTTTACGTATTCTGAATCTGAAAAATTTTGCAATTTTTTGATATACGTTTCGACCTGTAACTCCATACCCCATAGAAGTACTTTCCTTGTAAAATATTGTATATAAGGTGTAATATCTCTCACCTCATCCTCTTTCTTTTCCTCCGGCACCAGCCCCAAGAACCGGGGCGACACGACTTTCATATTTTTCTCATCAAAGTTGGTGGTGTTCTGTCCCGCCAAACTGTACATCAACTTCAGCCCATTCCTCACGATCTCCACAATCTTTTCCTCTTTCGTTTTTGGGATCTTCTTCTTCTCCACAAACTTTTTCAGCTCCTTTGGCGACTTCATAATCTCCTCCAGATCCTCATTAATCATATCATTTTTGCGGCCGAGGATCTTCTCTTTCAATCCGCCAAGTTGCATCTGATGCATGTTTTCCTCACTGTCATTCTCCACCAAATCCGCAAACTTTTTCCGTTTCGCGCCGTTCTTCCGCAACTTGGCCACGGTCTCTTGCCATTTGGGGATGTCGGTTTTGCCCTTTAATTTCTTCACCGATTCCATCAGAGTTTTGGCGATCTGCCCGATGGGCGTTAGTTGCCCTTTGTTGGTGCTCAAGGCGTAGGAATCGGACGACTTCACCGTTGTCGCGATCGACCTTTTGACTCGGAAAGACCCATACTTTTGTAGCCGCACTCGACTCAATGGAGCCGTATTTGTCTTTTGCGCCATTCGGAACCCGCCCGTCCAAGAATCATCATCTTTTTTGTACTTTTGAAGCCTTCGACGAGGCCGCCGCTTAACTTCATGCTTAATTTCGTTCTTCAAAAGGCTTGTCAGACACTTTGCATGCTTGGGAATGTCGGTGGCGCCGGACGAGCACTCTCCGTACTTTTGAATAACTGCTTTTCGTTGACGTTTTAGTCTAAAAATTCGAACAAAATTTCAAGTTTTAAAAATGATAATTATTGCAATAGTAAGACTTACTTGTGATTAGCAACTGCTGACATCAACGAGCTGAGACCCGTATCAACCCATTTCTGGTACATGTCCAAAATATCATCGTCCTTTACCTCGGCTTTGTAGTATTTGTCACCGGGCGCCTTTTGAATGTCAAAGTCCAAATTGGCTTCGGTTTTGCGAACGAATCCTTGAGTCTGTGGGAGGATTATTGTGTAGAATAGTAGGCTTATTAGGAGCCGGAGAAGCATGCTAAAAACTGGGTTAATTTTAGAGGAAAACTTGATGATTTGGATGATAGAAGTTTGCTGTAATTCGCGTGGTAAAAAATTTAATTTTCGAATCTGCAAAGGAGATTTTTGGAATTGAATTTAGGGCCAATTTTCCTTTAATTTTGTGACATTTTAGCATCTGAAATTTTAGTTTGTAATGTTGAGAAAAAAGCGAGATATTGAACAATTTCATTTCATCATGACCTTGGCCAAATTTGCATTTTTTCTTTTTTCATTTTTCTACCATAAAACGTTTTCTTCGAGGTCATTTCAAACCGTTGTCTACTCCCCTACAGCCAGCTACTTCTTTTTTTCCCACCTCCTTTTTGTAAGCTTTTCGCGCCAACGTAAATACGTACTCCTTCTCTTTTATGGCTTGTGATTCGGACTTAGTTTCGCGGGTACTTTGATCAACAGCCTTCCTTTTTTTATTACTCCAGACGTTTTGTTGCGGGATTTACGAGTTCGCACCAACCTAGTTTGTGGGTAAAAAATATCTCGAACAATTCGCAGTTGAAAGGAACAGATATGTTCCAATCTTGGGGGTTTTTTCTCAAAAACTTCATGGGCGGTAAACTCGAGGAGTGGTTTTTGATATCGATTATCGAGCTAAATAAAGGAAGCAGCAAGGAAGTAACGTCTAGAAGCAAAGAGTAAAACAAGAATCAAATCGGATTAGGGGTGGGAGGTTATAAAACATTGTGGTGAAAGGTCAGTAGAAAATGATGACTAAAAATTTTTGATAAGTTTGTAGCTTCTTGATAAAAAATACATAAACAAAGAATAAATGTAATTATATATGTAATGTAAAATCTTCTGGCGGGTGGGTAAAAACATGTAATTAAAATCTACTGGCGGAGACATCACAGGTATTCTTGGGCATTTGAAAATGGTACATACAGTGAGGGACCTTATCCAATGGCAAAAAACGTCTCATTTTGCATCCCGGAAGGGACCAAAATGTCTCCAAACCCTTCCCTTCTCTAAGCTAAAAAACTCCGCTTTGAAAAGCGCGCCATTTCCTTCAAGGCGGGCCCTTCAAAATAAGGTTTTTAGCTTAGAGAAGGGAGGTATTTGGAGACATTTTGGTCCCTTCCGGGATGCAAAATGGGACATCTTTTGCCATTGGATCCGGTCCCTCACTGTAGCTGTAATAGGCTATGCATAGTTATGGATGTTCTAGTGGGAAGTAGGAATAAGGGGCAGGTAGCCAAATAGCAAAGGCCGCTGCCAACCACTTTCTAAACTAGTTTCCATTTTTTAGCAATGTAAAAATGTAATAAAACTAATGGCTACGGGTACTCAACCTCGTGTATATACAGTAGCTGCCAAAAAACTGTCAATTTTTTTGTTTTTCGTGTAACTCTGCTCAACGTGGGCGGATTTAAACGATGCAAACACCATTCTGTAGAGAATTATTGCTGTTATCTAGTGGTGTAGCGATTGGAGCGATTTCACATCTTAGTGTGTAACAACTGTCGATGTAAAATTTTTGGAAAGACAAAAAACTGTCAATTTTTCCAAAAAAAATTTACCGCTTGCATACGTCGCGGCAAATCATGGGCCTATACACTCTGATTTTTAAACAAAGTCCCACTGTACATTATTGACCATCCAAGGGAGCCACGAAAATTATTTTAGTAGACCTTTTGGTGGTCCCAAGTTCGATACCCCAAAACATGACGTTTAAGGAAAAATCGGTTTTTTTCTTTGACTTAGCAGTAAGACAATGCCTTGCAGTAGAAGCTAGACAAGCTAAAATTAAAATCGAACAATGATTGGGAGCCGAAGTGTAAGTCTACGGACTCTACTTGACATTCAAGTTTTTCTGGCAGTGGATGTGCCGTGTAACTTCAGCCCGGGTGCTTCCGTAGATACCTCTAATCGCAGGTTTAACGCGACAGAAGGCACCGATGTGAACATTGAACAGTTTAGAACCGCTACCGCCGCAGGCCCGCACTTTGCGCGTAAAAAAACTAGCTCCAAAATGGAATTTTTGAAGAAAAATTGTTGTCTCGATTTGCACTCTCCACAGGATAGAAATAACCCAGTGCAAGCACAAGCAAGACATTGTGTCATAGATTTACAGCCATTCTTGACATTTCGAAAGCAATTTCACTCCCTCTGAGGTGTTGCGAAAGTCGTAAGCTGGCTTGCAAGTTTCCACAAAAAAAATTTTTTTGTTAAAGACAACATAACCCTCCGTAATTTTCATGTAACCTGCATCACCGTCCTACAAACGCCCATAAAATCCTTCTAGAACATCTGTGATCACGTACTGTTAAAACATTAGCAAGTCGAGACAAAGGCGGTGGCAACAAGGCCAAGTCTCTGCAAAAACTCGATTACCGGAGAAACTTGAATGTCAAGTAGAGTCCGTAGACTTACACTTCGGCTCCCAATCATTGTTCGATTTTAATTTTAGCTTGTCTAGCTTCTACTGCAAGGCATTGTCTTACTGCTAAGTCAAAGAAAAAAACCGATTTTTCCTTAAACGTCATGTTTTGGGGTATCGAACTTGGGACCACCAAAAGGTCTACTAAAATAATTTTCGTGGCTCCCTTGGATGGTCAATAATGTACAGTGGGACTTTGTTTAAAAATCAGAGTGTATAGGCCCATGATTTGCCGCGACGTATGCAAGCGGTAAATTTTTTTTGGAAAAATTGACAGTTTTTTGTCTTTCCAAAAATTTTACATCGACAGTTGTTACACACTAAGATGTGAAATCGCTCCAATCGCTACACCATTAGATAACAGCAATAATTCTCTACAGAATGGTGTTTGCATCGTTTAAATCCGCCCACGTTGAGCAGAGTTACACGAAAAACAAAAAAATTGACAGTTTTTTGGCAGCTACTGTATGTAGTATATAAGGCACTCCATTAAATTCAGGATACGCTTGAAAGAAACACATAGTAATTGGCAGGTAAAACAGAAAGAAAAAATCGAGTTCCACTCTATCAATTAAGTATATATAACAATGTTTGAAACAGCAACGGTTATAAGAAAAAATTAAAGCTCAGATAAGAAAACTCTCAAAAGTTCTTAGCCTCAAGCCCACCTCCCATCCATCCCCTTACCAAAATATTTAAATAAGCATGTTTGTCTTGAGCTATTCTACATATACGGCTTAAAGTTCGAAAAAAAGTTGAGCCCATTAGTCATAAGTCACCTCAAATCCATCATCATTCGAGAAACATTTGTTCGTAGACATTGTTCAGTCTGTAACCTTTCCTCCCCGCCCAGTACCAGCAAATCCCTTCAACACTATCTTTCCGTCTCCCAACAAGAATTCCAAGAAAAGTGAAATCCCAAAAACCCAAAGATACTTGAAATTCAAGGGGTTTGGATGTGCGTACACGGGCAACCCACAACTAATTAATTCGCTTATTTGCATCGAAAGTGAAATCCCCTGGTTGTCACATGAAAGTCCATGTTTCGGCAGGCTGCATGACCCCACCCATGTTAGACTTTCTACGGTTGATTGCCCCTTAAAGTTCAAGTTAGTGGCTAAACATCGCCGAGATCACCGGAAAATAGGCGGCGTCGGATCAGTTCGACCGTGTTTTTTTGCGACTCAAATGTGCAGACGGTCGTATGTGCGTCGCTTTGGGATTGTGTTGCGGCGTTGCCTTGTGTTGCAACCCCGCCTTCGTGTCTTTTCATGCATAATGAAACACCGAAAATCGCCTTTTTTCAATCGACGCCGCGTTCCGGATGTGCCTACCGTTTCCGCGGCGTGCGCTTTTTACTGGAGGACAGAACAGGGTTAATTTGCGTTTTTAGAGGTAGACAGGATTGTGCAGATAAATTTGAGGTCGGATACTGTAGAGGTTGGCGTGGGTGGGGGTATTTGTAAGCATTTTTTTAGAAACAGCTTTTTCTCGTTTTAATTTAGCCTTATTATTATACATACAGTGCACATACAATGAGCGACCTGATCCATTGGCAAAAAACGTATAATTTTGCATCCGGGAAGTATCAAAAGTGTGGCAAAATACCTCCCGTAGCAATAAAAGAACTCCGTTTTGAAATGCGCGCCCTTTCCCTCACAAAAAGAGCTTTTGAAATCGGAGTTTTTTCACTTGGAAAAGGAGGTATTTTGCTGCATTTTTGATACTTACTGGATGCAAAATGGTACGCTTTTGGCCTATGGATCAGATCCGCCACTGTATCTATTGTAATTGCGATCTAAACAGCCGTAGGGAACATGAAACATTCTGGTAACCATTAATATTGTCTATGGTGTTACGGATTCGGGTAAATATAGTCGCCTAGCTTCTGTAAACTAAAATAAGCAAAGCTAAACCCGGCTAAATGACCGACATCTTTTTTATTGCCGTATTCGTTGTAATGATTAGCTTAATTTTGATCCTGTACTGCATTTTCATTGAATATGATGTGCATTTGCTTTACTGTACTTTACTTTTGAGTGTGAACGATGAAAATCCAAGAGTTGCTGGCGTTAATATAATAGTTCATATCCGCTTCCGGACTTATTATATATTTCGTCGTTATGGGTGGTCTTCTTGCCATTCATGTTATCATTCTTTACTTTTTTTCTGGTTATTGAAAAAATGAAGCGTGTTTTGTAGTTTGGAGTAAAAAATCGTCAAAAAAGGGATTTTCCTTTTTTGCAAACTTTACCTGGGCAGTCGTATGTATTTAGTTTACCCGTGAAATTATTCTGTTTTAACGGGAAAATGTTGTTCCTGGAAGGCGCGTTGGGGATTTTAGTTCCAAGGACTTTCATAAATTATATGCAATGTGAAATTATCAATGTGTTTTGAGCCATTTTTGTATCATATCCCTCCTGACTCTACAGTATTTTCTGTCGCTCGTAACACTTAAAATTTCTCCGCTCTTCTCTTTATCAGTTATCAGTAAAATAACGAGCACCCTGTCGCATCAAGAATACAGTGGTGGACTTGATCCAGAGGCAAAAAACGTATCATTTTGCATCCGATAAGTATCAGAAATGTAGCAAAATGCTTCCCTCTCCAAGTCAAAAAAACCTTCGTTTTGCGAGCATGCTGTTGAAATCTGGGTATTTTCACTTGAAGAGGGAGGTATTTTGCCACATTTTTGATACTTCCCGGATTTAGGTCCTCCACTGTTGTATCACTGCCGAAAAAAATTGCCGTTAAAAAATCGAATTTCTTTTGACTTCAACAACGCGATCGCTACATTCCGTTCGTTATTTTCCCGACCGTCTGATATCATTTTTTACCTTCCTCGAATTTCCCTTCGTGCTTTTTCGTCTTCAAATTAAAAAACCCCACCGCTTCAGCGACTTTAAAAATCCGAACCCGGCGGATCGTTAACGATGTCGGAGACTGTTTGATTGACATAACATCCGACGTTTCAAGACATTCCGGCGAGCAAGCCGGGCGAGAAATCAATGGAATCAATTGTTCGAAAAAGGCAATCGCATGGGGTAAAATTAGATGGGTGTGGTAAATTGACCATGCCTCTTTTAAGGCACATATTGATAAACTGTGGGCCAAGTCCAATCTTTTTTTGTGAGTTTAAAAATTGAGGCGTGGGAGAAAATCTTTGTGCTGAGGAAACAATGATTCTTCCGACTGATTAGCCTTCCAAATCTACTTTCCGCCACGTAATTGTTGCCTTTGCCGATCTCCAACATCGCGTTTGTTCGAGCTGAAACTTGGAAAGACCTCTTAATTAAGTGCGGAAACCGGATTTGCTATGATACATCTATTCCGAGGGAATTTTAAAATTCCGAGGGCATTTTAAAATCTTATGAGGGCATTTTAGAATTCAGTATTTTAGGGAGAGCAGATGGGCATGTAGCCCAAAAATTATTAATTTAAAAAACTTTTTGGATTGAACTGTTTGTTCGATTCTCTTTTCAAACTTTTGCTCGTTGAAGATTCCATTCATTACGAGAGCCTGCAAGAAAACTAAGGTAATTTTGGGTCTCGCGGGTTGCTACAACCTACAAATATTCTCGAAATCATCAAAATTTTCGGAAGGACGAGCGACTCCTCTAACTATATAATTGAATTCCGTATTCTGTATTTTGGAGTTTTTCTGATGATGTTGAGAATTAGTCATCATTTTTTATAAGGCATGACATTTGGTTACTGTAGAATTTAACTGAAAATACGCGTACAACGAACCCCTGCAGTATGAAATTTCCATGTTTTTTTGTTAATTGTTTTGGTAAAATACGATTATTTTAAAGATTTACCTTTTAAAAATCATGTGTACACTTACGTTGCAAAGATCTTTTTCCGTGAATTTTGAATATATATCTTATTAGTAATTAATAATAAGTTAAATAAATATTAAAACCATTTCAGATGCGATAGTTGCAACTCCCTCCCATTCCATTAGCTGAGCCACGACGGCGACAAAAATACGACAAACGCGATTAATGGACTGAAAACGACTGGTGAGAGGGCGTACGGGGACAAGACCAGGGCCGACAGAACCATAGGTGATCCCACAATGGGAGATAGGACAAATGGCGACAATATCAGTGGAGATCCCACCATAGGGTTCAAAATAACGGGGGAGAGACAAAGCGGCGACAAGATGACCGGCGTGAAACATTGCGGAGACAAAACAAATGGGACCATAAGCAAGGGGGACAAGATAATCGGCGACAAAACTCCGGGCGACAAAATCGCCGGATGCATTGCGAACGGGGTCAGAATTAGAGGAGATAAGGCGAACGGTGACAAGATTAGAGAGCCCAGAACACGAGGGGCCAAAATAACGGGAACGAACAACCAGGGCGACAAGATTACCGCGCCAAAAACAGAGGGCGACAAGATGATTGGAGTCAGCAAAACGGGCGACAAGATGAACGGCTGCGACGCCAGCAGCGGGTTCAGAAGGGCGATTGTGTTGGCGATAGGCGAGAGAACAATGCCGGGCAAAAGCTGACGCTTCCGGCGGACATGACCATTGTCGGTTTCGAATTGGGGTTTGTCGATTTTGATCTCCTTCATCTTGGCCATAACTTCGAACTCTTTCCGCATTTGTCGGCGGATTTGAGGCTCACTCATATTCATTAGGCGTCTGTAGACTTCGAGCTTGGGATGGGGAGAGGAGGGACCGTAGAGAAGCTCGATTTGCGGCTTGGTAAGGATTGAATAGCCAGTACTGTTCATTTCGCGGAGCTAGAAGCGGAGAATTTTAGAGTTTTCAGCCAAATTTTCACATATAAATTTGGAGAAATCAACGCATTTAATAGTCGCTTAATAGTCGCTTTTTTCATTTTCTCTTTATCTAAACTCACCTGAGTTTTGCTGAAATTCTGATTCAGCTTTTCAAACAGCTCAATCGTTTCCGTCGACCCGCCCAGTTCTGTTATATTCTCCTTTGTCGCATAATACGGAGCGCCATGTTCGTCTTTCAAGTTGGTAATGTTCGTCATTAGACTCATCGTTTTGTTGAATTCATAGTGCTGAACCTGCTCCTTCAACTTGGCGTCTTCGTCGTTGACCCCGGTCGCTTCCATAATCACATCCAGCCAAAGTTGTTGGTCTTGGCTGGAGAATCCTTGGAGGAGGTTGGGGAGACTAGTTAGGTTCTCGATTCCTTTGCCTTCATTGTGAAGGGCAAACAGTGAGGGGGAGATTACGTTGATCTGAAGTGATTTTTGTACGGGAGAGTTGAATCTTTTTTGGATTACTAAAAGGGCCCCAGAAAGGTAAGAAATTTTTTGACAAAAGCCGCTGATTGATTATTTTTCCCCAAAAAATGGCTGTCTGCATTAGAGAAAATCAAAATTTCTCTCAACAAATCACTTTGAATTTTATCATTTTAAGCTAGCTTTAATAAACTGGGAATTTTTCAATGTCCGACGCATGTCAAACTGAGGAGTCCGGTGACCGGAACAGACTCTTCGCTATCGGTTTTTTACACTTCGCCTTGATTTCGCAGAGAAAGAGAGAAAAAAGACACGCAAAAGCGTACTCTCTCGCCCGAAAAATTCCCCATTTCTTCCCCGACAAAGCGTTTTTTCGCGTCTTTTTTTGGCAAATGACCAATCCATTCACCCGACTGCTTTAGCTTGTCTCAGTTTGACGTGCGACGCTCAGATTTTGGTTAAACTTGGCAAAAACTTTGGGCATAGGCTGCATATGAATTTCTGAAAAATTTAGTTCTATTTTTCAAGAATTAATATGTGACCTAGGCCCTTATTTAATAAAATTGGAGCGTCAAACTTCGACAACTTTCTTTGTGAAATTTCAAGGCAAAATGATCAGGACAGAACGTATTTTTCCCTCACTTACCGAGTCCTTCTCCTCCTCCTCTTCATCCGGCACAAGTCCCAAAAATCTGGGCGAGATTAACTTCATTGTTTTGCTCTCAAAATCGGTCGTATTTTGTCCGGCCAGCGAATAAGCCAACTTCATGCCGTTGCGAATCAAATTTACGACCCTTTCCTCTTGTGTGATTGGTTTTTTGCGGTTTTTCAAAAATTCTTTGAGCTTTTTTGGATCCTCCACCATCCCGTCGACATCAATGTCGGCGGTTAGCTCGGTTTTATTCATGAGTTTCGACTTGAATGCAGCCATTTGGATTTGGCTTAGGGTTTCTTCGCTATCGTTCTCCACCAATTCCTTGAACTTTCTCCGTTTTTTGCCATTTTCCCTCAAACTTTTTACAGTTTCCTGCCATTTTGGCAAGTTTTCTTTCTTTTTCATCTTTTTCACCGATTCTAAAAGCGATTTCGCGATTCTCCCAAACGGAGTTAGCTTCTGTTTGTTGGAATTCAGCTTGTAATAGGTGGATGACTTGGCGGATAAAGATCGTCGTAGCCGGAAATCCGATCTGCCATCCGTCTTAAAGCTGCCGGTCCACAAATTTGACCCTTTGTAGCGAAAGAGTCGACTCACTTTCCGAGATTTGTAACTGGGTTGTGGCTTAATTTCGTCGTTGAGGAGTTTGGTTAGGCATTTGGCGTGCTTTGGAATGTCTGTTGCTTTGGCAGAGCATTGGCCGTATTGCTGGATGACAGTTCTACGTTGACGTTTTAGTCTGAAATATGAGGTGTTTAGGAGGCCATGCGGAAGGGCTTTTCAACTCATCAGAAAAGTGTTGGAATTTAGGACATGAAATGTCTTCAAAAATGGGGCTAAAAACCTTTAATAAGAAGGGACGTCAAGTGTAAAATTTCCACTTTTTTCGAACTTTGCAAACATACTCCAACTAGGTCATATACAAACTTAATTTAAAATTGCTTTTTCCAAGGCAATGCAAGATATTCGGCGCTCTCTTTTAGCGATCAAACATTAATTACCGGAAAGGCTGCATGTCTGCTCGGCTCTAGTTGCTTTACCTACTCTCTCGCAGAAAAAATGAATATCCTAGATAAGTTTTCAACGTGTTAACTAAAGACTTCAGGGCGTGGAATGTGGCCTAGTAATATATAGTATATCGACTAGAATTTTACAAAATCAAAGGGTACCCCTGATACAATATATATTATATAAGCCAACATGTTCTACCCTGGGGTGAAGTTTTTATCCAGAATTTTTCGCATAGCCTTAAACTCACTTTTGATTAGCGATTGCTGACATTAACGAGCTGAGCCCGGTGTCAATCCATTTCTGATACATCTCCATCATATCATCATCCTTGATATTGGCTCTATAATACTTATCACCAGGCTGCCGTTGAATTTCAAAATCCAAATTAACCTCATTCGGCGCACGGAATCCGCCGATTGCCGTGGGGCTGATAAGTGTAACCAAAAACAGTCGCAACATTCTGAAAACATAGATCTGAGGCGACCTCCGACTTAAGTAATTGCCCGCGGGCTCATTAATAACCGGCGCCCTTTGCGTTCGCATGAAAGTACGACAAAATCAAATTCTTACACGTCGTGTGCAGCGAACATCAACCACTACTAGTGTATTCGTTGATAACATGATTTATGAAGGCAACGGGAAGGTTTCCGAGATTTTTGAGAGTTTAGAGTTTCGCCGGAAGCGCGGCGAAGTTGTTATTATTCTCAGGGGAACGCTGGGAGATCAGGAGGGGAAGGGGTTTTATATCAAGGTAGATTCGACATAGTTTCGGAAACTTTCATAATGCGAAAATGAGGGTAATGTGAAAAGGGAAGTGCAGTACAGTGGGGGACCTGATCCAGTAGCAAAAAACGTGCCATTTTGCATCCGGGAAGTATCAAAAGTGCGGCAAAATGCTTCCCTCTCCATGTGAAAAAACTCCGATTGCAAAAGCGCGTCCTTTCTTTTTGTGAGAGAAAGGGCGCGCCCTTCAATTTTTTGCCACGTTTTTGATACTTCCCGGATGCAAAATGGTACTTTTTTTTGCCGCTGGAAGGGGTCCGTCACTGTATGTGCACTCAAAAATTCTGACCAAATCTTGGCGCAATTTTACAGACAGCAGAATTTTCTACATCTTTGTATGTGGAAGTTTTAACTCACGGCCACGAAGAGGATGAGATTGGAAGAGGCAAAAATCGAGATTTTTTCTTTACTTGTGCCTTGAAAAAGTTAGCGTCGACTGATAGTGAAGCATACAATACTCCCGAGAAAAGTTATCTTCTCTGCGGAATGCATTGAAAGAGTTTTTGAGAGAAAAGATCTTGCCATTGGTCAAGCCAAAAATCGATTAAAATTCGAAATTTCTGTCCGCTTCCGATCCAAAAATCTCATTGGATTCTGAAAATAAATTCTATTCTAACTTCACGTCAAGTTTGAGAAGAATAGAAAGGCCGCAAAACATTATTTTTGCCTAAAAAAGAGCATCCTGGCTAGGCCAAAATTGCTTTTTTGGCAAAGAACATCAATCCTCAGCCAAAAGTGAAGGATACCAAACATGGCTAACCGAACCTGCTATTATCCTTTTTACACATTTAGTCCGCTCATAAACCTAAGGCATCCATAAAATCACACCCTTGATGCCGGAATCGACCGCTATCCATCTCATTTAATCGCAACATTAGAAATCATCGAGAATTGGCTTAATCGTTTGCTTGCACTATTAGCGTTTTTTCTACACTGAAATTATCTCTTTCTCTGCTTGTAATGCGTTGTGAAAAAACAGCTGTTATAGTGGATTGCTGGTGAATCAGAAGCCATAAATAAAGCGGCGGAGAACCGCTGAAAATGGCGACAAAAGAACGCCGGCATCTCAATCCTGAGTTTGTGCGTCATTTTATTTAAAAATCAGGCCGTCTTCTGAGCTGGATTGTGAGAGGCTAAAAATTTTATGCCGTTGCAAAAATGCCGCCGTCAAAAAAATTTTGGTTGCAAAATTTTGCTTACCTGGGAAGTATACCAAGTGCGACGCTCAGACTTTCTTTAAATTTTGCACACATTTTGGACATAGACTAAGTATCAATTTCTGAAAGTTTTAGCTCGCGCTTTGGAGGCGCAGCCGAGATATTCAACAATTTTTGCGGCCGAGAGAGTACGGTAAACACGGAGAGCGAACAGAGAGGAAAACGCTTTTTGACCTTTACTTTGCTAGTTTTGTTCGGAAGAAAATGGTCTTTTGTGGGAAAATTACCCTCTATGGTAGAAATAGGCATGAAACTTTTCGTGCCGAAATTCGGGAAAAAGTATCAAATTTTTGTCCACTTTCAATCCAAATTTCTCGGTTGTTTCTAAAAAGCGTGAGCTAGGATCTAATTTAGAAAAAATCATTCTAAATTTGTGCCAGGTTTCATCAAGATCTGAGCGTTGCACATTCGAAGTTACTTTGGGGCTTTCGCTAATTTTGTGTAGCTACTCTAATAAATATAAACAGGCCGCATTCCAATATCCAGAAATCTTATCTCGCGCCTTGCAGAGCGGTAAAATTATAATTTCTCTGCTTTATGGTATCCTCAGCAGGCTAATTTTCCAAGCAAAAGCTAAGAATTTGCCCAACTAACTTACAAGGGAATGGTTTGAACTGTCCGTGAGCTTTCAACATGAGACCTCCAAATTCTGAAAGAGCGTACAAAATTTAGTAGGAATCGGTTTTCTATTTTTGCCGAATGGTCTTGGAAGACGAGAAATATCGACAGAAAGATCCGACAAAAAAATCGAGAGAGAAAAGACGAACCGAAAGGCCCAGAGAAGCGTAACCAAATAGTGTAGTGGAAAAAGTTCCACGCACAATACTTTTGGCAGAGGGCGGCCTTGGAGGTTCGAGTCCACCCGGAGCGGATATCGTCGGCTTGGATCTACGTGTCGAAAGTGTATTCGACAGCTATGTAAAGATTCTTTTTTCATTTATTCGAGTGTTTTACAGATTTTTTTCGAAATTTCAAGAAGACTTGACAACTTGGCTGCATTTTCGATGATGCAAGATGTCGACATACTGGTGTTTGCAAGACATTTATACTCGGTTCTGAAAGGTTGTATGGGTCTTGCGGAATTTTTCGAGTTTCCAGGGAAAAATCTTGCCAAATTTTCTCCTTTCCTTAAAGCTTTGCAAGAAAAGTTCGAAAGAAATTTTTTGGGTCATTGCGTCAGCGTGTGGTCCAACAAGGCATATTTACAAAAAAAATCGATTTTGAGTTTTTTAGTTTAAAATGACCGTGGACATGTGTTTAACAAACGCCCAAAATATTTTTCCCAAATTCTTCCTTGAAAGTATAAATTTTCACAAATTTGTCTTTTTTGGAATTTTGTGTCTGACGGCATCATAGAAAGGGATAATCAGCCAAAATTTTGCGTACGTATTTTTAGGGCCATTGCGTACTCAATTTTTTGAAAGTTAACTTTCACAGATTACTGTAACGTAAGCATGTTGTAACCTGATCGATAAAAAACGGCCGGAACTCTTCTCCCACGGCCATTCGGTCGATAGAACAAGCATAATTTTGCAACAAGAACTGTAAAACACTCGAATAAATGAAAAAAAGAATCTTTACATAGCTGTCGAATACACTTACGACACGTAGATCCAAGCCGACGATATCCGCTCCGGGTGGACTCGAACCTCCAAGGCCGCCCTCTGCCAAAAGTTTCGTGCGTGGAACTTTTTCCACTATACTATTTGGCGACGCTTCTCTGGTCCTTTCGGTTCGTCTTTTCTCTCTCTCTCGATTTTTTGTCTAATCTTTCTGTCGATATTTCTCGTCTCCCCAGACCATTCGGCAAAAATGGAAAGCGGATTCCTACTAAATTTTGTACGCTCTTTCAGAATTTGGAGGGCTCATGTTGAAAGCTCACGGACAGTTCAAACCATTCCCTTGTTAGAATTAGAATACAATATTTTCTTTTTGTTGAAAAATCAAAATCAAGATTCTAGTCCCCACTCCCGACTGTCCTCAAAAAGAATACCAAGATCACATCATTCACAGCCAGCACGAAGGTCGCTCGTGTGCAGTGTAATGTGTCTGATATATCGAATATCCCAGACCTCCGTCTACCCCGTAGAACCCCCACATTGATGTTCTGCCGGATTGGAAACCCGAATCGACAGACAAATGCCCAAAAAATCACAGCCGGTCGACTAAAAAAACTGTTGTCGCGCTTTCAATTTTTTATTACAAATCACTTAATTAAGAGACTTTAGGATCGTGGGAAAATTTTCATACGAGATAATGAAAGTAAGAGGGCGATATAAGGAATTAACCAAGTAATTCCGCTTTCGGCGACGTCTCGACGAAAGAAATTTGGATTTTTACGGCTTCAGTCTGGTCAAAATTATTGCGGAGACAAAAATTCTGATTTTGGAGGCTTAGAAATGAAGGATCAAAGAAATTTCAGATAGGAAAAAATTTTTGAAAGGCAAAAAAATTACTATGAAAAGTCCGGATATTTGCGCCAAGTTTTATAGCGCAAAGTCTGTGAATTTGACTCAAATTTGTATTTCCTTCAGTTTTCGGTCTGAAGATTTCAGGCTCTAAATTTTGAAGCCTGTAGTCTATACAAGAAATTGTTTTTTATATTAAATTGTTATTGACCGGAATGTTTCTCGTCTCCTCTCTGCAGGTGATAGAGTCCTTTACAAAAAAATATGCATTGTTCGGTATGTTGGCTACATCTAACAGTTAATTTGTTAAAAAGTTGTTAAAAAGTTAAAAATTTGTTTTTTTTTGTAGAAACATTATCCTTTACGGTAGAAATAGGCATGAAAGTTTTCGTGCCGAAATTTGGCAAAAAGTCCTAAATTTTCGCCGACTTTTGATCTAAAAATCTCGGTTGTTTCTGCAAAGCGCGAGCTAGGATTTTCGCATATACCTTAGATAAAATTATTCTAAATTTGTGCCAAGTTTCATCAAAACCTGAGCGTCGCACTTGGAGTACTTCCCCTGTGAATAGTTATTGACAGAAACGCGATTTTTTCCGTCTATCCTCCTCAAGTTATGTGGCTTTTTTGGCGAGATATGTTTTGTTTGGGTATTCTGGCTTGCTGCATAGTGCTAATGATGTTCGTATGTTGGTTGAGAGACTGCTGGCCTATGTAGAATATGTGGGCAAAGCTTGAAAGCAACAGAAATTTCATTAGCTTTTGATTTTGTTTTTTTTTTTTTTTTTTTGACAATTTTCCGCTGTATTTTACGGTGTAATTTCACTGCCCATTTGTTCATTTTTTATTTATTCTTTTATCCAGCTGTTTTTTCAACTTCCTTGTTCGACTTTTTTCGCTCCTCTCATCCCCGATCGCTTTCATAAAAACTCATCGTTTATTACTTATTATATTTAACATTCCAATTGACTAATCGGAACATATTGATTGGTAACTTTTTGCTTCCGAAAAGTGCCCTTTTATCGCGTTTGCTTCTCAATTGCTCCCCGTTTTTCTAATGTTTAATTGGGGGGCGGGTGGACGATGATTGATAGTATTTTTATGATGACAAATTGGTTTTCAAAGTTTGATAATTTCGCACAGCTTCTTTACAGCCATGGGGCTTGTAAAAAAACCTCTTTCAAGCTTGCAATAACATAAAAAAAATAAAAATTTGGCACGGTGCAAAAAAAATTTTTTTGGATTTTCTGCACAGTGCAAAGTTGTTTTTTAATTTCGCACCGTGCAAATTTTTAAGTATAAGTTTTTCAAAAAATTGTAATTAAAACTTGTGTTACCTTGAAATCTATACTTTTTGTTAAAAATCCCAGATTTATGACGCTTTTTCATTCCAACCTTTTGCGTGGCGTTTGTCGTAAACTCTCTGAGTAACCAAACTGCCTTCCGAAATCATGCTAGACATTATTTATTGCTGTTTACGGGATAAAAAATGCTATTTTTTTGTAACTGCTGCTGTCTGCGTATCATATTTTTTTATTCCTCAGTCAAATTTCCAGAAAAAAGTTTTTTGGCCCGTTTTGTTTTCCCGATATTTTGTTGAATCTTGCACTCCTCGATTTTTGATTTTTTCTACAGGGTGTCCCAAAAAAATGCATGTTATTTTTATGGCTACATTTTATATACCAAACAAAATTTAGCAAAACTAACGATGGATATCATTAACATAGAGGGTTATTGATAACATGTCAAGCCGGTTTCAGAGTGACTGCCTTTGGAGGCGATATAGAGCTCCAAACGTGACTTAAAATTTCGGGCTCGGGGCCGCAGCTCTTTTCGGGGAAATCGGTCCCGTTCTTGGCGCAACGATTACTTTGCGACTCCAAACTTTTGTAACGTGTAGTACAGGCGTTGGCCCATTATTGAAAAAAATTTATAGTCCATCGGATTCAGATCCGGCGAGCAGACGGCCATTTTTCAGACGGGATGAAATCGGGAAAATCGGTCCCATTCCGGGTCGTGAGTCGATTTTGCCTTGTTAGCCGGCGCTGAGTCTAGTTGAACCACCAAATTTGTATTGCCAAGGCTCTTCTGAGTTAACAGAAGCACGAGAAAATCGAAATTAACGCGGCGCTAGAATTTTGCCCCTTTGATCCGCAAAAAACGTGGAATTCTTGCCGCTGGCACAAATTCCGCCTTAGGCGATGACGGCCCAAATTTTGAGGGGTTTCGACGTTAGCCGACGTGCCAAGGGCCTCATCTAAGAAGATCCTATCGTTCTGGTCGTTGTGCATTCGCCGGATATTGAACCAGGAACTGAATGCCCTCCGTCTCTGAGCTGCGGCCCAGCCCTTGAATTTCCGACATTTCTGGCACCGTACGCGCCTGCTGTCTACTTTAAAGATCTGAACTTTTTACAGCTTATACAGCGTGAGGTACACCTCATCATTGGCTATTCGGGTGACCGATCGGTCGTTGATGGCTACCTCACGGGCAAGTTTTTCTTGAAAATCGCGGATTTGGCGGTTGGTGATCTCCCGGTTGACAGAACTGCTAGCGGCGCGTTTTCCTTCACGTCCTGGACGCTTACTATCGTTATCAAGCTCTCTACATCGCGTGATCACTTTTGACACAACGTCCTTTCTATAGCGAGCAAATTAACAACTTGAACGGCTCAAAAATTGCGACAAAATCGTAGTTCCTTTGTTTGACATTGTAAAAAACCACGTTAGTTAATCGATATGAACACGAAACTGAAATGTCTAGGACAGAAAAACACGGAGATTTTAGTAGTGCAAAAATCTTTTGGCCTGACCTAAACATTTTCGCGTCAGGACCCATGGAAAAAACATGCATTTTTTTTGGGACACCCTGTAAATAACTAACAGGGGAATTACGCCAAGTGCGACGCTCAGATTTTGATGAAACTTGGCACAAATTTGGAATAATTTTTTCTAAGAAATATCCGAGAATCCTAGCTCGCGCTTTTCAGAAACAACCGAGATTTTTTGGTTGAAAGTCGGCCAAAATTTAAGACTTTTTGACGAATTTTGGCACAAAAAGTTGTATGGCTATTTCCACCATAAAGGGTAATGTTTCCACAAAAAATCAAATTTTTCCGCACGAGACTAGTAAAGTTATGGCCAAAAAGAGTTTTTCTCTCTGACCACTCTCCGCGTTTAGCATGCTCTCTCGGCGGCAAAAACCGTTCAATATCTCGGCTTGGCCTTCAAAGCGCGAGCTAAAAACTTCAGGAATTGATACTTAGTTCATGACAAACGTGTGTACAAAATTTAAAGAAAATCTGAGCGTCGCACTTGGGATACTTCCCTTGTATGTAAATACATAATAATAGTTTAATCACTTATTTTCTCTTCTTTTGACCTAAAACATTTAACCTTTCACTGCTGTGACATCACGCACACTTCCTACTACATGTACGCCCGTTACTCCCTCTCCTAATTAATTCCGGTTCGCTGTAGTTTTTGGTCGGTCAAACTCCGATTTTTGTATGATCAAAGTATTCTGGTTCGTCGTTTTTTGCGAAGAGTTGTAGGTCATTTTCAAGTTTTGAAAAGACGTTTTGTTGGCGCCGGACAAAAACTTTTTATCCGAAGATTTCGCAGCTTTCAAATTAGCGGAAAGTAAATCCCGATGCTTCCGCGATACTGTAGATCTCTAATGTTGCAGAGTTTTGTTAATTTAATTTGAGTACGGTAGTTGAATTGATGGGTTGCAATTTCTTTATGGACTCCGGATTTCCTAGGGGCGTTTACTATTAGGTTGACGCATATTTATCCGGCGTTTTTTCATCAAATTGCGCGATCGGCTTTGTTGTTGTCGGAGAGTTCGTGAGCGACCCATCCAGCCAATTTCCATACCTTTCCAAGCTTTTTGAGATGTCGAATGATTGTTGACTGCATTCGTGTTGGCAAGCTTTCGTCGTCTTTCACGGCTGCCAGAAGCGCCTGATCGTCCAAATCCGATGGCCGACCTCTTCCAGGCTTATCTTGTAGACTGGTGTCATTTGATTTGAAGCGGGCCAACCTCTCCCTACACTGACCGAAAAGTTCGTTGAGATCGCGAAATGACTGTGCTGCTTTCCAACCTTTCCCGAAGTGGTAGAGCATAATATGGCGAATATGACTATGGTTTTCGACACGCATTTTTATTAACTAACTTGAGAAGATGAAAAAATTAACAAAACGCCAAGTTTCACTAACAAAAAACGCGCCAATATAAACGCCGGATAATTATGCATCAACCTAATATTAGGTCTAAAAGTATGACTCCGCCGTTTTTTTGGCTTGACAATTTTAATCAAAACAAAAAATTTTTACATTAAAGCTTATTTAATTATTATTACCATTATTAACTACGACATTTTCCCACAATTTGAGCAACTTTTCGATACCATCAGTGAAAACGATTTTATGTTTTGAGGCAATTTAGTCATCGGGCCAATTTTGGACATTTTTGTATTCAGCGAAGCGCTGCTGCCTCAGATCGGGTTTCATCGGTCGAAACAAGTGTTATTCTGAAAGTGTGGTGTCAGAAGAGTATAGCGGGTAGGGTAGGACCTTTAACCTTAGGTGTTCTAGCGGGCCTTGGCCAGTTTTTCAACATAGAGTCTGAAATGACCAAAAAACAGGATAAATTTTTTTATTCCGGTAGCTGTAACTGTTGTCAAAATTCATTTATTGTTTGCCCCCGGTCACGAATTGAGGCAAAAAGAATTTCTTTTCTGTCTTTCCATCAGAATATGGCATATTGTTTTAGGTCAATTAATATGGTACCCAACTCCTTGCTCCCTGCGTCTTTCACTTTTGTTGCAGACTCTGTGAAACTGCTTTCTGAGTCAGCTTTAGCTTCACGGCTAACTTTTTTTTGCGTCTGGGGATTGTTTTTATCGAATAATCTCCATCTTAAAATTTTTTGGATGGGTGTAAAGATCACCGGTTTTGAACCGTTGAAGCCATTCCCGCCGGATTTTTCCACACAAGGCACAACTAGCACAAGCTTCTGTAAACGTTCGATGCGTTATCGGCGTTTTTCCTCACATTACACGTGCAGAATAAAGTTTCCCGCAAGTCACCTTTTCTTAAGATGAAGTTGATCATCTTTGAAGCTTTATAAAAACCGTCATATAAGGCCTCACTGTGCGAAACATATATCATTAGATAGCGTTTTCAACGTCCTTTTATAGCATATAAACAGAAATTGCAAAATTTTATTCCAACCTGTAAAAAATGCAAAACAAAAAAACGGCGGAGTCATACTTTTAGACCTAATAGAACATGGGCGAAAATTGCATTTTTTTTTGATCGTCTCTCTACATTTTTCGTAAACTCTTGCCATAAAATTTTCCATTTTTTGTTTTCCAAGATCGATATTTTTGACATTCTTTTGTCTGAACATACACATTCGACTATATCTCCTTGTGGTTTTCGTGAACTTTATTTTCTCGATTACTTTTGTATGTCAGGTAAAAATTAAATCATTTCAGAAGCTCTGAAGGTCATGGAAGGTTTGTTTTTCGCACATCCTATCTGCAGCACTGTCAACTCAAAAACAACGGTGATACGGCCGCAACACACCCGACGATTGGCTTACAACTACGGTGAATCTCATGAACCTAGAACACTTTCCATGTGCCGCAGTAATGTTTGCCGAATGCTGGCAAAGCAAAAAACTGTTATGAAGAAGATCGTCAGCAAGTAAAATTGACCTCTATGTAAGTTGGCTTGGTTTACGGTAGTTTTTTCGTTGGTCGGGCACCCAAATGGGGTATTTTCCAGCACATCTTTGTTTCTTCGGGGGTTGACCCGGATTCTTCCTCTCACGGTCGACGGATTGATGGCGAATTTATTACTGTACTGTTTAGAAAAGTTTACTATAGTCGAAAGATTGTTAGACGACCCACGATAGTGGTAAAACGGCGATTTACATTATGAGTGTGTCGGAAATAACTAGGGCACATGGAAACAAAACTAGTCCTCTAGAGATAATAGGTGAGCCATAACTAGGCCTAAGGCCAGATGGAGGGGTTCCTAGAGTAGTATGCGGCAAAATTAGAGAGCATAAACATGTTTACATGTAGACATGCAACTCAGCTTAAGTGTAAAAACATTACTGTAACAGAGAATCCCCTTAATGTCAGTACTAGAAGTCAAAATGGGGCTCTAATGAGAATAGGTTCTCTCTACAGTTCTGTACCGGCCCATGATTACAAGATGCATTCAAGAGCGTAGCATTGAAAGTGAAATTTTTTACAACACTGATTTTATAATACCTCACAGCCAGAAATTGCCACGGTCAAAACTTCGGCTCCGGCTCAGATTGCTCCCAGAGCCGGAACCGAGGCCAAATTTGCAGCTCCGAATCCCGGCTCCCGTGCAATTCTTTAAAAATATTTTCCAAAAATAAAAGTTGTTAGTGCCAGAGGTCATACACTCAACGTGTCATAGACCGTATTTATGATATCATTCGATACAAGACTATGGCCTCTAAATAATGCGGCCCATCTTCCATAATTGGGGCTTTGGTAGTTCAGCCCCCACGAAAGGAAGTTCAAACCCCCACTGTTTTGCCCGTTTCGAACCCCCCATAATGAAAGATTTGAATAATAAAAAAAATGCAAATTAGAGTAAAAATGTAAATTCTGAAACGATTCAATCAAACCCCCTACGTTTCCGATCAAGCCCCCTACGCTTAAGATCAATCCTCCTACTTACGTTAGGTCAAACCGTTGTCCAAAGGCCGTTACAACATTCCTCATCAAATTTTCATTGAAGGTTTCTGGGTTCAGATTAGATGTGGGGTTAGCTTCTTGGCGAGTCTTTGACTTTTCTGCACTTTTTCGTCCATTCAAAACCAATAAGTTAACATTTATTATTATCACTTTTTCACGGACGAATATTAATTTTTTTGGAGCAAGCAACCAGCGACTGCAAAGAGCTGAAAGACGACATTGCTTGAAAGGACGATAAACTCAGCTTAGCCAAGAAGGTGACAAAACAGCAATAAATACAAATAATGGACTGAAGATGACGGGAGATAATGCGTATGGCGACAAGATCAGTCCGCTAAGACTCAAGGGTGAGCCAATAATTGGGGTCAAAACGAACGGCGATAGGATAATGGGCGATCCCACACTGGGACTCAAAATTAGAGGGGCCATACAAATGGGGGACAAAATGATAGGGGAGAACACAGTTGGTGACAGAATTAGAGGGAGCATCACACTGGGGGACAAGATGAGGGGCGAGAAAACGCCCGGAGACAGAATTGCAGGATGCAAAGCGAACGGCGACAAGATTAGAGGCGAGAACACGAATGGTGCGAGAATCAGTGTACCTAGCACACGCGGCGAAAGAATGACAGGAACAAACAACCAAGGCGACAGAATGATAGCCCCAAAAACGGACGGAGACAAGATAAGAGGCGTCAGGACAATCGGCGATAAAATGAATGGCTCAGAAGCCAACAATGGCTGAAGAACAGCAGGGACCAAGAGCACTGGCGATAAGATAATACCAGGCAACAATTGACGCTTTCGGCGGCGTTGATGGTCGGACTTATAATCGACCGAAAACTTTTCCAGCTTTGCGAGCGTGTGGAAATCTTCATGCATCCGGTCGCGAATTTGGTCACTCGTCATGTTCATGAGTCGGTGATAAACGTCCGGGCGGTGTTCGGGAGAGTTGGGGCCGTAAAGAATCTCAATTTGGTGCTTGGTTAGGACAGAGTAGCCCGTTGAGTTCATTTCGCGCAGCTAAAAGCAAAGAGAGAAATTTTTGGCCAGTTCAAGTGGTAGATAAACCGCCAGTGGTCTCATTTCTCCTCTCATGAATACGTACCTGGTCTTTCGTGTAGTTCTGATGCAACGTCTCAAACATCTTGATGTACTCCTCTGACGCCCCCAATTCTACAGCATCCTTTTTCGTGGCATACATTGGTTCCCCCTTGTCATTAACCATATGCGTCATATTTGTCATCAAACTCATTGTCTTGTTGAATTCAATATTCTTAACATCGTCTTCCAGCATATCGCTTTGTTCGTTGACGCCGGCCGCCTCCATTATGACGTCCAGCCAAAGTTGTTGGTCCTTGCCGGTGAAGCCTTTGAGAAGGTTGGGTAGACTGGTAATGTTCTCGATCCCCTGACCTTGGCTGTGGAGGGAGAAGAGGGATGGGGAGACGAGGCTGATCTGAAAATTGAAATTTGAATGTTTTATAGGAACTTGATTGCCTAAAGTTCAATGTTTTTCGATTATTTTACTATGCCCAAGTAAGGACCATTTTCGCTTTGAGGCGCACGCCTTTATGTTAGCATTTCCGAAAATTTTGGGTTATCAACATTTAAAACTTTTACGAGAGGCTGTTTCTTACATCATCATCTTGGTTCTCCTCCGGCACAACTCCCAAGAACCTCGGCGACACCAATTTCATATTCTTGTCCTCAAAGTTGGTCGTGTTTTTGCCAGCGAAACTGTAGCCCAATTTCACTCCTCGACGAATCAGATCCATCACTTTTTCCTCGTAATTCTTTGGGGTTTTGCGGTTCTTGACAAAGTTCTTCAACTTCTCCGGGTTCTCAGCCATTTCTTCAATGTCCACGTCGACTGTTGGCTCCTTCTTCCCGGTCAATTTATTTCGCAGTGACTTCATTTGGATTTGATTCATATTTTCCTCACTGTCGTTCTCCACCAACTTTTTGAACTTCTTTCTTTTCGCCCCATTAATCTTCAACTTCTCCACTGTGTTTTGCCATCTTGGAAGTTCGGTTTTGTTGTTGAGTTTCTTGATACTCTCCACTAAGATTTTGGCGATCTGGCCAATTGGAGTCAGCTGCTCCTTGTTTGAGTAGAGCGGATATCGGTCCTTCTTGTATATCTGGTAAGTAGGTGCCTTTCCTTGGGCCGTGTCGGATGTTCGATTCATTGATCTCTTGGATCTTGTTTGATGTTCGTCATCAATTCGGAAGCCGCCTTCGCTGACGGGCTGATACTTTTCCAGCCGTTGAACTCGATGTTTCTTTGGCTTGATCTCGGGCTTGATTTGGTTGTTGAGAAGTTTGGTCAAGCATCTTGCATGCTTCGGAATGTCGGTGGCACCGGATGAGCATTCACCGTACTTCTTGCTAATGGATTTACGTTGACGCTTTAGTCTGAAAAGTAATGATTAAAGCATGATCATGCCTTTAATGTATTATTAAAGTAGTGTCTTAATAGGTCTATTGTAAGAGATTATGCACAAGCAAAGTTTATTACCACGTGAGCTTTGTGGCACTGTTGAGTAGCTTTGCCTGCTTACAAATCGATATGTAAGAGAGTCTTAATTTTTTTACGATCTATTTATGTTACCAGCTAGAGCATGGCATATAAGCTACCCGGCGTTATGCTATAGTTAGTAGAGGTGATTTATTACAATCAGCCTCTACTTGGACTTACTTATGATTGGCCACAGCCGACATCAACGAGCTCAGCCCGGTCTCGGCCCACTTTTGATACACATCCACCAGGTCATTGTCCTCGATGTTGGCCCGATAGTATTTGTCACCCTCCTCCTTCTTGATGTCGATATTCCAGTCCACCTCTTGTGGCTTCCGAAACCCATAACAAATTGCCGGAAGCAGCAGCAGTGCAACTAACCGCTGTTGCATCCTGTAATCAGTAATGGCTGGTCGATCTATAACTCAGAAAAATGAAAGCTCAACTTCTCCGGATCCTCTAGGGCGGCAAACCCAATATCATTAATCCGCAGCAAGTTTATGTTTGTCGCAACATGCGGATGAAACGTTGGGGAGAGTATCGGATATCCAGCTTCGCGCTGTTTATGACGACAATAAATACCCCCACAGTTCAACCCCTGGTGAAACGCACAAACTCAGTAGGACTTTGTGTTGGTGGACCGGGTGTTGCTGCAAGACCCACATGGTTAGCGCATTGCCGCCCATCTCTTTGGAAATCCGTGTTGAAACTTTTCTCATACATCACCAACGTTTGCTTCAGATATCTTTCCGGGTTTTTCTTACTTTCTTGACCCCTCCCCACAGTCGACCGGATCCATGCTGTAAAGAGCAAAAAAACTGGGGGATTTACGACAAAGATCGATGGCTACGCGAGGTTTTTATGAAGCTGGAAACAGATTTTGAAGGTTCCAATTAAACACGGTGATTTTTGGTTGAAGCGATCTTTGCAGAGCTGAAGATCCACCCACTGAAAGTTGAAAGTTTCGCTGTTTGGAGCTTCAAAATTTTAAGTCTTTAGGGTCTCTGTAGTCTGTGTTATGCATGACTTTGGGTTTGACATCATCTATCAGCCTGTCGGGAAAGTAGTGAGCGCAATATCGCTGCGGCAATCGAGGCGCTGAAGTGAAAAGAGCAATTCGATTTTTCTCGGCGCAGATGCGATTTTCGATACGATAAGGCGCATTATTTCTCCGACAAATAGTGAGCGCTTAATCTTCGTTTATGGAGATTAAATTTATATTGTTTTATCAACCCTCTGCAACATTCGGGCCAAAATTTTTTTCGCCCAAAAGATTGACTCTGCACAGTGCACCGCCGCGGAAACTCCTTGTCGCAACTTTTCAAACGGCGACGATCAAAATTCACGGTGCGCTGCGACCCCGCACCGTGCGAAATGAATTTCTTTGAAAGGCGTTCCTTTTTTATGTCGCGCGACTAGCGTGCACAGTGCGCTTTCTTTTTGCACTGTGCTGATTTTTTATCGCAAAAATTCAAATATTTTGCGATTCCGAGTTCATGCACAGTGCGGAAACATACCAAGCCTTTTTTGGGCCGCCTGACTAGTTTTCATCAGCGTTGATTCTTTTTTGCCTTTTTTCCGCCAAAGAGGCAGTAAAAATCCCTTTCGTTGATTCGCCATCGACATATGAACATTCACTGATCAATAAACTATAAGTGTTTCGAAGCCCACGTTGTTCGTATTTTTGAGAGATCACTATCGCTTTCTCTTTTTTCGACTTTTTCCGGTTACTTGTGCTAGTTAAAAATTGCATGAAACTTGTTGATTTTGAAAGCAATAAGGCAATATTGGATACAAATTATTCAAAGCCAAAGATATGATTGAGAAATTTAGGAAAATTTAGGAAGTGCCGCTGGTCCTACTACTTTAATGGTTACAATGACCAATCTAAGCGGCGGAAAACTGCCTGTTTTTAGATTGTAAATGGCTCTAAACTTCAGGGTGTCTTCTGTAATGCAAGGCCTTTAAACTACCGCATTTTTGCTCACCTGCCTATCTTCTAATCGTAAGGCATGATGATGGATTTTTAAGGTCTTGTAAATCCCCGCAAAGTATCTACAAATTCCAAAGCCCAATATAAAGTTCGGGGTATTAAAATTCCTTAGTTCAAGATCAAGTTCAGGTCTTCAGGGTGAAGCAGAACTTCCATAGCTATCTGCAGCATAAATGCGACAAAATTTTTATCAAATTTTTATTTGTAATCATTGATAAATATTACTTAATTTACTTATTACAGGGCAACACTCCCACCCTCCACCTTGCCATTGTTAACTCAACCAACTTGGCGACAAAATAGCCGCGAAAGCGATCAGCGGACTCCAAATAACTGGCGACAACGCGTATGGACTCAAGACCAACGCACCCAACGCCATGGGCGAGGCGATGATGGGCGAGAGCACAAACGGCGACAGCACTAAAGGTGAGCCCACCATAGGATTCAGAATAAGTGGGGATAAACACAGTGGCGACAGAATTAGAGGGGTGAAGACTTGAGGCGATAAGATAAATGGGACCAAAACGAGAGGACTCAACACTAGCGGATTGAAGACACCTGGTGACAAGATAGCCGGGTGGACTGCGAGCGGGGTTAGGATAATGGGAGCGAAGATAAAGGGCGATAGGACTAATGCTCCTAAGACACGAGGAGACAGAACTAGCGGGACAAACATCCATGGCGACAATACGACGGCGCCAAAAACTGATGGGGACAGAATTAGCGGGGTAAAGATGATGGGTGACAAAACAAAAGCTTGAGACGCAGTAGCAGGCATAGCAATTACTGGGAAGAACGAGACGGGTGATAGGACTATGTCCCTTTGTTTGACCTCGAATTTCTTCATCTCTGCCATTTCATGGATATTATTGTGCATGTGATGATGGATCTCGTCTTCCGTCAAATTTTTGAACTTTTCCAAGGCTTTGGAGTTGTTCATGGGGGAGTGCTCGCCATAGAGAAGTTGCAATTGATCGTTGTTGAGGACGGCGTAACCAGTGGAGTTCATTTCGCGGAGCTGAAAGGCGTGCAATATATTTTTTTGATGATTTTTTTCGTCAACTAATCTTTGATCTATTCTCACCTGATCTTTCGTATAAGACAAATGAAGTTTTTCGAAGAGCTCGACTGGAGCCACATCTCCGCCAAGTTCAGTGATGTTCTCCTTTGTGGCATACAACGGAGTACCGTGCTCGTCAATCATTGATGAGACGTTTGTCATCAAATTCCGAGTCTGTGTGATTTCATATTCCTTTATTTCTCCGTCCAACTTCTCGGCTTCTTCGTTGACTCCAGCTGCTTCCATGATAACGTCCAGCCATATTTGTTGGTCTTGCAGGCCAGCGTGTTTCAGGAGATTGGGCAGGCTGGTGAGATTTTCCACGCCAACTCCTTCGTTGTGAAGGGAGAAGAGTGACGGGGAGATTAGGTTAATCTGAAATGTAGATTACAATGGCGGACTTGAATCATTGTCAGAAAAGGTGCCATTTTGCATCCGGGAAGGGCCAAAAAATGTAGCAAAATGCCTCCTTCTCCAAGTGAAAAAACTCCGATTTCAAAAGCGCTCTTTTTGTAAGGGAAAGGACCCTTCAAAACTTAGCTTTTCTATTTGGAGAGGGAGGCATTTTGCTACATTTTTGATACTTTCCAGATGCAAATTTATACGTTTTTTGCCACTGGATCAGGTCCGTTGCGGTATCGTTTTTTCCCAGAGATATTCCTTTGGTTAATGCCTTACCTCATCATCCTGTGCTTCCTCCGGCACAACCCCTAAGAACCTCGGCGAAACCAATTTCAATGTTCTGTTATCAAAGTTGGTTGTGTCCTTTCCAGCTATCGAATACACCAACTTCATCGCGTCACGGATAGTATCGACAACTCTTTCTTCTGGCTTCCTTTTCTTTTTATGCGCGTTAACAAACTCTTTCAACTTCTGTGGATCCTTCATCAACTCCTCCAGATCCACATCCTCAACCGTCTGTTTTCCATCAGCACCCAGCATCTTCTCCTTGAGGCCTCTGAGCGCCATCTGGTTCATATTTTCCTCACTGTCGTCTTCGATAAGCTTTTTATACCTCTTTCTTTTGTCCCCATTCTTTCTCAGCTTGCTCACGGTATCTTGCCAGCCCGGAACTTCGGTTTTATTTTTGGCATTCTTCACTGTCTCCAGCAGAACTTTCGCAATTGACCCTAGTGGAGTTAACTGGCCTCTGTTGCTGCTCAACCGATAGCTATTGGTCTGGGTGACCTTCGGCGAGCGCTGCCTTCGTTCTGTTCGAGTTCGAAAGCCTCCATCCCAACCAAGTTCGGCGGTTTTAGAGCGATATTTCTCAAGTCTCGCGCCTTTCTTTGGCTTGCTGATAACTTCGGGTTGCATCTCGTTTTTTAACAGCTTGGATAAGCACTTGGCATGCTTGGTGATTGTGGTGGCCTCTGATGAGCACTTGCCAAACTTCTTGGCTGTGGAGCGGCGTTGACGTTTCAGCCTGGAAATAATATGGACAATTTTATGAAGAATTGTCGTCTTAAATGTACCACAGCTCTATTACTGCTTCCCCAAGTCTTACTTTTTCTGCGCCACCGCCGAAAACAGCGAGCTTAAGCCAGTGTCAACCCATTTATTATACATTTGAAGATAGTCAGCGTCCGTGATCTGGGCCTGGTAGAATTTTTCATTTGGCCCTTTTTTGATTTCCAAATCGAGGTTTGGGACGAATGGCTTCTGGCCTTGCTCGGCCGCGGACAAACATGCTGTCCAAAAGAAGATCGTAGACCCAAGAAGAGGTCGCATTGCTGCAATCTATGTTATTGTGTAGCACGGATATACGTCCTGTTATAAAAGGATTTGGTTTGTAAAAAGGAAAAATAGCCCAAGGCTTCTAAACTTTTAATAAAAAATCGGAAAAAAATTTTGGTTCACCCTAATAATATAATGTCTATCTGTTCTAAAGAAAATAGGGTATAGTTGCAAGCGTTTGAGGATCCAAAATTAAGCTGAGGCCACAAACTCTCACCCACATCTATCCTTAAAGTATTCCCTCCAACTACACTGCTCTGACCTGCACCACAACCTCAATTGTAACCAAATTTTCCGTCTGCGAGGTCGCGAATTTCAACTCATCGACGCAAACAGGGTCTCGCTTTTTTTTGCACTTTTGTCGGAACGTACCAAATTAGCTGGCATCAGGTGCGGGTCGCTCCACCCCATCGTACTGTTTCCATTGGTACCAGTGGAATTAACCTGCATTAATTTCCACATCCTGCCCGCCACATGCCTTTGGGCGGAATTGTCTGCGAATTTCGTTTTTTCTAAATGTTTTAGTCTCCGACTTGTAATACTCTTAACTAATTTCCGTTGCCGCCGTTTTCATTCAGATTAACGCAGGAGATGTTTCGACCTCTCCAAAAATCGCTAATTCTTGGAAGAAAAGAGGCATGGCTTCCTTGATCTTTGGATTAAAGAAACATGGCGCTGAGCAAGAATCTATTTTTTAGTTTGGTTTTACCAGTGGGCATTACCAGGCGTTTGAGTTCATGATTCAATGTGTGTGGTCTGGGGAGGGGGGTAGTTGGAGTCTAGACAGTTCTGGTAATGGATTTATCGGCAAGTAGGAAGATTGTGAACTCCTCTTTGAGTCGAGCAAAGGTTAGCTGATTTATCAAACGCTGATTTTCTTCAAAGCCTTACAGATGTCTCGTTGTAAAGTGGCGGACCTGATCCAGTGGCAAAAAACATACCATTTTGCATCCCGGAAATATCAAAAATGTGGCAAAATACCTTCATTTCCAAGTGAAAGACTCCGATTTCAAAAAGCACGCCCGCTATTTTTGTGAGGGAAAAGGCGCGCTCTTCAAAACGGAGTTTTTTCACTTGGAGAGGGAAGTATTTTGCTGCATTTTTGATACTTTCCGGATGCGAAATGGTACGTTTTTGCCACTGGGTCCGGTTGACTACTGTAGCTTTTGTAGTGTTTTGTGGTTAATCCTTGTTTAAGACAAGAACGGGATTTGGTTAAATTTACGTAATTACAAACAACATACATTCTTTTTTGTATTATTTATAATCTAAGCACTTTATTTCCAGGCAACTCAGTGGCAAAGATGGCTCCGTTAGAAAAGTTTGAATTGATGTTGAATCTGCGCTGGCTGTTAACTCAAGGATCAACCAAGTAGAATGCCACTCTGTTGACGTCCGTCTTATGCCACTTGCCCAAGTTTTGGCTGAGCATAGAGACACTGTTGTTGTTCGCAAATTGTAGGATGCCGAAGAGCAGGAATTACATGGTGAAAGAAGGCCAAATCGAAAGAAAAAATGAACTGTAAAACGTTTTGCGGCCATCAAGTTTCTCATTTATTGTGTTACACCCATTAACTCGTTTGGATAAAAAATTGAGCGAAAGAAAATTTGCTGTTATCGAATGCCGTCGATTTTAACTGGGGAGTTTTTTTGGGCCATTGCAAGTTTCCTTACGTAAGACTTTGTTGCCCGCTTTAATTTTTCATAACTTCTTTTCCGATTTTATCTAACTCCTCTTCCTCCCGACCATTCTGCCTCAACGTGGTTGCAGCGAGTCGTTCGGTGGTTATAAACATTCCTTCAAATTTAGGTTGATTGTTTCGTCAACTCCGAATGTTTCTTAAAATGTTTCTTTGCGCGACTGACCCAAAAGAAACCAAGATATAGGATTTTTACGAAATCCGGTAAAACCGGGGATTTCAAGTAGAAAACAAGAGTTAAGAAAACAAACACAAGGCACATCTGCGACGACATTTATCATCTTTTTTATAACATCAGATAAACGTTAGCGTTTGATTGGTTTGTTGATCTCGGACTACAAGTTTTGATCAAGTTGCTTTTTATTATACCAAAATTAATATTACACTGCTCTCAGAGGGGAACGGAATTTTGTTATTAGCTCAACCAGCTCGGTGACAAGACGGCTGCAAATAGGATCAACTCGCTTGCAATGATCGGCGAAAGCGCGTATGGACTCAGGAACAGCGCCGAAACTCCCTGAGGACTCAAAATAATCGGCGATAATACAAACGGACTCAGCACAAGAGGAGAACCTACAGCTGGCGATAAAATCAACGGGGACAACACTAGTGGGGACAAGATTACGGGGACAAAAACTAGCGGTGACAGAATTAGAGGTGATAGCACAAACGGGGTTAAGACGGCAACATCCAAGACCCCGGGCGACAAAATAACCGGATGCAGAACTAAAGGAGATAAGACTACGGGTGAGAGGACAAACGGTGAGACGATCAGCGGTGAGAGGACACGAGGAGAGACAATAACAGGCACAAACATCCACGGCGAAAGGATGACCGGGCCCAACAAGGCCGGCGATAAAATCACGGGCGTAAAGAGAAGCGGGGAAAGCACGATCGGCTGAGATGCCAGATCGGGCGCCAATACCAATGGCACTAGAACAAGAGGGGACAAAGTAACGTCCTTTTTTCGTAGTTTGAAACTCTCCATTTCTGCGATTTTTGCAATATCTTTGGGAATTTGCTGATGAATCTCTTTGGTGGTGAAGTTGGAGAGAAATTTGTGGGTGTCCGAGTTGTTGTAGGGAGAGGCGCTTCCATAGATTGCGTCAATTTGGTCCTTACGCATTACCGAATAGCCTGTAGTGTTCATTTCCGCAATCTGAAAACCGATAATGCTTTTTTAAAATGATATCTTAGTCATCAAAAAGTACAGTGGGGGACCTGATCCAGTGGCAAAAAACGTGCCATTTTGCATCCGGGAAGTATCAAAATGTGGCAAAATGCATCCCTCTCCAAGTGAAAAAAACTCCAATTTCAAAATTCTTTTTGTGAGGGAAAGGGCGCGCCCTTCAAAACGACGTTTTTTTCACTTGGACAGGGAAGCATTTTGCCACATTTTTGATGCTTCCCAGATGCAAAATGGCACGTTTTTTTCTACTGGATCCGTCACTGTATAACATTAAAAAAATTTGATTGAATAAAGCTATTTTGATGCAAAACCCCACCTGCTTTTTGCTCATGGTCTTGAGAAACTCCTGATAATACTCCACTTTCTGCTTTTCATACTCCGTTCCGCCAAGATCCGTTAAATTATCCTTGGTAAAATACAATGGATGTCCATCTTCTCTTCGGAATTTACTTATATCAGTTTGATTGGCAAGATTCCCAAGGACTATGTTGTCATCATCCTCGATGTGCTGTAAAAGACGACCTCATTTTCAACGCATTTTGAAATCAAGCTTATGCAAACACTTTTAAGTTTAAAACGGCTCACATTTTCCAAGTCATTTGTGCGATCCGTGACTCCAGCGGCTTCCAAAATAAAATCCAGCCACATTTGCTGGTCTTTCACTTCGAATCCGCGCATTAGTTGCGGAATACTGGTCAGATTTTCAATTCCTTCGCCTTCATCATGAAGCGAAAACAATGATGGGCTGAGAAAGTCGATCTAAAAATGTAAATGCTTTACAACTCGTGCCAATTTTCTCCCTTTTACAGTGACCTGATCCAGTGGCAAAAAACATACCATTCTGCATACGGGAAGTATTTAAAAAATGTGGAAAAATACCTTCCTCTCCCAGTAAAAAACTCCGTTTTGAAGAGCGCGCCCTTTCCCTCACAAAAAGATATTTGAAATGGAGTTTAAAAGGAATTTTTTCCACTTGGAGAGGGAGGTATTTTGCTACATTTTTTGATACCTCCCGGATGCAAAATAATACGTTTTTTGCCATTGGATCAGGTCCGCCATTGTATGTGTTCCATCGAAAAAAATATCCTCTAGAACTGCACGGCTAATCAGCATCAGCATGGAATGAAATGCCACATCTTCATGATACAGCGAGAGACCGGATCCAGTGGCAAAAACGTACCATTTTGTATTCCGGAAGCATCAAAAATGTGGCAAAATGCTTCCTCTCCAAATGAAAAACCTCCGTTTTGAAGGGCGCGCCCTTTCCCTCACAAAAAGAGAAATACCTCGCTTTCCAAAATGGAGTTTCAAAAGAGTTTTTTTCAATTGGAAAAGGAGGCATTTTGCTACACTTTTTGTACTTCCCGGATCCAAAACGGTACGTTTTTTGCCAATGGATCTGGTCCGCCACCGTACTTTCTTTGAGTACAAAGTGTGGCAGCCTCTCTTACCTCATCCTCCTTTTTGTTTTCCTTTACAACACCGAAAAACCGCGGCGAAACAAACTTCATATCCTTCTTCTCAAAGTTGGTCGTATTCTTCCCGGACAAGGAATATGCCAGCTTCAGCGCGTCCTTTACGAACTGCATCAGCCTCCCTTCGGGTTTCATTTTTGTCGACTTCAACTTCTTTTCAATCAATTTGTCCATTTGCTTTGGATCTTTGAAAGCCTTGTCTAACTAAAACAATGGATTTTCTTGCATCATATTGTCTATGGAGAGTTACCTCAGCTTTTTCGTCTTCATTCTTCGTACTCCGTTGAAATGCAAAGGAGCTCATTTGAGCCATTTTCTCCTCACTGTCATTTTCCAGCTCTTTTCGAGCCTTCCGTTGCTCCCTTTCGGATGCAACTTTTTTTAACCGCGAGACGGTGACTTCCCAACTGAAAATTATACATATACAGTGACGGACCACATCTAGTGGCAAAAACTTTGAAGGGCGCGCTTTTGAAATCGGAGTTTTTTCACTTGGAGGAGGAGGTATTTTGCTGCGTTTTTGATACTTCCCGGATGCAAAATGGCACGTTTTTTGCCACTGGATCAGGTCCGCCACTTTAAGGTAAGTGCTGGTTACAAAAAATTTTTTAAGACTTCCATTCCTTGTAAAACAGATTTTGTAAAGCAAACAGTACAGTGACGGACTCGATCCAGTAGCAAAAAGCGTATCATTTTGCATCCGGGAGGTATCCAAAGTGTGGCAAAATGCTTCCTCTCCAAGAGAAAAAACTTCTCCAAGTGAAAAGGCGCCCTTTCCCTCACAAAAAGAGCGGCTGAAATCACAGTTTTTTCACTTGGAGAGGGAAGGATTTTGCCACATTTTTTGATGCTTCCTGGATGCAAAATGGTCCGTTTTTTGCCACTAGATCAGGTCCCCCACTGTAGCTTTCAGAATTTCTAATCCGCTTCTAACACCCTCCTTTGTCAGTTGTAAAAACCAATGATCTGCATGCCCTGCGCATTTTTCACTATCTTACTTTTCGCTTTTCGTTTTATTCTTCGACCTCAACACTGCATCCATCAGGACTTTGGCCACACTTCCAAGCGGCGTTATCTTTTCTTTCGCGTCCCTTATCCGATACCCATCCACCGTTCGTCTTCGTATCGAACGTTTCGCACGATATTCTTGATGATCCTTCGTCTTGTATCGATACCGTGACAAGTGGTCAAAATAAAACGAAAACGATTACTTTGAAGATAACCGCAGTCGTTTCAAAACTGCATGTTACAAATTGCAGACATGCAGGATCTAGAAAATTGCAAGCTTACTCTATACTTTGCTTTATCAAACCCGTTACGCAAAAGTCGAGTAACACATTTCGCTTGGAATATAATATCCTTGGCTTGTAGGTTGCAATCTGCAAATCGCTCCAATGTCGATCTTCGTTTCCTTCGTAGCCTAAAATATCAAGTGTAAAAATAGTGGACATATATGCAAAACAGCAGTTTACAGTGGGGGACCTGATCCAATGGCAAAAAACGTCTCATTTTGCATCCGGAAAGTCTCAAAAATGCGGCGAAATCCTTCCCTCTCCAAGTGAAAAATCCCCGATTTGAAGGGCGAGCCCTTTTTCCTCATAAAAAGAGCGGACAGACTTCTGAAATCTAAGTTCTTTCACTTGGATGGAGGTATTTTGCCACATTTTTTGATACCTCCCGGATGCAAAGGGTACGTTTTTTGCCACTGGATCAGGTCCCCCAAATCAGGACGTTCTTACTTTCTATGCGCGAACGCCGAAAAGAATGAGCTCAACGCAGAGTCGGCCCATTTCTGGTACATTGTCATGGCATGTTCGTCTGATACCGGCAGTATAGTCTTCTTGCCGTCATCTATCATTCTTCGATCGTCTGTCTGTGCGGCTTGCTCGGCAAGTGAATTGTAGATTATTAGTGAAAGAATGACGTCATAGATGAGCTTCATATCGAATGCTTTAGATCATAAAGGCACAAAAAAACTGCCCTGAAAGAAAGATATCATAGTAAAATTAATACTAATTATATAATAATGACGATACACAAAGGATACTTCTACAGGTGCCTGCCTATCTTATTGGACACCTATCTTATCAAGGCCCTTCAGCAAGGCTCTTAATCCCAACAAAACTCCTAAGCTTCTCCCTTAAATATTTACAAAAGCCCTCCTGCTTGTAAATTTACAGAGTAAATAACTCCCTCGACCCACTCACCTAACCCCCTTCCTCCCTACCGGAAGCTAGCCGTAAATTCAAAACCTGTGATATGATGATAAACTTTTACAAAACTACAAAAACAGAAAACAACCGACCCCTTCGTCCCGCCGTTGTATGCCGTTGCGGGATCGGGTGGAACGGTCGATTTCACGCCTGAATTGGCATTATTCTGCTGTGGAGAACCGATTTTGGAATGGTAAACCACTTTCACTGCGCCTTCCGTTCCGGCAAGTTCTTGGGGGTTTTCGAGGCGAAAATTACTGTTTTTGTCGACGGTCGGCGAACCGGCGGAATAACAATAACATTGCATTAGAAGAGTAAGTCCGTTAGCGATGGGATTGGGATTTCCAAACCCAAATTTTGGGTTGAATTTTCGGCTCTGATTGCGATTTTCTGTCCTGGTTTTTAATGTTGGAAACAAGATGTTTTCTTGTAAAAATCATAGTTCAAGACTATGTGCCATCTCAGGGAGTCTATTTTTTTGAAATTGTTATTATAAATCTGGCCTAGCAAAAGTCGCCAAGGCATTTTTACCTCGAATTTTCTCCCTCCATTTTAGTCATCATAATAAATAAACAAGCTGCAACCTTCAGTCCCCGTCTGACGTTTCACTTTCCCCATTGCATAAGCCCCAGTAACTAGCCGCGATTTCAGATTCCGAACAGCCCATCGACCACTTGCAGAAGCCCATTTACTATGCCGTAAATTAACCCCGTTTACTAATATGGACGCTTTACAACCAGCCCGACGTAAACTTTCGGCGATGTAGCGGAGAGAAAAGGATAATTACGGCGTGATGATACGTTGGTCGGTCAGTTTCAACTATGCTAATTACGAAGGGGAGGATGTGGGGAGGACTGCGTAAGCGTGTTTTCAAACTTTTACAAACTTGACGCTGGAAACTTTACTTTCGATTTTAGAAGTTTCACCTGATTATGGAACAGTAGCATTACAGCTACTGTTCCATCCCTTTTTTATCACATTTTCGAATGATATATTAGTTTTACCTGTACTTGAGTAAAAAATATAGATTTTATGCCAAGATCAACACGCTACAGTGGGGGACCTGAGCCAGTGGCAAAAAACGTACCATTTAGCATCCGGGAAGCATCAAAAACGTGGCAAAATGCTTCCCTCTCCAAGTGAAAAAACTCCGATTTCAAAAGCGTGCCCGCTCTTTTTGTGAGGAAAAAGGGCACGCCCTTCAAAACGAAGTTTTTTTCACTTGGAGAGGGAGGCATTTTGCCACATTTTTGATCCTTCCCGGATGCAAAATGGTACGTTTTTTGCCACTGGATCAGGTCCCTCACTGTAACTACCTTATCAGAAAATTTTTTGACTTTGCTATTATCAGGCTTTTCTGCGTTACCCGTAGTTCTTCAGATCAATGCGGAACACCATCCATTGACCCATCACCTCAATGTTACCCCGAGAAGGCGAATATCTGGCTTTCGAACGAGTCTCGAACGCCGCTGGTTCCAAGTCCTCCACCATCAAGTCGTCCACGGCGCCCTCTCTTATCCGTACCGTAATCGCCAGCCCCAAACCGCCGCCAAATCTCGATGCCGAAGCCTACTACGCACGATGGATGGCTATTCTGGCGGTCACCATGGCAGTGGTAGCACTATTAACTGCCGTGCTGGCTATACCATTATTGTACGCGTATCTTCAATATGCGCATAACGTCACAAGCGATGAACTGGATTTTTGCGTAGCGAGATTGACGGATTTGAACAACCTTTTTGAGGCGGTGAGTGATACTAATGATACTTAACCCCGTTCTTTAGATACTCAAACCCGCATAAAAATACAATTAAAGCCTGTTTGAAAATTCTTTTCAGTTCCAAGAACGACTTCATTTGGAAGGTCGCACATTGCATAACATTCACAAACGTGAAGACGCTACAATAGATGTTAGGGAACGTCCCACCTCTCCAAGGCTGGACCGACTTTCGCGACGGCCAAATCAACGACAACCGAAAGGCCCAAGAGTTCGAAATTTTGGCCGAACTCGTTCGCAAACTCAAGTTGAAGTCTCCGCTCGACATGCTCAAGGTCCACAGGCGCTAGCACAACAAAGCTACCCACCTCAGCAACCTCTCAGCCATATCCCAAGATATAATGTGCCGGCCAGTCACGGTTATGTGACACCCGCTTTCCCGGTGGCACAATACAACGTTCAGCCTCCGTTGCGACCTCCGTTTAATCCTCCACCAGCGCCCCCAATGCGTCCGCCAACCGCTCAGCCGTATACAACGAATGTTCCGTCCGGCGGGAGGCCGAGACGGCCAAGGCCGCAGCAAAAGCAAGGCCAATGTTGTGGCTACCAATATGGGAAACCGGGCCCACCGGGACCACCAGGGCCTGACGGAAACGATGGTAGGTCCGGTTTCTATTGTGGGGGACCGGATCCAGTGGCAAAAAGGGCACCATTTCGGATCAGGGAGGTATCAAAAATGTGGCAAAATGCTTCCACCTCCAAGTGAAAAAACTTCGTTTTGAAGAGCGCGCCCTTGTTCCTCACAAAAAGTGCGGGTTGAAATCGGAGTTTTTTCACTTGGAGAGGGAGGTATTTTGCCACATTTTCTGATGCTCCTGGATGCAAAATGGTACATTTTTTGCCACCGGATCAGGTCCCCCACTGTAATCATGAGCATTACACCGCAATTACTGTCCTTCTGACTACAGGGAGATATTGAGTCATCAAAAAAATTATTTCAGGCCTCGATGGAACCCCCGGAAAGCCAGGACTTCCTGGGCTAGACGCCCCATTGAATTCAGCTCCTAATTTCTGCTATGACTGTCCCGATGGACCACCAGGACCAGCCGGGACTCCTGGTCCGAAAGGACCAATCGGAAAGCCGGGGAAGCCTGGCACTCCAGGACCTCCCGGCTTTTCTAAAGCCGGCTCAGCCGGTTCTCCCGGAGCTAAAGGATACCCGGGCGCACCTGGAACTCCAGGAACCCCTGGTCATGATGGACAGCTTCTATTGATCCCAACGTTCGGCCCTCCCGGTCCAACTGGGCCAGCAGGACCGCGGGGACCTCCAGGCCCTCAAGGTAGTCCAGGAAATCCGGGACAACCCGGTCCCCCAGGCCCAGTAGGCCCTCAAGGACGGGATGGTTACCCGGGAAAGTGTGGAAAGCCGGGAGCGATCGGAATGAATGGACCACAAGGGCCCATGTCGAGCTGCGATCATTGTGCGACACCAAGGACACCACCCGGATATTAGGCGGAATTTTGGTACTAATTTGTAATCATTGTAATAATAGCATCTTTTTAGAGTAAATAAATAATTTTGAGAATTTTTTTCCTTTTGGTTTTAGTTTACTGCTGATTTCGACATTAATTTTCTTAATTGCCAAGGCTAAAACGACACAAGAGATAAAGCTAAGGCAGAGCTCCCATTTTCATCCTCTTCTGGACAGCAGGCCAGCCCTAGTACTCTTTCCGAGCCAGAGAAGCAAACAATTCTCGCGAAAGCCTCGCCTTTTTCTAGAAATTTCTGTGTTTATCGCAATATTTCGGACGCGAGACGAAAAAGAGAGACAATTGTTCGCACTTTTTGCAGAGCGCACCAAAGAAGCGAGGGATAGCGCGAGAGAGTGAAGACATCTTTTTGTTTTCCGTGGGACATTTTGTTGCCAGAGAGAAAAGACGCGAAAAAATAATAGAAGGGAAAATAAGAGAAGCGATAGAAATGGCGTCCGAGACGGAGGAAGAAGCGAAAGAAAAACGCGTTCTTCCATTTTGTCTGTTATTTTTCGATTATTCATGGTGTGAAAGCACATTATCTCGTGGGGGAAAGTCGTCAAAACACGTTGTATTAGAGAGCTAGATGCTGAATGATCAAATTTGTGTCGTTTTCGCGATTTCACAGCGAACTTTTGACGAATTCGAAATTCAGCACGTAAAATAAGGTTGCTGTTACAATATTTTATGCTATTCGGTTTTCTGGAAATTACCCGTGCTTTTTGTTATTTTCCCAGTAAAATCGTAAATTCCAAATTTGCGAACATTTTTTACTTTTTCTTATTTTTAGGTAACACCTGCGACAAGATGAGCCGAGTTTACGTTGGAAATTTGCCTTACGATGCTAGAATGAAGGACATTGACAAATTCTTCCGTGGTTATGGCCGTATCAACGATATTTTGATGAAACGAGGCTATTGCTTTGTTGAATTTGACGACCGCCGCGATGCGGAAGATGCCGTTTATGATTTGGATGGTGAGAGAATGCTGGGAGTGAGGTAAGTCTTTCTTATTGTTTGTTTTGTGTTTTAGGCCTATTTTTTCCATGGTTTTCGATGTTAATCATGATGATTTAGAGTCTCAGTGGAGATGGCCAAATCTCGTCCTTACCGAGAAAGATACCGTTCCCCAGTCTACGACAGATACAGTCGCAGATCATACACCAGATCTCGCTCACGTTCCGGTCGCTACCGATCCCGTTCTCGAAGCTATGAACGTCGCTCTGACCGCCGTTCCAGGTCTCGAAGCACCTCCAGATCTCCAAAGCGCTATGAGAGGGACTCAAGATCTCGAACCAGAAGCCCATCACGTTCCCATACTCCAAGATCTGAGCGAAGATCGAGCAGTCCAGCCAAGTCTTACCGTTCCAGAAGCCGTTCTTACAGCCGGACTCCAAGAAGAAGCGAATCTCCGGTTGACCGAAGCCGAAGTGTCTCCCGCGGCCGCTCCGAAAGCCGTTCCAGATCTCGTTCCCCCTATTGATTATCACCTATTCCTGGGTGCACCATGAATCCAGAGCATCTCTGCCGCACGTAAAATAATCCAGATTTACATTTTATTTTTTCTCCCCGAATCACATTGTATTTGTCATAATTAGTAAATGTCCTGCATTTTAGAAGCGATCGAGCGAATCCGTTGCGAAACCCCGGGGCGTTCGATACGAATCGTCTGCATACGCAAGTTAAATTGGGCGGGCATGGGTAATATAGTAAAAAGTTTAAAAGTAATATTCTTATAGAGGCGAGTCGAACGTTACATCACGCTCTCCCAGCCTCATTGAACATCACAGGTAATATGCCTCTTATTTATTCCTTATAAAACAAGCAAAATCATCGGATTTCAATTTTTTGCCTAGTGTAATGTAAAAAATGGTCGGCTCTTGAATGAGAATTGAATCCAATTATTGGATAGTATATACCGTGGGTCTAATAGCGCTTATTTTACACAGTTCTGCTTCCCGTGGTGTTGTGTTACTGTAGAGTGTCTATCGTATAAAATGTCACTCGCAGATTGTTTTGGGTCTTGGTGGCGAGCTGCGCCCGTACTCCGCTTTCCAGAAGGTGCGCAAAAGTGGCGTTGAATGAAAGTGATTATGAGGAGAAGATGTGTTTTATTGTCTTTTCAGGTTATGTTTTACATTTTGTAACATTTGTCACAGTTTCTGGCAAAACCGGGGTTTTTTAAATTCGCGTTTGTAATCCCGCCGATTTTTTTCTCGTGGTGCGCTCGTTTTTCTATCGCACAGGATAATGTGGAGTGTGCGTAACTCGTCTTCGATTGCGATCGTCTAGACACGCGTTTCGCTGCATTTTCTGCCACTTTTTTTTTTTTGATTTTCTCTGTATTATTCTTCATACTAAACACGTGGTTTACCCAGACATTTTAATCAATTTTTGTGTTTTTTCGCGATCGTAACGTTTGAATTTATTTTGCAGACCTTTCCTAATCAATTTGGTTGTTTTTAGACGTCCTCAACGATCTGAGTACACCACAATGAGCACTCGAGTTTATGTTGGGCATTTGCCGTATGATGCTCGAGAGCGCGACATCGAACGGTTCTTTGATGGTTATGGCCGGATTCGAGACATCTTGCTGAAGCGGGGATACTGCTTTGTCGAGTTTTCGGACCCCAGGGACGCCGATGATGCGGTTTATGATCTCCACGGCAGGTCTATGTTGGGAATGAGGCAAGAATTTTTTTATTATTTCTGTTTTTAGGTTCTGGCTTCTTGCTACGTGAAACGGGACAAGAAATATGTCCAGCCCCTCTCTATGTCTGGGGATTTTAATATTTTGCATTGATTTTTCGATGTCTTGATATAAATTAACTACTCATTTTCAGAGTGGTCGTTGAACTTGCCAAAGGACGTCAACGCGGAAGTCGTGGTCGCTTCCGTTCCGTGTCACGCTCTCCTCGCCGATATTCTCGTCGTTCTAGGTCCCGTTCTCGATCTCATCGCCGTTCCAGAAGGGATTCACGGTCGCCCCGGCGTTCGTCTCGACGTTCTCCATCAAGATCGGCGTCCAGAAGTCCCCGAAGAGATTCAAGAAGCCCAAAAAGAGATTCAAGAAGTCCTAAGAGGGACTCTCGTTCCCCACGCAAGGATTCCCGATCCCCAAGTCGTTCAGTGAAGCACGATTCCAGATCCGCATCTAGATCACCAACACCAAACAGAAGCCCCAAGAAATCTGCGTCCCGTTCTCCCTCCAGAAGTCGCTCCCGCTCTGCCTCGCCGAGAAATGGCAATGGCGATCGTCGTTCCTCATCCGCTTCACGTTCTAGACACTCTCCTTCCGGCTCTCCTCGCTCTGATCGTTCTCGTTCACCAACTCCTTAAAAAGTGAGTAAGTTTGGTCTCCCAAACAGAGAGAATAGTACCGCTTTTGACTGAATCTTCCGCTATAATTGTCTTTTATAATCCATGTTTATGGTAATGGTAATTAATATTATAAATTCTTCGGTATTTATGGTAGTCTTTTTCTTGTGCAACTTACCCCTCGAACCTCTTTTTTATCTATCCGAAAATATTTGTCGTCTATCAGGAAATATCTGTCTTTTTCACACCTTGCGACGAGAAGAATAGTTGCCTTCTAGGCTGTTATCCTTTTTTATTTGTCTGAGAGTTGTAATTATTATCATAAACTAAAGTTTAAACGCGTTTTAGAAGCCTTTTTTCGCTCTCGCTGGCCATTCCATCCAAGCCATTTCGGTGGACTCGCTAGCCAGTGCCCGATTCGGTTGCCAGCCAGTGAATAAAGCAGGTTTTTTGAGGGCGGTGAAGGGTTGAGGTGTCATGGTTAATATATAAAAGTGGGGTTTGATGACAAATATACAGCTAATTTGATAGGCAAACAGGTGTGAGAAGTGAAAAATGATAGCTGAACAGATTTACCAAAGTTATGCATAGGTTTTGGGATGTTGTGTTACTCCATGGTAGATAATATAAGAATGAATAAATAAGGTGTTATAATAAAAAAATTCTAGCCGGACATACGATCCTCGGCCATCCTGTTCCCTCCGAAAGCCACTGTAAAACCCAGCCATACCGTTAGCCGTCCCCATCCCTAATCCGAGATACCTTCAACATTGTAAAGGTAGAAAATTTTTCAGCTTGAATTTGATCGACGCAGTTGGTAGTATTATGCAAATGTATTACGCATGTCGAATTTGTAGGCTCGAACCATCGGCGTCCAGCCATTGCTCGTTCTCTACCATGTATCTTATACATGGTGAAATTAATGAAGAATCATGGAGATCATCGAGTTTCGCGTTTCATTTCAAGCTCACACAAAACACGGGCTCAATTCGGGTCCCAAGCGAATGTTTCCGGTAATTTGTAGCGTCATTGCATCGTGTTTTATACGTTGGATGGGCCATCGTATAATTTGGCACGTGCAGTGTGCGCAATCACGGCGCCGAAGGTTTCTGTCTCGAACGGAAAACAAACGAAATGCCAACGCTTTTTGTTCATTTTCGCCAGATGTTTGGACTTCTTTTGAAAGCTGTTCGGTTCGTAAATGTGCGTATGCAACATTACTTTGAGCTGAATGCCCCGCAGAGATGCCTGTTTCCCCGCGCGATTTTGTTTTCGGGAAGGAGAAGATGGGCGCACAATTTTTCTGCTCTTCTTTACCCACTTGAATGCAATTCTCTCTCTCCGAAAAGACCCACATTTCTGTGTAAGTTCTCTGCACTTGGAAACCGCCACCATTAGGGCGTTTGGACCGTTTCTTTGGCAGTTGTGGGGTTCGTGGGCCTTTGGGATGGCGGCTCGAAAATTTATCCTTGTTTCAACGGAGGCTTTATGGGAAGGCTCCTTGGTCGTTACAAAGAAGTTCTAGGTTGTTTTCCCCAATTTTCATTAGTGATGAAACATGTTATTTTGATGTTTACTACGTGCTTTTTCCGTGTTTAATGTCGTGTATAGAGCTCGAGTAAAACGCGACTGTTTTTATTCCATTTTGCTTTCAGTTTGACCAAACTTTCTTCGTTTTCAATACAACAATGGGCACCAGAGTCTACGTCGGCCACATCCCATACGAAGCTCGCGAACGTGATGTTGAGCACTTCTTCGATGGTTATGGAAAGGTCCGCGACATCTTGATGAAGCGTGGGTACTGCTTCGTGGAACTGTCTGACCCCAGAGATGCTGATGACGCGGTTTATGATCTGAATGGAAAGTCAATGCTTGGAATGAAGTAAGTTTGTTTCTATATTGTTTGTTGCTGTTTAGAGAAAGGATTTCAAAAGCAAAATAATTGCAGTTTTCCTGACTTATGGTATCTATTTTCAGAGTCATTGTCGAGATTGCCAAGGGAAAGCCAAGAGGAGGATATGGAGGTGGCCCTGGCGGACGCAGAGGGCGCTCTCGATCCCGCTCTCCCCGTCGTTCTTATGGACGCGGTGGACGTCGTTCTCGCTCCCGATCTCCTCGTCGTTCATCTCGCCGTTCCGTGTCCCGATCTCCCCGTCGTGACTCCAGATCCCCCGACAGAAAGGACTCTCGCTCTCCCCGCAAGGACTCCAGATCACCAAAGAGAGATTCGAGATCCGCCTCACCGGTGAAGCGGGACAGATCAGCCTCTAGATCGGCTTCTCCAATCAAGAGAGACAGAAGATCGACATCTGGCTCTCCCCGAAATGGACGTTCGGCTTCTCCAGCCAAACAAGACAGAAGATCGGCGTCTGGGTCTCCCCGAAATGGACGTTCAGCTTCAAGATCCGTCTCCCGTGGAAGGTCCCCATCCGGGTCGCCAAGACGAAACGGCTCAGACCGCTCGGCCTCTCGTTCTCCATCTCGCTAAGGCTGGTGGGTAAGTTTGCTCCAAGTCTCCTGTTTTTTTCTGACTTTATGTCTTGTCCACAACTCCATTTACAATAATATTTTCTTCTTGCTGTTATTGTTTTGTGTCCCGAAAACGTTCGAAACTTTGGTCTCTAATCTCATTTTTTGTGGTTAACCTTCCGTTTTCTCGCGCTTCTCCTGGAGTTGTAATAGAAAACTAAATTATTCACCAAACAATTGTTACTCTCCGACGGATGTCTCTTAATGGATTTTTTTCTTATTGTCAAGGTTAATTTTACAAAAATACAGTTATTTTCCACCATTTTTTATTTTCTTTTTGATTGAAATATTTTACTAAAGTACGGATGTTTTAGTACGTTTCTGAGCCCAGAAGGCCTAGAACATGAGGCCAGTACCGCAAGCCGGCATGCCACGCCCTCCTCCGCCCCGTAAATAAACAGTTCCCTCTTTCGTTGGTGTGGCATTGCGCACAGTGCCAGTAGATAGCAGTGCGGTGGTACAAAGTTCGAGCACAATGTGCGGTGGCCGGTCGTGTAACGCTTGTTCGGTGGTTAGTACCAGAACGTACCAGTACCTTTAACCTTTTTGGGAGCAAGTCGGTTTGGTGGCTGGGCAGTTCGTATCGTTCAAGTGCATATGATGGGCATACAAACATATTTCAAGTGCATTTTGATGGGCGGTACACAAACATAATCGAGTTTGTTGGAAAAATTGTACAATTCCAATGCAGAACAGCCCGTTTCCCCCCATGAAACACTCCTCAAAGCCCCCTCCGTACTCGCACAGAAACAGTCCAAGCCCAAAGTGCCGCTCAGTTCAAGCTCACCGGCTCAGACAGACGTTCGTGAACCACCGAGAAAGTAGAGGTGGTTGTTTTGGTATTTTGAATAATCAAAAAGTTAAGCATGGCCGGGCAAGTTAGATCAGAGCAAGAACGAGAGCAGGTCCTGGCCACAGAACACATTCAATCACAAAAAGTCAGCTTCTTCAAGAAGATCTAGATCGTCTGTAGATTGCACAGACATCCTCAGTATACCATCTATGAATTCAGATTTGGCGATGTGCACGGGTTTATGTATGCGCACAGAGCCAGCAAGGTCAAGGGTTCCGATTTTCATCAGTGTTATGGTAGCACCAAATGCCATGTGAGATGATCCGCGCTCGTTCCTTTCCAATCTAATTTTAGAAAGTAAGGAGGTCGTAGGTGGAATGTAGATCGGACAGAAAGTTATGGAATTTGACAAATAATGAAAAGTAATTTTTTGCTAGACAAGTCCATAATCGGCTATTCTATCCTCACAAAAACGTGCCTATATTCGCTTGCAACAGCTGTGGCTTTAATTCGCTCTGATTAGGTAACTGATTAACCCCGGCAGAAGATATGGCAAGTCGAAAGATGGGTCAAAAAATCGATTGAGCACCAAAAATTCAATAATTTTTGCGTTTTTGGGCCGAAAAATTATGCGTTTTGACGTTGCTTGTTTCAGGCAAAAGAACTTTTTTGATACTCGACCTTGACCGCTCAGTTTTGGTCCTGTCATTTTCCAATCCCTAATGAGCATACAAAAAATGCTCATTCCCTAATTTTTCGTTTCCCCAGTTGTCATTGATACCAATATTTACTGAATTATTGCGGATTTTTTCCATGATCGTATTCACATAACCCTTTTTGAACAAAGGCTAAGATCCGCTGCAGTAAAAACGGTGAACACAAGGTCCTCCTGTGTTGCCGCGGAATTCACTTTTCATACATGTTTCCGAATGAACTACAAACATTGTGCTTTATCATGTTTATTCGGAGTTTAGAGAGCATCTACACGTCGAGCAAAAAGCATCCGTGTTATGATCTTCTCCTCCCTTGCTTCTTATCATCTAATATTTTTCTTCGGGTCACATTTGCTACCTTTGCTACGAATTGATACTGCACTACCTCGAAAGACCGTCGGCCGGCAACTGTGGTAGAATCGCACAGCGACCTGTGATGTTTGATGTGTAAACGTTTTTGCCAATATAAAGCAAGTTGGCTGGTCGCGGTCCGCCGATGTATTGTTGTAGTCGGCTAGTGTTGAATTGTGGATTTGTATCGGATTCCGTACAAGTTTTGTACGTAACAATTGCGGTGTAAATTGAGTTTTATTTTGGATCTTATTATTTTGATTTTTAGATTATGAAATTTTTCGAATAAAGTTACTCCACAGTTGCTAAAAGATCTAAAAAATTGAGCTGAAACAAGTTTGTTTTGCTCCAACGTAATCAAGAAACCTCTGAGTCCTCGCCCGACCACAGATAGTCCAACTTTCGTGGTTCATTTGATCTGGAACACCGCGAAAAATTTGCCCTTTCCCCACAACGACAACAGCGAGTAATCGAATTTAGCGGCCCACAAAAGTCGACTTTTACTGTGCTATAAAGGCCGCTGTAAAGAGGTGTAACAGGGGAGGAATTAACGTTTCTGTTTTCTCTAAAACAGTTTTTCTCTCCCATTTTTATGGCTGTTATAAGGTTTCGTGGGGCTTGACAATCAGTTTTGATAAGGCATTCGGTCGGCTTTTGTTTTTCGTCATAAGGCTCGGTGGAAATTTTAGAGGTAGATGGGATTCCTATGACGTTGAGGAAGGTGTGTGCGTCGTCTGCTAAGGCTATGGGTCATAATGACGTGTTATGAATGATATTTAAATAGTCTGATAAAATAGTTCTTGGGGTTGTTGTTTGGGTTTAAGATCATTTTGAATATAAAGTTTTGAAGCCTTCACAACTTTGAACATGCTTTATATTTTCGATATTTTCATAAAGTACTCTTTTTGTGTCAAGTGAGCTGCTGAGGCAAACAGAATCGAATAAACGCCGGCTCAAGTTTAGAATGGTAGTTTATAAGGCTTATGTGAGATTCATAGCTTGTCTTTTCCCACAACCCACCGAGGTTTTTCATGGCCCTATTTTTCGCGTGCTCTCTGGTAAAGAAGAACGTCCAATAAATCTGGCACCCATGGAAAGCGCGAGCTAAAACTTTTGGGGACTTATAATATTTATGGCTTGTTTAAAATATGCATTCGGAACTTGAAGAAAATCTAGATAGCCTCCTTTGTTAGCTTTAACAAATGCCTTGTTGGGGCTCTAAAAATTGGATTAAAAATGTAAAAGGTCATTACTTTTGCCTCCGTGAACTTAGACGGGCTATATTTGGTGGACAAGACATGGGGTGTCTTAGCTTTAATTTGGTATAAATTTTGTAGAAATTGGTGCATTTTTGGCGGGGAATTATCAAAAAAAAGGTCGGGCGTTTCGAGTGGCCCACGCTATATATCCAGGCTACACTTTCGATAGTTGGCCCGGATATAAATACGATGCAGCTGCGTTATAATGGAGTTATTATTTGGCTGGCTAGTTGCTGACTTTGATCCTACTGTATATTGATCTCCTTGATCCATTCCAGACTCTTTTTTGCACCCTTGATTTAATCAAATAAAACGTAAAACGCGAGCATTAAACCAACCCGTTGACCCGCGTGAAATTAAACATTTCTCGACAGTGTTTCTTAAATAATTGACTTGCGTGTGGGAGATGTTTCAAGACGTTTCTTTAATGCGAATTGACACTTATCTGAAACTTGAACTTGAAATTTATGAGACACTCCGGAAGTCGTATCGTGGCTAGCGAAGGATTACGATAACTATTTATATTGGTTATAGTAATCATTCTTTACATCTCATGTAGTTTGCGATACAGAGGCTCACAATTTGTAATCGCCAAAGACAACAAAGCATAATGTAATTTTGCTGCTCTGTCACATTCTATACAATACAATAGTTGTGTCGATTTCATTTCCAAATTGATGACTGATCGTAAATGGTCTTTTGCTCTTATTTTCGTAATCCATCACGCTTGTTTTCCCCTCTAAATCATTCAATTTCAAGCTATTCTTGTTGGAAAAACATTCAAAACTTCTTGTAACCTTCTTAAGCGTCTACAAATCCGTGGGAATTCACCGGCCGTGAATAAACCGATCGGAAAACAGAAAGTAATCCAATCAATTAGCCCATTGCTATTTTGAAAGCTCGACGGGATTGCAGGGCACTTCCTTGTAGCAGTGAAAGTTGCTTCGAGACGGATGATAATCGGATTACCGTATACGAAAAGATTAAACTTTGTTTTGTTTTCGCGTAGCAAGAATCCAAAGTTCAGTTTAGAAAAGTAGAATTTATGCAGGTTTTAAAGTTGACAAGAGAGTTCAAATCACATTAACTTATAAGTATAGGTCAGTGTGACGTATGGTAACTGGGAGATGAAACAAAAAACCGGGCCTTGTAAAACAAAACGTGACCAATTTTCGCCAAGCCTGGAGGTATAGCGAAATGTACAGAGGCGACCTGATCCAGCGGCAAAAAACGTACTATTTTGCATACGGGAGGTATCAAAAATGTGGCAAAATACCTCCTTCCCTTACAAAAAGAACGGGCGCGTTTTGAAATCGACGTTTTCCACTTCGAGAGGGAAGCATTTAGCCACATCTTTGATGCTTCCCGGATGCAAAATGGTACGTTTGTTGCTGCTGAATTAGGTCCGCCACTGTAGGCGCAAGGGACGATTGTCATAAAATGGTGTCATTATAAAGAAGGTTAACTCTTTCACATACTACAAGGAAGTATGTGAAATTCTATGCTCAGATTTTCTTTAAATTTTGCACACGGGTCTGGCATTGGCTTAACACCAATGCCTGAAAATTAAGCGCGCAATTTTCCGGAGAGAGTACACAAAGCCAAAATAGGTATGAAACTTCATGCCAAAGTTGGTCAAAAAGCGTCAAATTTTTTCCAAAAAATTTCGGTTGTTTCATCAAAACGCGAGCTAGTAATTTCACATATTTATGTCTTGGAGAGCTCATTCCAAGTTTTTGTAAATTTCATCAAAATCTGAGCGTCGCACTAAAATCTGAGGGTCGTACTTGGAGTACTTTCACTGTTTATCGGTCCCGTTAAGCAATCGATTGTTGGCAGGGTCTGTCCTGCGCGTTGTCATCTTCCTTTCCCAATCTTAAAAATTGTAAAAAAACTATTTGTAGCATCCAGGCATGTCGTTCAAGTACAAGACCCACAGATTGGAAGGCCGTGTCGCCGTTATTACAGCTAGCACTAAAGGGTGGGTTAGTTTGTTCATTTCAAAGCCTTATAATGAGTACTCAATCAAGATCTATAACGATCAGTTGATTTTAGAATCGGATATGCCATTGCCGACCGTCTGGGCCACGAAGGAGCCAAGATTGTGATCAGCAGTCGAAAACAAAGTTCGGTTGATAGAGCTGTTGATCAGCTGATTGCTGGAGGGCTGCGACGTGAGAATGTGGCTGGAATTGTTTGCCATGCCGCTGACGAGGCGCAACAAGATCGACTTTTAGCTTTTGCTAAACAAACCTTTGGAAAAATCAACATCTTAGTTTGTAATCATGGCATCAGCCCGTATGTTGGGAATCTGATGGACATCCCGGAAGATACTTGGGACCGTATGTTCGAGGTCAACTGTCGTTCGATCTTTTTGCTGACTCAAAAGGCCGCTCATTACTTGAAGGAAGCTGGGTAAAAATTTCATGCCATTTGATTATACAAATGTTTTTTTTTGATCTTGAAATTTTCATATTGTAATTACAATTCTTGCAGTGGCGGAGCAATTGTTTACACCGCATCAGTCGCTGGCTATAAGCCACAGCCGAAGCTGGCGTTATACGGCGTTACAAAGACAGTTCTTCTCGCGATGACCAAAGCGTTCGCGCAAGGATTGGCTGAAATGAACATTCGGGTGAATTGTGTCGCGCCTGGCGTCATCAAGACCGACTTTAGTCGTGTGGTAAGCTTGGGGAAGTTTTGCGGTATATTCTACAAAGCTTCGAGGCCTTTGATGTACGGTGGCGGACCTGATCCAGTGGCAAAAACATACCATTTTGCATTCGGCAAGTATCAAAAAATGTAGCAAAATACCTCCTTCTCCAAGTGAAAAAAATCCGATTTCAAAAGTGCGCCCTTCAAATCCGAGTTTTTTTAGCTGGAGAGGGAGTCATTTTGCCACATTTTTTGATCCCTCCCACATACAAAATGACACGTTTTTTGTCACTGAATCAGATCAGCCACTGTAATGTTGCAAAAAAGGGGTAAATGAGATGACAAATTCGGCTTGTAAAATCATTTTTTAGCTCTGGGATGAGACTGCGACTGGAGCAAAGCCGCAAACTAAAAGCGAAAAGGACATCAATGACCTGGGACGACATGGAACTCCTGAAGAAGTTGCTGCCTCTGTTGCCTACTTGGTTTCGGACGACTCAAGCTACGTTACAGGAGAAAGTCATGTAGTGTCGGGTGGAGTTGCTTGTAGATTGTAAAAGTGCTTGTCAAGACATATTCATAAATCATCTATATTTTTTCTGCTAATTAAAGTGTATTATGGTTATTTTAATAAAGATTTAAAGTTTTCTCCAAGCTCTAAAATACCGCTGAATCCCATATAAAAACATTGGATTTTGAATTTTAAACCAGGAACAATAGCAAAATCGAAGCTCAAATTCTTAGAATGTATGTTTTCATTGCAATCCAACACCAACCCTCATGTATGCGAAGACATTTCGAAAAACAAAGAACCTTTTTTGCAAAATTAAAACATGTAGTTTTATGCGAAATATGAATCCCTTTAACATCACTAAGCTTCGGGTCCTATATTCACCATTCTTGCCTCATGTCAACTACCGATGCCCAAAGTATCTTCGTATCAAACCGAACGTCAAATGCCCATACTTGGGGTTCTCTGTGGATGTAAGTTTTGGTTTGAGAAAGGCGAATAGGCAAACGATGACAAGTTATCATTTAGCGAGCGGTGCTGCCTCGGAAAGTCGTTGATTCTTAGGTTTACGAATTTTAAGGAATGTAGGCAGAAATAAAAGAAAATGTCTTTTGTCTAGCCGCCCCTCCTTATTTCGCATTCCGACTTTTCGGGTCGACGACAGTTGGGGTCAACGCAAAATCGATCGATACTGGGTTTAGGGCAGGTGGGAACCCAACAAAGGTTGCAAGAAGTGTCCACGACGTTTGGCAAAGTTGTTGGCTGGCCGGCGGACGCTCGGCGGAGACTTGGCGAAGACTTCCAATAAATCCACTATTTCTTATTTTAGCTATTGCCAAGGTTAGTTTTCTTTACCCTGAGTTATTGTAACATATAACAGACCAAAATTTGCGGCAGAAAATGAAGATCATGTGAAACATCTGCTAACTAAGCCTTTTCCTAGGCTCACCCATGCATACAACGACCAACCGACGCGATTCAGAGTAACGTTGACCCGAACTGCCGCTCACCCGAAAACACGCAGCGCTTTGCCTGTAGACTGTGGATTGACACTTTGCCAAAAAAAGACGCGAAAAAAAGTTTTGTCGGGGAAGAAATGGGGAATTTTTGGGGGAGAGAGTACGCTTTTGCGTGTCTTTTTTCTCTCTTTCTCTGCGAAATCAAGACAAAGTGTAAAAACCGATAGCGAAGAGTCTATTCCGGTCACCGGACTCCTCAGTTTGACGTGCCCTGTTCTTTATCAGCACATCTCCAAACTCAAAATTTCAGCTACTAAACATCATCGCGGCCCGACTGAACCTAACCATCGTCCCAACCCTCGATCACTCTATCCCAGGAGAAACGGATTACGGCGCTAACATCAATGGAAAGATTGTCGGGATTCTTGAAAATGTCGTGAATGGCACTGTGGATACGATAGCCATGACTTATACAAACGACCACAGGTTCAACTCACATTTCGCATTCTCAAGGCCCGTCTTTTTTGTGAGTTTCTGAGTAAATCTCATCATTCTTGAAGCCGACACTACATTTACTTTTTTAGGCTGCGGGCCGAGTTTTGGCAATCCGCCAAAAGGAAGATTTTTCTGGATATTTCTCATTTTTCAAATCATACCAACAAACCGCCTGGATTGGAATAGCCGTCTCGCTAATTGTGCAATGCCTTTTTAGCGTTTTTGTTGCATCCGCAGAGACAAAACTTCGTAAAGTAGGGCAATTTATGGGAATTTGAATCTTTTCGTCGGCTAATTGGTCAAAATCTCGAAATTTTTAGAAAAATCCAACCCACTGGTCGGAAGTTGTTTGGCGAATGACCAGATTACAATTGCTACAGCCTCAAACTTGTCAATCCACACTGGTTTCGGGTAACAAATGGGTTATTTTGCCCGATGCCATCAATTTTTTGGCTTCTGCACTGTGACGAAGATGGACGATAAGGGAAACCGAAAAGTATTCTTTTTCTTCGGTGCAAGTGTCGAAATTAGGATAATCGAGGGTGCTGATTTCGAAAATGACATTAAATCTTTTGATCCTTACTTTTTTCTTCAAGTAGCACTGTAAAGTAGTAATTTTTTGAATTTTTTTCACAAATACTCGATTTGGGGGGTTTCGATCTTGCTGATTTCGAAAATCCTATTCAAATTTTTCTGATTGAAAGCAGCATCATCGAAAACCCCCAAATCGAAAATTCATGAAAAAACAAAAAAATTACTACTTTACAGTACTACTTAAAGAAAAAAATAAGGATCAAAAAATGAACGTCATTTTCGAAATCAGCACCCTCGATTATCCTAATTTCGACACTTGCATCGAAGAAAAATAATACTTTTCGGTTTCCACAATCGTTCCAGTTCCGCACTGTGCAATGAAACCACCGAATTTAGAAAAAAACTTTTTTACCAGTATGTTCGAAAAATTTCAGGAAAACTGTCGATCCTAATCTTCTCCCTAGCCCAATGTGCTGTGATAATGGGAGTCCTGAGTTCGTACCTCCTCTCCCACATTATAAAACCATCAAATCCGGTGCAATTTTCGAACCTTAAGGAGATGGTGATTGCAATGAAAGAAAACAGAGTTCATATCATTGAAACCCATCGAACACGGGTGGAATCCGAGATTAAGGGCATTGGAAAGACTCTGGGAATCAACATGACCAAAGTGGCAGGGTATAATCCAATACGAATTTCAAAAAACACAAAAGAAGCGTTGGCAATGTTACGAGAGCCGGGATCCGTCATTATTCGATATGTAAGCGGTTCAAATGCAACTAACGGGGCTCTGAAGGCCTTGAAAAAGCCTATTCTTTCATTTTACACTGCAAAATCTGCAATAAAATTAGTTTATCCATCAAAAAAATCTCGAAACCCCCAATTTTCGCAAAAAAATCGGATTTTTCTCTTCCAGGACGACGAAGACATGTATTATCAAGCCGTTGAGGACTGCGATGTCATCACAAAGGAAGAAGTTCTACCTCTAACCCAATCTTCATTCATTTTCAACAAGGGTTTCCCACTTTTACCAGCGATAAATCGAGTAATTCGAGAGGAAACGCTAGAAATTCGAAGACTTCAAAATAAATACAAACGGAACTTCAAGGAAAAGATCAGTTGCAAAGCTCCAGCGCCTCAGAAAACTGGCAAGCGGACAATAAAACATATTTAATCATTATTTTTACCTGGTTTTAGGTTCAGCACCTTATTATGGCCTTCTGATAATATTATTGTGCTTGGATGTGGCAGCAATTGGAGTTTTGCTAGCAGAAATAGTCGCTGGAAGAGTCTCACACACAGAACAATCAAAACGATAAAAAAAATTGTAAAAATGGCAAAATAAATTCCTTCGAAAACTTTTAATGGTATAAGAAAGTTTAGCCAATTTGCAAGCCTCGGGCGCAGTTTGCGAATAAAATATTTTGCGCGTGAAGAATTCTTTGCAAGGAAGAGGATTCTCTGTCATCTACGGGTTCAGCACAAGATCATTTGACTATTTTTACTCGTTTTTTCTTCGATCATATCAATGACGTTGTCTTCACCCACCAAAGTCCGAGAAATCCGTCGAGATGCCGAGTTTGTGGATGAATTTGCGGCTATCAGCCATTTCAAGAGGAAGAATAGAGTCAGACCGTATGAAGGGCGATATGTAAGTATTACCGGGCCTGTTTTATATTGCTTTGTTTCCAATTCTAGGCGAATTATGTTCGATCTGTCTCATGGAACTGTGATGGAACAATGTTAGCCGGTGGGAACTACGATTCCTCTCATAGCCATGTGGTTGTTGGTCAGATGGATCCGTCAACGAACCGCCTGGTGAGTGGGACGCTCTTTGTGTTGTCTCCACTGTCTTTGCTTCAAAATTTAGGCAAATTTGTACTGGACGTCAAGTCTTGTTCAATGTGCTTTGAAGACGTTTTCCTCGGCCTGTAAAACGTCTGAATTTTAATTTTGATCTCTATAATTTTGCAGAGGCATCAGTTTCTTGGTTCTGGACATGACGATTTTGTCAATGAGGTCGCCTTTTCTCCAGTAGATCCATTTATAGTTGCATCTTGCTCATCAGACCGAAGTGTTCGGGTTTGGGATGTTAGAGTGACAAAAACTCATCATCGCTGTGTCACTTCGGGTAGGTCGCTTTTATTCTTTTTTTGTTATGATTTTTAGGTTAAATACGGCTGAAAATTCTCCGATATTATCCATGACATAGCCTTGATAATAAAATTTGAATATTATTTGCAGATGGAAACACAGCGCTTACCTGGTCTCCAGATGGAAAGAATATCGTGTTTATTGATAAATCGGACCGGTTGCACGTGATCGATAGGGCAAATTTGGATGTGAAAGCGAGATATGAATTCAAGGAGAAGATCTATGATGTCACTTTTCATCCAAGCCAAAAATTCTTGATCGTCTGTGGAACCGCAGGGAAAATTGATATTTTACGGTGAGCTAGGAGTGTTTTCTTCATTCATTCGGTTCATTTTTTCAGATTCCCCGAGCTTACACATTATCGAACAATCCAAGCGCACCCTCCCTTATCCGACTGCCTGGCCGCGGAAATATCCCCAAACGGGCAGTATTTGGCGATCGGAGCCTCGGATGCATCATGCTCAATTTGGGATCTTGAGGATATGATTTGCGTAAGGACTTTGTCCAGAATGGATTATCCAGTTAGGTCCGTTTCCTTCAGTCACTGCTCGAATTTGGTGGCAAGTGGAAGTGAAGACTATACGATTGACATTTCATGGGCTGAGAAGAATATACGGTGAGTTTGTAGGGGTAATGGGGAGATTGGTCACGATCTATAGGTGGGATATTGCCTATCAAGGAAAGTAAACAAACGTTTGTATTCTAACAGTAATTAAAGTGTATAGATAAAATTTTTGTGCTCTTCACTACGTAACAAAGTAAGTGCACGCTAAGTCAACAGCAAACAAACAACGTTTCGCCATTATTTTTAATCAACCAATATCAAAAAAATAAAAATTCATTTTTCACAAGGAAAGTACTTCTATGGGGTATGGAGTTACAGGTCCAGACATATATCAAAAAAATCGCAAAATTTTTCTGATTCAAAATATGTAAAAGTTAGCTCCCTAATTTTGGTTTGTAACGGTGAAAAAGTCCTCAGAACTTTTCTCGCAAGACCACGAGAATGCCCCCTTTTTAAATATATTGGAACTACTTATTAAGGTGTAGTATTAATCAAATTTGATATTGTAAGGCTTTTCAAGATACCAGGGTTTACTTTAGCGCTAAGCTTTAGCCCAAAACAAAGCTTCTGATTTGGTAAAAACTTGGTCAAAAAGGCATTTCCGTGGTGTTGCGAGACAAGTTCTGAGGATTTTTCACCCTTACAAACCAAAATTAGGCAGCTAACTTTTACATATTCTGAATCAGAAAAATTTTGCGATTTTTTTGGTGCATGTCTCGACCTGTAGCTCCATACTCCATAGAAGTAGTTTCCTTGTAAAAAATGAATTTTTACTTTTTTTTGATACCTGTTGACTAAAATAAGGTCGAAACGTTGTTTGTTTGCTGAAGATTTAGCGTGAACTTATTTTGTTACGTAATGAAGACCACAAAAATTTTATGTATAGACCTTAATTACTGTTAGAATACAAATGTTTGTTTATGCGCCCATTTTTTATATTATCCATGACCATTTCAGAGTTGGTGAAGTAAACATTCCAAATGAATGCTATTCCCTTCAATGGAACCCCAGAGCATATCTATTGGCCTATGCTACGGCCCCACAGAACGAACGGGATCGAGATCCAATTACTTTCCGTGTTTTTGGATATCCCGCCGGCTCCAGAAGAGATGACTAAAATAATGTCAAAAAAATTTGTTATGATAATGCACTCGATGCATTCGGTTTTTATAAATAAGATTTTGGTCTATAAAGTAATTTGGAGGGAATGAGATTATTAGCTACGTTTCCATACCATTAATTTACCTTGTTTTTGTTGATGATAACATGATTTAAAAGTGGTTAAATAAAGTATTTCGTATTCGAAGAGCCCTCACGCTTTAGCGGGTTTCCTAATGTTTTCCTCTGTGGGAAAACACGTAAATATGTTTTGAAATAAACAAAAAGACCGTGTTTATTCCCGTCTTATATACCAGATCTCTTTCTAAAATCTATGTTTTTGATGTGCATCTGAACATTCTCTTTTATTCTTGATGTATTTTTTTAATTCATAATACTTTTTATGCTACGTTGAAAACAGGATTTATTTTATTTTCGATGGTGCTGAATTCGAAAATCGTTTTCTCTTTCCTTTTTGCACGGTGCAAAAAAAGGAAGAAATTTGCACAGTGCAAAGAAAAGTTTTGTCGCCGATTTCACTCCGGCGACTTTCCGGAAGGACTCTTCGCATTTTCACAAAGTGCCTGGACATTTGCACCGTGCACAAAAATTCGCGAGCTCTTGCACCGCGCACTCACCTCACCTTTTTTGGTTTTGCACTGTGCATTTGAAATATCGCCGCGATGTAAGCTTTTCCAAACTGCGCCGCTGCGATTTTTCTCTCAGATGTGCACAGTGCAATCGGCGTTTTTGAGGTTTGCACGGTGCGCAAAGGCAAAAATCCACAGTGCGTTGGCGACGAAAGTTCAAGCACTGTGCAAAAGCAAAAAGATGTCCAGGCACTTTGTGAAATGCTAACAGTACCACAAAGAATCTGTCTAAAGATTACTAGTCGCGGAAAAAAGTCCTGGGAATTTTCTGCGACTCTGCACTGTGCATGAACCCGAAAAGTGCTTTTGCACAGTGCAATTTTGTTGATTTTGCCTTATTGTCGCGCGCGATTCCCGTGTTTCGCAGCGACAAATAAACTTTTCGGAGCGCGACGGCCGCGAGAAATTCCCAGGACTTTTTTCCGCGACTAGTATAAAAAATTCGAATTTTGATGCAAAAATGGGTTGACAATGATTTTGAAACTCAGCATACACCTTAATTTTGGTCGATTTTCCAAAATCTGCACTGGTTTTTTTCCAAAGTTTCGTGCATTTTTTGCACTGACCTTCCAAGATCAATGTCACCCCATTTTGGCGCTGAAATTGGACGAAACAGTAAAAATAAAAGGCGAGAACTTCTGTGGCCGCTTTTACATTTATATTTACTCTGTAGAAGCGAAATGTAAAAATCAGAAGAATTCAACATTTTTTTTTTCAAAATTATCGCCATTTGAAACCCATAAATCTAGTGTTAAATTCAACGGAAAATCTGTAAATTGCATTGTTACTTTTTTCTCCGGTCAACAAAACCATTCGCAAAGCGTGGGTCCTTTTTCCCCGCGAAACAACAAGTCAATCTTCCAAAAGTAATTCGCTTTTGCGTAGGAATAAACAACCCCCCGAAGATCATAACACAATCCAAACATTTTTGTGAACCCAATTTCGTCCGCTTTCCCTCGATAATTTGTCAAAGATTGGAAGGGGTTTCGGTTAATGAAATTGTTACTTGTAGTGCTCGGAGGTTGTGAGAAAGTGTTCGTCGCTGATTTCTCAGAGGTCTTTGGTTGATTATCGAGCCAAAGGAAGAGGGGTAGACATACGATCGAATACGTTTTTCGATTTTTTTAAATATTGTACTAGGCAAGGAGATTGAAAAGATGATGATTTATGGATGTTTTACTTTGGGTTTTACTGTGATATTATTCTATGTTGTGAGGTGGGGTCATTTGCTTTATTTTCAATCAAAAGCAATGTAAATTCGCCAACGATTTTCGTGATTTTTTGAAAATTTTTCTTTTCAAAAATTGTCTCACAACCTCTGAAAACTTTTACCCTTTGATTTTCTTGCTATTTTCAAGCAATTTACAGATGAAAAAAAAAAAATTTACCCCCAGAAATCGGGATTTTAATCACTTTTTTCCTGTTATGGTGTAATACGTTTTTTCTTTGGGCTTAAACACCTTTTTCAAGGGGAACTGGCGTAATTACAAATTGGAAACTTTATCGGACAATTGTAAAAAGGTGTTTCTAAACTTTTTTATTCAATTTCTGGAGTACCACCCTATTGTTCCTTTTGTGACCACATAGCCCAGTGGTTATGAGATAAATTTTGAGTCAAATCGGGGCGGGTTCGAATCCCGCTGGGATCAAATTTCATCTCAATTCGTTTTTGATGGAGGTGGCCGTATTTTACAAAATTTTGATTTCAGAAAATGCCAGAACACGAAAAAACCAAGAAGTTTTTGATCGATTTGGCTTCCGGAGGAGGTGCGGCGGCGGTTTCGAAAACAGCAATGGCTCCAATCGAAAGGGTCAAATTATTGTTACAGGTAAGTTTTGAGGTCATTTTTTATTTTCTAATTGACTTTTATAACAATTTTTTATTAAAGTTAACCGATTTTTACAATTATAATTTCAACTTTTTGTCCAAAAATCTTACATGATGACTTTTCGGAACTGGGACAATTGGGGAACCGAAAACTAACATTTTCTTTGATGCAAGTGTCGAAATTAGGATAATCCAGGGTGTTGATTTCGAAAATGACATTCATTTTTTTACTTTTTTCCTTAAGTAGTACTGTAAAGTCGTAATTTTTTGAATTTATTTATAAATACTCGATTTAGGGGTTTTCGATGGTGCGTCGAAAATTTTATTCATTCTTTCTAATTTGAAAGCACCATCGAAAACCCCCAAATCGAGTATTTGCGCAAAAATTCAAAAAATTACTACTTTACAGTACTACTTAAGAAAAAAAACTGTCAAAAATGAATGTCAATTTCGAAATCAGCACAATCGAAACCCCCTAAATCGAGTATTTTTGAAAAAAAATCATCGATTATCCTATTATAATTTCGACACTTGCATCGAAGAAAAAGAATACTTTTCGGTTTCCCCAATCTTCTTTTTCCCCAATCGTCCAACTCCATGACTTTTCGAACTTTTTTCCCCAGAAAAAGTTTTCTTTTTAGAAAGATAAATCAGAAAGCAAGTCGATTCGGTGATGAAAAGTCCCGTATTTTACCCGATTTCTCCATTTTCAGTCCCAGCACGCCTCCACGACGATCACAGTTGACAAACGTTACAAGGGAATCACCGATATTCTGGTCCGCGTCCCCAAAGAACAGGGTCTCACGGCGTTGTGGCGGGGAAACATGGCCAATGTTCTTCGATATTTCCCAACGCAAGCCCTCAACTTTGCCTTCAAAGACACGTATAAGAGAGTATTTCTACACGGAGTCGACAAGGACAAGCAATTTTGGCGATTTTTTGCCGGAAATTTGGCCAGTGGCGGCGTTGCCGGCGCCACTTCATTATGCTTCGTATATCCGTTGGATTTTGCGCGAACACGGCTGGCGACGGACATTGGGAAGGGAGCGACAAGAGAGTTCAAAGGAATGGGCGATTGTCTGATGAGGGTGGCAAAGTCCGATGGAATTGTTGGCCTTTATAGGTAAGGAGAAGATGATTTTTACCGCATTGTAAAAAAATCCAAAATTTTTTTGAAAATAAATTTAATAAAAGTTCAGAATAAAAATTTTTTTAAAAATTCTTCAGAGTAAAAAAATGGCCTATTAAATGCGTTATAGAACCAGATTACTTCTGGATTTTATTATAGTTGCAGACATATAAATTTTTGACCATTTTTTTTATTTGAATCTTATTTTAGGCAAAAAGTTTGCAAAAATCAAAAAAAAAATTGTCGTTAGTTTAATACTCCATCTCAAAAATATTGCTACTGACCTGCAACCTTATTTTCAGAGGCTTCATCATCTCCGTTCAAGGAATTTTCATCTACCGAGCCAGTTATTTCGGCCTCTACGACACAATCAAGCCAATGTTTATGCCTGGCGGGAAACAAGTCAACTTCTTTGTGGCCTGGGGGATCGCGCAAGTTGTGACAGTGACCTCCGGATTCCTCGCCTACCCTTTCGACACGGTGCGGCGACGAATGATGATGCAATCGGGCAGAAAGGACGTCATGTACAAGAACACATTGGACTGCATTCGAAAAATGTACAAAACCGAGGGGCCTCGGGCCTTTTTCCACGGCACCTTGTCCAATATTTATCGAGGAACTGGTGCAGCGTTGGTGTTGGCGTTGTATGATGAGATCCACAAGTATTTGTAATATCGTTTTAAGTATTTTTATTCGATTTTTCATGGTTTACGGATAAAGAGTTTGAGTATGATTTTGAAATTGGAAGCCGCGACTTTTTCAGTCAAAAATTGGTCAAACCTTTAGACTTTTTTTGGACTTTTTTACTTGAAAATTTCAATTTATCTCTTCTCAGCAACACATCACAAATTTTAACTTAAAACGTACATGTTCTGGAGGCATAATGGTTGAACTTTTATGTCTTGAAGATCGATTCCGGCTTCTCCCTGCATCATTTTTACAAACAGTTCACGGCATTTCAATCCAGACTTTCTTTCACGTTTCTTGGAAGACCCTGTAGTTGAAGCTATATATTTTCTGACCGAGCTTTAATCAATGTGCACGTCAATCCAAAATATCAGTCAGTCGGGAAAATAACGGCGGATCGTCGCGCCTCGGAATCGCCCATCATCGCTTTGCGACTGCAAGCCGCGGCTTGGGATTTGGTGCGCGACAGCGGCGAGGCGAGACATTTTGATGCGACGACCCTCCGTTATTTTCCCGACAGACCGATAGAAAAAAAAATTTCCCGCCCCTTTTTTGGTGATTCGTTCAAAACGAAATGTCACTATCCGATAAAGCGCATTTTCTTATCTTTCCTCTTCCTTTTCGAGAAAAAACAATTATTTCGCGCGAGAAAAAGTGCCGATAATGTCCGAACATTTCGTCTCTCTTTTAAACCAATGAAAAAGGTACAAAGTTTCGAAACGGTTCCGGAAATGCGCTGGATTGACGTGATGTGGCGTTTCGTGACAAATAGAATTGTTGGGAAAATCTTTGGATGTTTTCTCTTGGCTAGACGGGATAAAACCTTGCTTTCTGGTCAGACATTAGCGTTCTAAATTTTTCTTGATTAGGAGTTTTGATAACTGAAATTTCAAACGATAGTGTGTCGACGAAACGACTAAACAGTTCAGGAAATGCGTTGGATTGACGGGGTTTAAAAAAATTAAGAAAACGACTTGTTCTTACAGTAAAAATTGAGTCATGCCACCCTCTCAGTCAACATTCCTTGTCGGTTTGTAATTGAACCTTACGTGGCTTCTTCGACGCCAACCAGAACATGTCCTTTTCTCCGGCGCCAATCCAATGTCATCATAAGCAAATGAAACCTAATCCCATCGTCCTTTTTAACCCCTAAATTTGCGGTACTCGTAGTCCGTTGTGTAATGTATCCACTGCGACCACTTAAAGTGTTTTTTACTAATTTCTATCCCTATTCGAACAATGAATGCGCGAGGTTTCCAATGTTGAGGATCAGCGCAGGATGCGGGTACCCAGGGATCATGTCGGAGGTATGAGCAGCGTGTGGGTCTTGACTGATAGGCTTGGGGGAAATTGTAGTCCCCTTTTTAGATCATAGGATACATTGGAAGGAAGGGCGGCTACGAGATTGTTCCGTATGTAGGGCGAAATGGTGATGGGAATCGACAGACTTTGCAACAGGTGAGGAGAACAATTGCAAATTGGGGAGACATACAAGTGTATTATTTGATCCTCTAGAAAAATAGAGCTTTTCTATTACAGGGGGGACCTAATCCAGTGGCAAAACAATGCCATTTTGCATCCGGGAAGTATCAAAAAATGCAGCAAAATACCTCCCTCTCCAAGTGAAAAAATTCACATTTCAAAAGCACGCCCACTCTTTTTGTGAGGGAAAGGGCGCGACCAGAGCCTTTTCACAGGGCAGTACTCCAAGTGCGACGCTCAGATTGTCTTTAAACTTTGCACACACGTCGGGTATGGACTAAATATCAATTCCTGAAAGTTTTAGCTCGCGCTTTGCGGGCGCCGCCGAGATAAAGAACGATTTTTGCCGCCGAGATGGCACCCTAAACGTGGAGAGCGGTCAGAGAGAAAAGCGCTTTTTGGCCATAACTTTGGCAGTTTCGTGCGGAAAAGTTTGATTTTTTGTAGAAACATTATCCTTTGCGGTTGAAATAGGCATGAAACTTTTCGTGACGAAATTCGGCAAAAAGTCCAAAATTTTGGTCGACTTTCGATCTAAAAATCTCGGTTGTTTCTACAAAGCGCGAGCTAAGATTCTCGCATATATCTTAGAAAAAATTATTCTAAATTTGTGCCAAGTTTCATTAAAATCTGAGCGTCGCACTTGGAGTACTTCCCTTGTCAATTGGAAAGAAGGCATTTTGCTACATTTTTTGATACTTCTGATGCAAAATGAAAAGTTTTTTGGCGACAAAATTTCTGCCACTGGTTCAGATCCGTCACTGTGCTCAATCAAATTTTTGGTTGAAATTTGTTTGTGAGCTAAACAAACCGTTTTAGGCCCTTGGAGACTATGAAAACGTCACTTCAGAACTCGTCCTCAACGGGACTGTTGATACTCTGGCGTTTCCCATTCTAAAGACCGGCGAATTACTCCGGGGATTCGAATACTCTCATCACATTTACAGGGTATCCCATTAGATTTGGATTCTAATCTGTAAGGTGTATTTTAGATACGCTCATCGTTGATTATCTACCGTCACGATGACTTCGGCACCAGTTATTGGAATTTGTTCTCCATGTACGATGAATTGATTTGGCAGGTGCTGGGATGGTCTTTATTGTTGCAATGTGCCTTTGGGATGTTTGTCAGATACGCAGAGAGAACAAACGGGATTCAAGGCGACGATAGCGTTGGAAATGTAAATTCAGCGATTAAAAATCCAATAAACGGAGGCCTGCAAGTGCGACGCTCAGATCTCTTTAAAATTTTCACACATGTGAGGCATGCTCAAGATACCATTTTCCTGACAGCTTTGGTTTGTAGATTCCAGGGGCAGCCGAGAAATTGACTAAACTTTGTGGCCGAGAGAGCACGTAAAACGGGGAGGGCGGTTGAAGCGTTTTTTCGCGATAAATTTCGTAGTTCTGTGCAGAAACTCTAAAAGGAAGTGCCAAAATTCGCCCCAAAGTATGATATTTTTTGCAAATTTTGACCTAGCAATCTCAATCGGCTCGAAAAAATTAAGTTAAATTGTGCCAAGTTTCATTAAAATCGGAGCGTCGCACTTGGAGTACTCCCCCAAAAGATGCGCATAACTTTTTACAGGTTGCCTGGAAGATAATTCGTATTCAGTTCTTCCAAGCCGAACCGTTCCTTTTTCATTATCGCGCCGGCAACCTTTCCCTGCTAATTTTCTCCCTCCTCCAATGCACTGTTGTCTTCGGAATCTTTGCTTCGTATTTTCTGTCCGCCATGCTCAACCCAAAGCAGGATTTGTCGTATGCAAATATGGATCAAATTCTCCGCGACATCCGAACCGGCAAACGGGACATTGTCTTGCTGTCTCCGGGGTCCTGGTTCGAGGAGAGGGTTATGAATGGGACTGGCGGTCTGTTTCGTGAGCTTAAAGCGGCACTGGCCGGAAGAAAGATGCTTATCGAAGGGGATCATGAAAGTAAGATCTCTTCTATTACATTGGAGACCTGATCCATGGCAAAAACGTAACATTTTGCATCCAGGAAGTATAAAAAAAGTGGCAAAATACCTCCCTCTCCAAGTGAAAAAAACTCAGATTTCAAAAGCCCTTCAAAACGAAGTTTTTTCACGTGGAGGGAGAAGTATTTTTTCACATTTTTGATACTTCCCGGATGCAAAATGATACGCTTTTTGCCATTGGATCAGGTCCCCCACTGTACGTGTAACCTTCAAGGAGCTCTCCACTTGCTCAGTGAGCACAACGCAATACTGTTTTTTCGAGAAGACGATGCCATTGCATCAACCATCTTCTCTCACTGCGAATACCTCCAATTGAACGTTGACTTGCCCAAGTTGGATGTCCATTTCATTTTTGCCAAAAACTGGTCGGGATTGCATGACTTTTCCGCGCTGATAAATGACAACATTAGGAAGATTTACAACATCAAACGTCGATATATCGAAGGAGGTCGAAGAAAGCCCAAAGTTTGCAGTCATTTCAAAGTGGGGGATCCAATGAGTAAGCGGAAAATCGGGTTAAATAGTAGAAAGCAGTAAAAGTCTGCTGCACTGAAATCTATTGCAGTGAGAGACCTGATCCAGTGGCAAAAAACGTACCATTTTGAAACCGGGAAGTATCAAAAATGTGCAAAATACCTCCCTCTCCAAGTGGAAAACCTCCGATTTCAAACACGCGCCTGCCCTTTTTGTAGGAAAAGGGCGGGCCCTTCAAAACAGTTTCTTCACTAGGAGATGGAAGCATTTTACCACATTTTTGATACTTCCCGGATGCAAAACGGTCCTTTTTTGCCACTGGATCAGGTCCCCCACTGCACGTATTTCACTTTCAGAGTTGGTATTCTACGTTGGAGTTCTGATTGTCGCCGGAGTCTTAATTTTGACAGCAGCGTTTCTTCTGGCCCTTGAAGTCATTGTAAATCGGCTGCGTGGAAAACCTTTGATAAGAACTGTTAGAACACACGTGACTACTGAAGTACTAAAACTCCAATTTTTGTGGAAAGCAAATAGAAAAATAAACCGGTGCTGAGTGAATGCTTGTGTTGCAAATGGCTGTATCAAGCCATTTGCTATTCTGAATCAACATTTTTTTAAGATTCCTGTCTAAAGACTATCCACCCTGCCTGTGGAAATTCAACCCTTAGGCGTTCTTACACAAAATTTTTTTGTTATAAATGCATGCAAATTTGACCTTTTGCTCCAGTCTTGCAACAGTTTATAATCAATTATTACATAACCAACATTGCAAAAGGCACTGACAAACGAAGGCACGAATTAAATTCACGGTTAAAGCTATTCCTGAGAACTTTCGATCCTGGCAACGGATCGGTAGATGGCATCGCGAAGAGCGACAAATGTCCTGGCCGTATCGCCGAAGCCGGCTTTGAAGCCGTTCGACACATAAGCGAAACAAAGATCATGGTTCAAATCCAGTTTAATGTTCTGCCCTCCAACCCCGGCATGGCCGGCGTACTCGTATTTTTTCTGAAATATGAGATGTGATTGATGGAAAATAGTCGTATTTTGTGGAAAACAATTGTATTTTAAAAAAGATTGCTGGATATGTGGACTGCGCCAGAAAAAGAACTAGCAATATTTTTACGGCCTTTTTAGTGTCATAGCATCTATGCCAAACTTAAACTCAACCACTTACCCCATCAACTTCGAATTTGGAGAACATCAACCCGTTCCCTCGAAGGACATTAGCACCTGTTACAATATCTTCCCCATCTTTGCATGGAGTCAAAAATCTCTCCCTCGTTTTTTGCTTCAGAAGTCCGTCCTCCATGACCGCCTTTTGAAACAATGTTGCCAAAGCCCTGGCCGTTCCGATTCCCAGAACCGCGCCTTGCTCCAAAACCCAGAGATCCGGATTATTGAAGTTCATTTTCTAAAAAATATAGAACAATTTATACAAAGACTTAAATTTCTAGTCGGAAAAATAATTACAAAAAATATTAAAGACGTATTTTACTTACAAAAATAAACTGCATCCACGGAATGTGCGCATTTGTCAGAGCCAGCAGCCCATTGTTCCAGAAATCCTTCGTGTAATGCCAGTAATACACGGCATGAGGATTGTGGAGGAATTCCTTTAGTCGCTGCCAGCGATCAGGCAACTGCAATCGCGACACTCGATGGAATTCGGAACGAGGTAGACCAAGATGGTAGTCGATGTCTGAAAAATTTTTATATTATAGATGTAGAAACTTCATTTTGCATCGAGGAGTGCCCCGGCAGCCTTGGTGACTTTGGCCATTATAGCATAGGAGGCCCGCTGACCTAGGAGACCTTTTGACCGAAGAAGCCCCTGAAACGAAGAAGCCCCCAACCGAAGAGGCCTCCAAAATGAAAGGGACCCAAAAAGGAGAGCCACTTCAATCAAAGAGGCCCAAATAAGAAAAAAATAGAAATGAGAGGTTACATGTTGATGACGAAAAACAAATTTTGAAAATTGAAATATGGGTGTGACATCTTATACGATGCTTTTTCACCCTTTTTTCAATTTGTAGGATTTTTTAACGTGCATCCTTCATTTTGAACTTGTTCTACAATAGGGGGCTGATTCGGCCGACGGGTCTCCTAGGTCAGGGACCTCTTTAGGCTCAATCAGACTTGAAAAAATTTCAGAACAGCGTTTTCCAAAATGGTCTTTGAAATTTTCGGTTCTCGCTTTGCAAGAATTTTCTAGAGACGTTCAACGCCCTTATGACCCTTCGGATATCAAACTTGCCTTCCAACTTGTCTCTAATCTCCTCTCTGTAAAACTGCCCCAGCGATCTTCCCCTTGAATCCGCATGTCTGACCAATTGATCCACCAGCCATCCGTACGTCAGCGGATGATATCCAATATGACTTCCTGGGGTCCATTTTGGCTGCTCTTCTTCAATTATCTCCCTAATCTTTTCATGACCATTCAACGCATCTTCATATGAAATTTCTTTCTCAAAATAGGGTAGTCCGGCGGTATGTGAGATCACCGATTGGACCGTGATATCTTCTTTTCCATTTTTGCCAAATTTTGGCCAATATTTTGTAACGGTGTCATTGTAGTCCAGTCTTCCTTCATCCACTAGTTTGGCAATGCAAAGGGCACTGACTGCTTTGGTCGAGGAGAAAGTTACGTTGAGAGTGTCTTTGGACCATTTTCTCTCCGCTTCTTTGTCCGCGTAGCCGCCCCAGAGGTCCACAACGAGCTTTCCTTTGTAGAAAACAGCTAACGCCGCTCCGCAGGGCTCCCAGTCCTTGAAGAAATTGGACCTAAAAGCATGATTTTATAGACTTAAATTTGTCTCAAGTTAACATTATTCTTGTATAGTTTGGAAATTTAAATTTTGCACCCATTTTGCAAGCACAAACTCATATCCCCCTTCCCCGTTTGATTACAGTAAAAAATCTTCCTTTTGGGGAAATTCCCAATCAAAATGTACGTTTACGATCAGCGGGAAAGACGTCGATATAAACCGGCGATCACTTCTGCGGGGCGAAAGCGCAAGCACCGATAAAAAATTAATCGGTAACGGTTTCAAAATCTGTTTGCACACGGGTTCGACAACAGTATGCTACATTTTTTGTTTGGCATGAAAATTCATTCGAATTTCATCATCGTGAAAACGCTGATAACAACGTTATAAACGGTTTCTGATAAGAGGTAAGAGTTTTAAGACTATTTTTACGGCTACCGCTTCAAAAAAAGAAGTCGTGTGGCGCTGCTACAAGACATACACTGTATAGATTTAGAGCATAAATGATAAAAAAAAACGATTTATTTTTTAAGAACTTGCCTGAAAACGTCTCTGACGTGCTCAAAATCCTTATCCACCTCTCCATCAACATGAATAGTCTCTGTTGTCGAAGATCCCACCAAATTCTGTAGAATAAAGTAAGCAAAAACCAGGAGAAGAGCGCCAACAGAGAGTTCGATGAGCATAATGTAAGGTGAGTCTATTTACAGAATGGAACTTTCCTTGTTTTCAATTTCAGATCATAGCGAGTAATTTGGGATGTGATTCTGAAAAGGAAATGGTGAAATCAGTGTGGAAACATCGACGATTTATATTAATTGAAAGGTGAATACATCTCGCGATATTTAAAATCATCAAAAAAGGTCTCGAGGAAATTGCAAAAGAGGTAAGTTTAAAAATTTTAGGGAAAATGTACAGAAAATGTAGATTATTTGGAAAAATAAGCATTCAAAAACATACAAGAGTCGCATAAAAAAGATCTGGAACATGTTGACATAACCAGGGCTGAATTTTAATTTAAAAAAGTGGAAATACTTCAAGATTTTGAAAAAACTTTGGCGCAAATATAGATAATTTTTTAAGACCTGAAGGCCCCAGAAACGACCGTGACTTTTAGTCCAAAAATTGAGAAAAATGTGGACTTCTGTTGTGAATTTTAGCATGAAAATTCCCATGCCTATTTCTACTTTGGAGGGTAATATTTCCACAAAAATTTTTTTCCACAGGAAAAATTCTTTATGGTAATGGCCAAAAAGTTTTTCTCTCCGCGTCTCGCGTGCTCTCTCGGCCGCAAAAAAAATCGTTGAATATATCTCGGCTGTCCCTTGAAATCACAAGCTAAAATTTTCAGGAACTGATACGTGGCTGAAGCCCAAAGCGCGTGCAAAATTTAACGAAGATCTGATTGCCGCACTGGGGCCACCTAACTTGTCAGTAGCAGCCTTCCAAAAACTTACAATCCGCCTAAGAATGAAATTTGCTTTGAAAAATATAAAATTCAGAAAAACTCACGAAAAAAATTTCATTAATTGATATGTGGTCTATATTTTTCATGGTTCGATTTATATGCGACCTAGAGGCATCACCCGAAATTTGAAAAAAATTGAGGCTATGGAACAATGACAAAAAATAAAACAATCAGTATGGCCAACCAAAATTCTAAAGCTCCTAAAAAATTGAACAAGCTTCCAAAATGGAGAAATCAGTTTCAAACAGCAGCGGATTTCATGTGCAAAAGGAATCGGAGCCCTTTTAAATCACTGATAGGAATACTCTCGACGCTTCCTGATTGGCTGAGAGCAGTCCAAGAAATCACGCAAACTACAAAACATGCGTCGAACTTTATCTTCGGATCGTTAAAACGGTTATGGGGTTTTCAAGAAGGGTTTAGATTTTAAGATTCTTGCGCCTGTTTGAACCTTCAAGGTGTGTAGTTTCACAGTGAGGTTTAACGAAAAAGTGTAAAATTTTCGAAAAAAGTGATGACTATTATACCTTGCAAGGGAAGGGCTCTAAATACGGCGCTCATTTTTTGACGAAACTGGCTCATAAATCATAGATCCCATTGAGATTTTTAGATCAAAAGTTGACAAGAATGTGACGCTTTTTGGCGAACGATGGCATCAAAAGCCTTTCGCCCAATTCTGCCATAAAGGACAATGTTTTCTCAAAATATATTTTTGTTCCGCGAAAAACTGGCAAAGGTCTGACCAAACAGTGTTTTTCTCTGTGCTCTCCGTGTTTCGCGTGCTCTCTGGGCCGCGAAGATCTCTGAAAAGGAAGAAAAAACGTTCAGAAATTGATATATGGCTCGGGGCTTCTAAATCTCTCCGCAAAAGTCCGCTCGAACCCTGCAAATTTACAGGGGAAGTACTCCAAGTGCGACGCTCAGATTTTGATGAAACTTGGCACAAATTTAGAACAATTTTTTCAAAGATATATACGAGAATCCTAGCTCGCCCTTTGCAGAAACAACCGAGATTTTTAGATCGAAAGTCGGCCAAAATTTAGGGCTTTTAGCCGAATTTCGGCACGAAAAGTTTCATGCCTATTTCAACCGTAAAGGATAATGTTTCTACAAAAAATCAAATTTTTCCGCACGGGACAGCCAAAGTTATGGCCAAAAAGCGTTTTTCCCTCTGACCGCTCTCCACGTTTAGCGTGCTCTTTCAGCGGCAAAAATCGTTCGATATCTCGGCAGCGCCCGCAAAGCGCGAGCTAGAACTTTCAGGAATTGATGTCTAGTCCATTCCCCTGTTAGTATTATACAAAGAAGTTGCGCAATCTGACATAACATTTCGCAGTTCCCACGTCAATCCAGCGCATTTCCTGAACCGTTTCGAAACTTCGTACCGTTTTCATTGGTTTAAAAGAGAGACGAAATGTCGCGAAATTATCGGCACTTTTCCTCGCCTAAAATAATTGTTTTTTTCTCGAAAAGAAAGAAGAAAGATAAGAAAATGCGTTTTATCGGATTTTGAACGAATCACCAAAAAAGGGGCGGGAAATTTTTTCTTCTATTTTGGATTGACGTGGTTCCTCTCTTTGTAAGAATTTCTGCCTTCTCTGTCGCCTCTTTTTTGTCCGCTTTTTACTTTGGACTAAATTTGCAGGGTTCCTATGGGCTCTTGCGGAGAGATTTAGAAGTCCCGAGCCATATATGTGGCGTATGCCGGCTTGTACGCAAAATTTATAGAAAATCTGATCACTAATTAGGAGGACTCTTCATTTTTTGCCTAAGAAAATGTTGAATATTCAAGTTGACGACCTGCAAATCCGGTGTAAGACACAAAAAAAATTTTTTGGAAGTCACAATTGCAATGGTGACGTCCGTTTGCCTTTTCAACTTCTAGTAATACAACATATACAAAAACTAGGTCATAGGATAGTTGATATCATATTACGTTATGCTAAAATACATATATATTACATATATACGGTAAAAAGCAAAAAAATTTTAGCTAAAACTGAGTACTAACAGGCGAATTAACAAATATCATACCTTCGGATGTTTGCTAAATTTTGAACAACCGCGAAATTTTCGAAGCTAGCAGTGAGCCGAAAGTTGCTGAATCTGAACCCTTAACAAAATCTAAACCACAACTTCTGCCCACACGCTCACCAATGAACAATCATTGAGCTCATTTTACACTCTTTTTGAACCCAATCGAACGCCAAATCGTCGATGGGAAACGTTCGCGGAAGATTGTACTTTGTTTCGGTTCAGAAATCAGACTTTTGGAAGCTAATTAAACCAGATTTTGTCCTCTAATTCTAATCCCTCCATTGATGTAATATTTGCAAACCGACTACACGTAGAGGCACGAATAAGCGGGTTAACCACATTTTGTACCGTTATAAACGGGATAATAGCCTTAACCGTTCGTTTCGGGCGGCGAAATATGAAGAGACTCACGGAAGAGTGCTAGAAGTCATTATTCTTGACAATAGAGGGGTAGATTTTGAAGGGTACATAGTTGGACGCGGATGAGGAAAGATTTGGCTTTTCGTTTTCGAAATTTCAGATAATGTCTGCAATGTGCAAATTAAAAGCTTTTCGAACATCGTGCGGAAATCTTTTTTTTCTATTACAAAACAAGCCGATTTAGTCATCTTTTTTCGATATTAAAAGTAACAAACAAGGAAACTAAAAGAAACTAGTTTCTTGTTGAAAAATTAGATTATGGAGGACTGTTAGTCATCGGGCGTTTTATCTGTCTAGTTTTATGGCCACACTGAAAAGAGGATTTGAAAGGGTTGCAAAAGATTTTTATCCGGGGAAAAGCAAAAAACTACGGTGGAAAAAACTTATTTTTTTTACGCTGCAAGCTTACCACGCTTAAGCTGAAGAGCCTTTTTTGCCTTTGCGACCCTCTCGCTGGGCGCAGTTCTCTTGCAAAAAAGATGAATATATTGTTAGGGCCTGTAAAATTTGGTCTTGGATTTTGACAGATTATAAAATAGGATTTATCAGGCTGTTGGGAAAATAGTGAGCGCGATGTCGCAATCGTGTCATTAAAGTAAAAAAAAGTTGATTTTTTCGCGGCACAATTGATTTTCTCGTTTTTTTTTCTATGCCACGGAATGCTCAATATTTTCCCGACAGACTTACAAATATATAGTGCTCGCATGCGAGATTAGAGTAAAATCGAAGACTCACATTACCCCCGCCGTGAGCGCAACATAGTGTGAAGCTCTCGAGTGACGACGAAGGAGCAATACTGGCAAAGATACGATCTCTTTTCCACGCAATTCCCGTAAATCCCCCTAAGCGCAAGACCGCCTCCGGCTAGAACCTAATACTCCGCCGGTTTCTCCCACAACTCCCCTTAGTGTCCATTTCCTACAACGCCGTTCTGTCCCATCAAATTACATACTTACTAACCGATTGATAAAAATATCTCCCACGCCGCTGTCGAAAGGCGCTCGAAGTGATTGCCTTTTATACGCACATTAAACTATGTTCCATGGGCCCCGCGTCTCGCGGAAGTCACGTAACCCTCTGTGCGCATAAAAGTTTGAAAAAATTGTGCGGCAAATCACGTAGCCCGACCGCGAGTTCTCTGATCGTCGCCATTTTGAAACGGTTTATCTTGGAGTGGAGATGGATCACTTCGCATGGGCTACAAGAGAGTTGATCACCGACAAAAACGGTTGGTGTAGGAGATGACGACAGCGTTTTTGTTGTTAAATTTATTGGAGAAGGAGATGGAATTTTGAGCCATATTTTTAGGTTTGTACATGGCGTATTTTTGGTCTCAAAAAGGGTATTATAAAATGGGTACAATGTGGCGAAACTTTGGAAAACAAAGATACAAGAATTGCCCTTTTATATGTAGTGGGAGTTGTGTATAAATAAGCCTAGTAATGCAATAATTATTAATAGCACATAGGTGTATGTATATGAGAGTGTCAGCTTCCGATTTACAGAAATCGCTGACATTTTTAGCAGAAAAAAGCTTGCATTGCTCCTGGCACTTTGTGATTTTTCGTTTGAGAATTTTGCACCCAGGAAGCAAAAAAAAAATAAAAAATGTGTCAAAATACCTCCCTCTCCAAGTGAAAAAACTCAAGTTTCAAAAGCCCGCTCTTTTGTGAGTAAAAGCCCTTCAAAACGGTTTTTTCACTTGGAGTGAGAAGCATTTTGCCACATTTTTGATACTTCCCGGATGTAAAATGGAATATTTTTTGCCCATTTGAAAAAGTTGCGGTCTAAATATTTTTTGTCTTACTGCCTCCATTTTTTCATTACTTGTTCTCTCGAAAAATTCTAAATGTTCCGACTGTGCCTGTGTAGCATTGGCCTAAATTTTTAGTCATTTATAGGCGCTACCTATAAGCCATATATGCAAATTTAAAACCTCATTTACTGACATTGACTTTTTCGCTTCGAAGTTCTCGGAACTTGATGTTCTTTGACCCTCACGTAGGACCTTAACGCTCATGCCTGTATGTTACATCAGACTAATTAAAGTGCAGCGAAATTGACCCATTTCCGGCGGCGGGATCGGCGAAATTACAAAAACTGTCGATCTCCGGAGATTTGGTTTTCGACAAGAAATTTTACAGCGAATTTCGTTGACTCCTGTCTGTTACTGTAGGGCAAAGTCGAAGGTTTATTTTGGGTCATAAGACTATGTTTCAAAGACACCACGGAAAACGCTACATTTCGAGCGAAAACAAAACCATAAAAGAGCGTCAAAGTCAAGGCAATTTCAGTGTAATTTTTCGAAGAATATGTGAAGAATCCCCTGGTCTGTGACTTCCCTGTTTGCACTACAAAATATGTTTCAACGGCGTCTTGAACTTGACTTGAACTTGCGTCGAAGCGATAAACATTTTTATGCATTTTCATGCGGCGGGATCAGTGATGCCACAAACTCCAAACTGCCCTGGTTTATGACATCTTTCCCACTTGAATATCTTGTGTTTTTGGCTCTTTGTTAAACCGGTTTGAGATGTCTGAGTTTGTCGTCAAAAGTAATCAATCTTCTGACATGTGTAAGTCTGTCGGGAAAATATTGAGCACAATTTCGTTGCTCCCGTCGTTGAAGCAAAAGCGATTTGATTTTGCCGGGAAACAATTTAATTTTTCTCGATTTTTGTTCCGATATAGTGCTCATTATTTTCCCGACAGACTGACAACTTGATTCCCTCGATTTGAGAATGCAAACTCTAAATGGTCTATGTAAATAAGAAATTTCGTGAAAGTCTCAATCCTTGCTCTACCAGTCTGTCCGTAAAGTCGATGGAGTGATTTTGCGATATTCACTTTCAGAAAACAAAGCTTCACTTTGGTAATTTTTGGCCTTTTTTCACCGTGTAAATTGCTTTTGCTCGCTACCTGCCTTTTTTGGCACAATGCAAACGCCAAAAATCCCTCCAGCGACTTTACATACGAGTGAGAGGGGACAGCGGAGACTTTTGACCACTTTTTTCGATAGAGTACGTGAACGAGGGTGACCGACAAGACGAATCTGCAGACGTTTTTTTGGTAGTAAAACTTTAGAATTTTCTCGGAAATCCATAACCTCTTGCAAGTAGCCGTGTTACGCTTTGTGCTGAATCAAAAAAAATTGTTGTAATTTTTTAAGGTGATTTACAGTGGGGGACCTGATCCAATGGCAAAAAATGTACCATTTTGCATCCGGGAAGTATCAAAAACGTGGCAAAATACCTCCCTCTCCAAGTGAAAAAACTCCGATTTCAAAAGCGCGCCCGCTCTTTTTGTGAGGAAGCGGACTCCCCCAAGTTGGAGAGGGAAGCCTTTTGCCATATTTTTGATACTTCCCGGATGCAAAATGGTACATTTTTTGCCACTGGATCGGATCCGTCACTGTAGTAAAGTGCATAGTAAAATTCGTTCAAATTTACAGCGAAATTGAGCTGTCACAATTGGGTACCTTGCTCTGCAGACTTTTAGTTTGTGTTGTCACAAACTTTGATCAAAATTTTAAGTCTGAATCCAACGACAAACCGTTGAAAAGACGCCTGTTCAACGCGCATTTTCATGAACAGTTGCTCTCAGACTTTGCAATTTAATTCACCCCAATGCCCTGCGGGCACCGTGCAAAAAATTGGACTGTAATTTTCCTGCCAATTCGAAAATTACTAGCCACCCGCACTGACGCCAATGAATCGGGAAAAGAAGCGCATAAACTTTGGCATTACTAAGTTTGTGTTTACACAAAATTCACCAGCCCTTGGACGAACCTTCAATTAACAAGATTCTCTTCCAATTAACGTCAATCGCGCTAATAACCGGCTGTTCCACGAGCGTATCTCTTCTTTCCCGCTCGCATCATCCACCATGACGCCATTTTTATTGCAGATAAGGTTTGGAGCTAGCGCGACCTCGTCGTGGCGCACGCCAAATTGTGAAGGGAACACATCAATTTTGTTTTTCGTGCAAAGATTTATCAAAAAAAAAAATGCATTTTGAATTTTTTTGTCTTTGTCAAAAAAATGTCAAAATATTCGAAAGCTTTTTCTAAAAAAAAGCAGTGGGTGTTGCCAAATTGGTCAAGAAATCGGTCAAAAAATCTCAGTTCTATTTGTGACAACAAGCCAACTTGAAGTTTTCCTTTGCAAGTTTTATGCCACAGAAGAGCAGAGGCGTATTTCAACATTATTGAATGACGGGGCCACACTTGCGGGCAACCGCGGGCAGCTACAGTGGCGGTCCTGATCCAGTGGCAAAAAACGTACCATTTTTCTTCCAGGAAGTATCAAAAATGTAGCAAAATGTCTTCATGTGAAAAAACTCCGATTTTAAAAGCGCGCCCGTTCTTTTTGTGAGGAAAAGGGCGCGCCCTTCAAAACGGAGCTTTTTACTTGGAGAGGGAGGCATTTTGCCACATTTTTTACTTCCAGGATGCAAAATATTACTTTTGTTGTCACTGGATCAGGTACGTCACTTTAGAAGAAACACGCAGATTCTGCGGGCATGGTTGGAAGTAAGCAAACATTTGCTTACAACGGGAAATTCAAACGATGGATTTGGCAGTTTGATACTGTGAATTAAGTTTTCAGATGTATAAGTGGCTTGAATAGTTACTATAAGGTTAACCAAGGATTTTTAAAGGCTCAGAAAGCGTTTTTTGAAAAAAAGTCATATACCTTTGAAAGCGATGAATGAATTCAACGGATTCGTATATTTATCAGCACCAGAGAGTTTTCAATGCAAAATTTCTATCAAGCTGCGTGGATTACGTAAGGAAAATCGTGATGGAAAACGTCGGCTGTCCGCAAAGTGGTTGCTCCGACGTCAATTGAAAACAAAACAAATTTCAGCAAAGCTCGAAAAGTTATTGGAAAAAAACGATTTGTTTGGCCAAGCGTCCTGATTTTTTTTTAGTCTCTCGCATTACTAAAAATAACCGCTGAATGGCCCGGTTGCTCTTGCAAAGTGCAAGCTGAACTCTTGAAATATATGACCTATTTGGAGCAAAATGCCAAATGTTAATACAATTGTAAATTGCAGTTGGGTACGTTCCATGAAGCTGCACTTTTTGCATTTGAAAGGGCTGCACTTTCGTTGCAAACTTTCCTCATCTACACTTTGTTTACACGAGCCACCGTAGAATGTTTTTTAACAAAGTAAATTTGAGACCAAAACATTTTTTTTGCTGACAAATTACAGTCTGTCGGGGAAATAATGAGCACTCTGTCGCATGGAAAATCGCCGCCGAGAAAATGAGTTGTGTCGCGTCAAAATCGATTTTTTTCACTTCAGCGATGCGATCGGCGTAGCGAGATAATGCTCATTATTTTCCCGACATACTAATAAACAAAAACTGCGGAATTCACTTCTTTTTTCCTAAATATTTTACCTTGTTTATTCCTTGCAACATGCTTGACCTTAACTTACAACAAAACATAAAACAAGAATCAAATCATAATGTATGTTTGTGAGTTAACACAGTAGATGTTGAAGATGTTTGTGAGTTAACACAGTAGATGTTAAAGCCAGGCTACAGTTTTTAATTAAAAAAATGTTTCCTTTAACCGCTTGTTGTCATTACATTATAATTTGGAGTCCATTACATATATTATTACGTGTCGGGTGCTCGAAAAGTTTGGGCCGGTAAACACTATGAAATTTGAGCAAGCAATATTCGGATTGTAGTTTTATTATTAAACGCCGCTAGGATCAACAATAACCACAGGTGAGCGCACAGGCCGTAGACATCATTCGCACGTATGTCTGAAGCTACAGGGTTTCGAATTTCCATGACGAGTAAGTAAACATGTTTCGGTTGAACTTACCAAATGGTAGCAAATGTCCGCCCTCGGCTTACAGCGCGGGAATGTGTCGCGGCAATTGGCCTTCATCGCTTGCGCTTCTTGACAGAAATTACAGGTGGTGGCGCAGGTTCGGACCATCATTATTCGATAGGTCTGGAAGTAAAATAAAATTGTAAAGACAACCTAGAAGAAGACGGCAGACAAGATGTCAAATTGGCATAAAAAATTGTGTAACAAGGGAAATATTCTAACAGGGGAAGTACTCCAAGTGCGACGCTCAGATTTTCTTTAAATTTTGCACGCACGTCGGGTATGGACTAAATATATCCTGAAAGTTTTAGCTCGCGCTTTGCGGGCGCCGCCGAGATATCGAACGATTTTTGCCGCCGAGAGAGCACGCTAAACGTGGAGAGCGGTCAGAGAGAAAAAACGCTTTTTGGCCATAACTTTGGCAGTTCCGTGCGGAAAAATTTGATTTTTTGTAGAAACATTATCCTTTACGGTAGAAATAGGCGTGAATTTTTTCGTGCCGAAATTCGGCAAAAATTCCTAAATTTTCGCCGACTTTCGATAGAAAAAATTGTTCTAAATTTGTGCCAAGTTTCATCAAAATCTGAGCGTCGCACTTGGAGTACTTCCCTTTGCAACACTCAAATTTTGGTGAACTTGGCACAAATTTAGAACAATTTTTTTCTAGGACATATTCGGAACACCTCGCGCTTCGCAGAAAACCAAAATTTTTAGGCCGAAAGTTGTGATGATGTTACATATTTGTGTTTCTCTTTTTAGCGAATTTCTGAACAAAAAAATTGATGCCTGTTTATACGGTAGAGGGTCAAGTTTCCACTAAAAATAACCTTTTTTCGAGCGAAGCTAACAAAGCTATGGCCAAAAGATGTTTTTTCTGAGCGCTCTCCGTGTTTTGCGTATTCTCTCGGCAGCAAAGAGTATTCAGTATCATGGCGCATGCAAAGCGCGAGCTAAAAATTTCAGAAATCAATACGTGAGTTTTTGTAAGCACGCCCGGGCCCGTTGCCAACGATTTCTGGCGTGTGTTGATGTTCCGACGTCAAGCTATGCAAAGCGTAATCTTAAAATTGAAAAATCCTCATGCTATGTAGACACAGCTTGAAAAAAATTGTTAGAATAGATTGCGTTTTGTATTTAGATGCTCCCAAACTCTAACAACATTAGTTTAACAAATACTATGCGACCGTAACCCATCTACACAGGCTGTAATTGTTACCTGTCGTGAGCGCAATACAAAGCGAGCGTGCTGTTTAGGCCGAAAAACAACTTAATTATCTTGACAATATGCTCACGCTAAATGTGCGTCGAAAAAGGCGGGACGAAAATACTTTGAGCGCGCCGAAAATAGAGGTCTGCAGGGAGAAAAAAGCTACAAAAATTGCCAATTAACTTACATCGATGCCGCAAACATGCTGGTGGTCCTTGCATCTTATGTGCTGGTCTTTACAAATGTCCTCTGTGACGTGAAAAGAATGTTATTAAAATAGCCCGGTTATCATGCGGTTAGCAAGCCAAAGGCTACGAGCTCCGTGCCCAACCGTTCCTTGCAATTATGTGCATAGAAAAACATTTTAATTACAACTTTTGTACAATGTTTCAAACGATGATAAACGTTTTTTCCACTGACGTTGGAATCATTCTATTTATGGGCTACAAAACTAAGAATTTCCGGCAATTTCCCGAAGATTATAACACTGTAAAGCCCGTACTATTTGTCGGCGCGCACCGGGAAGCATTACCAGCTACTCACCTGGATTATCCGTTGGTTTCTCCTCTTCTGGCGGGACCGTGACCGGAGGCTCTTCATCTTCTGGCGGGGCCGTGACCGGAGGCTCTTCATCGCACAAGTCCTCGTCGTTACAGACGCAAAGCGTTACAATAAACATCGGCACTGCGATTGCGAGAAGTAGACCGCGATACTGCACCATGAAGTGGAGGATTTGGTGATCTTTCGAAATCGCGAATTCTCAAATTTCTGGTCCCAATAAACTATGTGTAATACGACAAAATTTAGTCACATCCGTGTCGTCGACAACCATTTTTCTAACCCTTTCTTACGAGCGGCTGAGCAAACAAACGCTGACAATGATGCCTATCACCAGCCTTTGTACGCAGGGCTCTGAAACACGCGGTTGCAGCGAACACCGATTTGACAATATGTACATACATAGAAGACGAAAAGGCTGTGAATGTAGGGCCTGTACAGCTACGTTGAAAAGTGATTTTTTTGGTTTGAGTTGCGTTTTGATTTAGCATCTATTTTCCTGGCGAGATGCACTCAGAAACTTGGCTTGTCTCTTTGATCTAAGTATGCGAATATTAGGTGTAGAAGGTCCACTCTTTTAAAGAAAATCTCTTCGAAATGGTTGTAGGTTCTTTAAATACAGAGCCCCAAAGGCTGAAGCCTCCTTGTGAGCTCACAGTTGCTTTTGGCTCTGTTGACATTCAATTTCTTTTTTTTTCTGATGTCGTGGACTTGAAAATATCATCTTTTCTCACCTAAGTACGTTTCATCGCATAATTTACACTCCATACCATACAATCTTCTATTATTACATAAACATACAATTGAGACCCTTGAATGTTTTTGTTTATTAAATAGTATAAATATAACATCAATATACAACAAGTGGCAAACTGAACGTAATAAAGCTTTCATTTAGACTCGTTATTGAAAGAAACAACAATATACATGAGAGCAACAACAGACAATCACTGTCTATATGTACAAACAAAGACTCTGTGATCTAGCGCCGACCTGTGTGCACCCTTCACATTCGACTGTAATATGGCAGAAGGTAACGATCCAACTAATTGATCTATTTTAATAATTTACATTGGCCTAATGGTGGTTTGGCATAACCATGAGTCCCGCGGAGGAATCATACAAACGACAGGTCGTCCGACGCCGACGATTCCCTCGACTTTTTGGCATGTTGATTTCGGTGTCTGTGAGCGGGCGTTGGTCGTTCGTCGACGGACACACTGGTCGTGATCTCGACGTCAGATTCGGGCCTGAGGATTTGGAGAAGAGCGAGGCACTTCCGCAGCAGTTGGAACTCCTCGCTGAAGATGTTCGGGTTCTGAAGGGCCTTTGCCATTTTGTCCGAGTTGCATTGTTTGACTAGGGCTTTGAGCTCGGCTAGGGCTGCTGGCTCTCGGATCATTCGTTCTTTCGATTCTGAAAATATGAGGGTAAGTATACATATCGAGGATAATCTGGGCAGATTGCAAAAACGGCAATAAATATGTCCGCAAAGTTAAAGGCGTCGCGTACCTGTTGAATGCCTCCTTTCGACCGATCGGGATTCCGCCGACCTTGCAAGCGCACTGAAGAAGAATGTGAGGCAAAGAACGCCAGTCATTTGTGCTGTCGGAATCTGCATGTTGCACAACGTCTAGGTCAATATGGTAGATATGTCTTGCAGTCTGGTTGCAGACTTGAAACACGAAAAATAAAAGTAGCAAGAGTCCGGTGACAACGAAGTGGATACTGTAGATTTAAACGCTGTCTAAAAAAAGTGGTTTAAAATCTGTTGAGCAAGATTAGAAATGTAATCCGCGATAGTAATGGTTTAATAACGCGTTGATGTAAACACGAACGGATAAGCCAGACACTCAATAACATTCTCGCTCAAAACTAATCAAAACATCGATCTATCCCATCCCATCCCGACACGACGTTGAATAACATTTTAGGGGTTTAAGTATACGTACAAGGTTCAAGTCTCGAAACCACCGACCAGCCGGACAGCGGCTTATTCCACAAGTGCAGACAGTGTCGTACACCACGACCGAGTTATAACCATTCTCGTTTTCTTTTACAAACTCTGGCTCCACCCCTTTAGTGCCCCGCTTCTTCGAAAGTGAGCTTTGGAGAGCTGTTTGCCACTGGAATTACAATTTTTTTGCTAAACCCGAAAAAATACTTTTGATGTTCGGGTGGGGCGGGGCCGAGATTGCGGCGGCCATGAATCCTCTTAATTATGCAAAAATTATGCGATAATACAACTAGTGTACTCGAGGAGGTAAAAAAAATGCAAGTCCCTGGGTGCAGACAGATTTCAAAAGATACTGTAGTGCAAAAAGTTGTTGGTTCCAAACAAAAACGCGGACAATGGACCCACATGAGACGTAAACAAAAGACAGGAAGTCGACGAACTGTAATGCCGGAGGGAATTTCGACACTGAAACGTGCAGCACTTTTTCTGCAGCATAACAAGTGTACAAGCGTGCTATAATTAAGTTTTCCACTCGGTACTCAAATAGAAAAGAATTCATTTTTCACCCACCCGTTCTGCATAAGTGTCGCAACAAACATCTAAATTTGGCGGTTCGAAAAGGCGGAACTGATGAAGTCTAAGTTGCCTCTTAATTACTACAAATTGCCCATACAATAGACTTTCTCTAATCTTTTGTTATTGGTTGAGAATAGAACAACATGAAATTACTGTAATCTCTTGCAACCACTGCGCGTAAAAGGAGCATTCAGCGGGTCACATGCGGGGTTTGTGCGGCAAATACCAACTCTACAATAGCCGCACGAGCCGAGCACTTGACTAGAAAGAAGATTTTCAATAACAAAGCAAGTTGTAATGCCCGCAAATAAATGCCGTAGTTTTGGTCACGTTACAGGAAGTTGCAATTAACAATACAAAGATGAGAGCAGAGATGTTCCGTGGGGTCGAAAGACGACACTGGCGGTGGTACGGTACGCGGATAAACGAGAAACATTTAACCGGCACTTTTAAATTAAAATTTCGAAAGCGAAGAACGGCCTGAATACTAATGGAAGCAGAAATAAGTTTATATATAGCTTACTGTATTATAATGGTATCAATGATAATGCATACGAGATAGGACTGCGGTTTCTATGATCTAAAGGTCGTGTTGGGACCATAGCGCAATTTTCAAAAGATTTGCATTCGGATCTCAGCTTTGTAACCTTGGATTGTTTTCCATTCGCAGTTTTGATTACGTATTAGTGACAATTATAATATAATACAATTTATGAACGACCAGCAAAAACTATGTTCGGGACATTCTGATGCCTTGCATCAGTCTGTCGGGAAAATAGTGAGCTCAATATCGCTACGCCAATCGCGTCGCTGAAGTGAAAAGGTGATGTGATTTTGCCACGACACAATATTATTTTGTAACCAACAGAATTCATAATCTAGTTCACTATTTTCCCAATAAACTGTTATGTCGCCATTTCCTACACGCTGATCACTTGCAAATTTTCCATTGGCTTATCTAAGCCTACGCCCTTTTCCGTGCGTTGCATGTAATCACCAAAGCGATTGTACGTGGAAACTGCTGAAAAAGGTTGCAGACAACCCCAAAAAAGAAACTTGAGTAAACACACGTACAATGGGTATTTATAGGAAGTGATGCGCCCTTTCAAGTTATTTCAGCCGAGTTTCAAATTCCATGCACCCATTAATTCAAGTGTAATGGCTACAAATGTGGGCAGAGACGTCTGAAAATGCCAAACTCGAAAACTTTGTAATTTTTACGACGTTTCCAATCTGCCGATAATATTTGAGGATGAATATGTTTATGCAGTTTAATCACAAAGTTGCATGCCTTTTGCAATATTCTTCCGCAATGACAGCCGGCATTTACAATTCTCTTATTAGAATTGTTAAATTCCTAAGCTGTGGAGGCGAAAAAAGATTAGTTTTTGCTACGTAATTATGTTACATAACCCACAAGTTTACATAAACTGTGTGCAAATAAGGCAAATTGATTAAATGTAAGGTCTAAATATGGAGTTTACGCAAGTACGGAAAATTTTGGAGCTAAATTGGTAACTAACTGGAAAACAAGTTATTTTTCAAATTTTTTTGTCTAGATAGCTTCTTTTTTTAACAAGAGAAGTTATCAAAGTGCGACGCTCAGATTTCACTGATTTTTGGTGCAAAATTTGCAATAGTTTTTTTTTCCAAAATAAAGATTTCTTTGCCAGCGTAGCCTTGAAACATCCGACAAACTTGCGGGGCTTCAAAAGTTTCTTCCACAATTCCGAGGAAAATTAGCATAAGTCAAGTCATATAAAAGGAACGCCTTGTCACCAATTATCTCATATACATATCATTTCTCTCTTTCCCGGTGTGTGGTGACATTAAATCTTCATTCTAAAATTGTGTCTACTTATGGAAGAGCGGTTGCCCAAAACCCCCTTTTCCTTCTCTACGATTGATCCTCTAAATGAGTGGTTAACCCGGCGTATTCTAAAATCTCCCAACTTCAAAGTTTAAGACCGATTTAAACTTCCTGGATAGCTGTAAATAGCAAAAGATATTCACACAAACTTTTTGCAATATTTCTTGGAACATCCTGTGCAGTAATTATCTAATTTTCGTACAAAGTTCACGGTTGACCCGGTAATTTTACCCTGCGTAAGTAAATAAGTCATCCATTAAATATTAACTCGTACTATTAAAACCAACTAGGTCATTCCAAATTTTTGCGAAAAGCTCTGAAATTAATAATGCATTTACCAACATGTGACGTTCAAGTTTTCACCAATTTAAAAATTACTGACGCCAGAAGCGCTGCAACAATGTAAGGAAAATGTTTTTATGGAAGATGTTGTCATGTCTCGCTGTAAATACACCCGCACTCCGATTATACGATCAGAACAGAATTTATTATCAGGGCTTTGTTGGCTTGTGGTCAATGTTTACATTCGGGTCAAATCTAGCCTGATGTGGGCTACACCTGAAGGGATTAAAAACGTGTCGAAAGAATAAGAATTCTATAGTTAAAGATGTTTGTTGGAACGTTGAAAACCAGGGATTAAATTCGAATTAAAGGTTTTGGAGAGCTTGAAAGGAGTCGAAAAATTATGTCTTCCCAAAAGGTCAGATACCACATGTATAATGTTATATTTTAGGAATGGAATGTAGTCTTGGACGCTCCAAGAGCCATATCCCATGGAGATTTAAATTCGAAGCTTAATTATTTGGCCAATGCAAACGGCAAATTTGCCACTAGAAAGTTCAACGATTACACGAATTACTGTAGCACTACACTGTATAAAATCTAAATATCATGCCCCGTATACGATCTATCGAAGTAACACTGGCCTAATTATTTGAATTAGACAAAAACACGACTGATTATTAAACTAAAAGTGTAATACTATTACTGTCGAAGCGAGGCAATGTAAATATTTCAATATTCCGCCTACTGCTCGCCCACGTTATCTGAACCAAAACAATGAACTGGAAATGATACAAAAGGACTTTTAACTTATTATGGTTACTGTCACATTTGAGCTAATCATATTGGCATTAAGTTACGTAACGCAGAGCTTGTCATTTCTAATTTTGTCGGTTGGGAATTAATATGGGCTGTTGTTGAGGTCAGACAGCTTTAAACCTCTTGATAGGCATTAAGGTCGGTCCATCAGGTGTCTAAATATTATTAGATTTTGTAATAAACAGAATACAAAACGCTGCAGTAAGTTTTCCGCTTGGCACGCTCTTCTTATTTTTTCAACTATCATAGAGGCAAGGATTGTGGAATATCTCGACAGGATAAGTAGGCGAATCCATTGAGTTCATCCACCGCTTTTACAGTTATGGGAGTTGCTCTTCTAAGACTGGTATAAATGGCTGGATAACCTTATAGTAACTATCCAAGCCACTTATACACCAGAAAACTTAATTTGCAACGTCTGGCTGCCAAGTGAGCAAATGTTGGCCGATTTCCTAACATGTCTGCTGAATCTCCGTGGTTCTTTTAGCTGCACGCAAATTGATTTCCCGCAATTACGGGCCACCCGTCGGGCAGTGCTAAAATACAAATCGTATAGCTTATGATCAGGAATGATTTTTCATTTGAACCAGGACAGCGAAAATTTCCATTTGTTGGAATACTGCACTAGATGTCATCGATAATTTGGGAATACATTTGCGATACTAGCCTGGTTCTACTGATACGCTATTACAATGTTCCCATGGTCCTCATTACCTGATTTCCGAATTTCAGCTATTTTACAATTTTTTAACAAGCTGGGCGCCAAAGGTTAAAGCCCCAAAATGAAAACTTATTTTTCACCATTGTGATTCTCTAATCTTTTGATGACATTCTCGTTAAGCTCGAATTTCAGCTCAAATTCGTAAAATCCTTTTTTTCATCTTCTCAAGAGCATGTTTGCCATCATCTTTTCCTGGATCAAGCCGACAAAGTTTCAATGGTCCTAATCTTTAATCTAGACGGTAGGGATACACAAAAAAACGTGCAATTCCATGCCAGATTATCTGTGTATTGTTTCAGGGACTCGCGTTATTACAGCAGACATCTCCGGGTCAGGTAAATTTCAATGATATCACCAACAAAAGGGCGATAATTCCCAATAACCGTTATATTGTTA